ACTGAAAACTCAATATTTTATATCTAATATATAAAATTTCTTTATTTTTATCAAATTCAGTAATTCTGAGAATCGGCTACAAAATATTTTTCATACCCCTAAGTGTTAAGGGTTGTTCGCCCCTATTTTTTTTTTTAAGAATTTTTTGTTTTTATTTTTATAATGTGCCATTAAAAATACATACAACTCTATTTTATTATATCCCCAACCAATATTTTTATAAATATTTTTATATAGATAATAATATACTATAGATATATTATGAACCTACCTGTATAAAGTCGGCATCGGCACAATAGTTCCTAAAAGTTTTCAATTTTTCATTCAAAAATCATCATATATTACACTATTAATTTACTCGCATATTATTGTATAAAAAACGAGATACTATTAGTATATAGTGTGATCATTAAACTCGGATTAAGCGTAATGGTCATTCCACTAATAAACTTATCTTCCGATAGAGATATTAAACTATTATTGAGTTGTAATCACATATTAAGTGCTTACATTAAAACCATGTATGGACTTTCAATGAGTAACAGGTCTATTTATTTACAAATGCATGAGAACTCTGTATAATATGTTTACCACACGTCTGCGTTTTCTTACTACATACGAAATATTGTCAGTTTTTTACTGATAAATCCTTATATATATTTAGTACTAACGTTGAAGTCAGTGGTGGCCTAGTGGTTAAAAGGGCATCTCATGCGTGAGGGCGCGGGTTCGATCCTGGCAAGTACCAATGTGATTTTTCCGAGTCATATGCACTTTCTAATAGTATTTAGACATCACTGACTAATGCATTCCCAAAGAGGATTGATATCAGGCAGGCGGCCGGTCGAAAAAGCAATTAGCCAAAACTATTAACAAACATGCAAGGCAGACCCTGGCTAAAGCTGGTAAATTACCAGGAAGATGAAGAGGATAAGAAGATATAGTATTAACGTTGGTTATTATACGAGAAACAAGTTACGCTTAGTTTGTAGTCTGGTAAGGATTGTACATAAAACTTCACGTCACTATTACGATATTAATATATTGCAATATAAGTTACAGTAATTAAAATTTACTTTCAGTTAGGCCGTTTCTGATATTTCATTAATATAGCCAGACCCTGGAAAAACCTGGGACTTTACAGGTAGAAGAAGATAGTCAATTGCGTATTAAATAACTACTAATATGTATGATTGTTTGTTGCTCTTTCAAGCAACATTTACGTAACGGATTTTAACATAACTTTACAGTAATGTAGCTTAAACACCAGAATGAAACTTGGTTTATAATTTATCCCCAAATTTTATGTTGTTATGTAACATCAAGACAACAGTTGTATTTCTAACGAAAGGACTAGATGTAGACTAAAGATGTAATTGCCGATTGGGTTATAAAGCTAATGCTTTACATTGCACATTTCTATGTGATCTTATGAAAAATCTACGCGGATTATGTCGCGTGTAAAAACTAGTTTTTCATATAAGGCGGGCATTTAAGAGGTAAAAATCGTTTTAACTTTACAGACATTCGTACTGTGGGACTGTTAACTTGACATTGCTTGATTGTAACACTCCCAAGGACGAGTAGACATGCAATATGCTAATACCACGTTTCCGTACACCACAAACACACAAAATTAAAACCTATTTATTAAAACATAAAGTAATTTTTTCTGCAACGATTTTATACACTAAAACGAAAGTCATGACCACTCAATGGATAGAGGAAATTGCCGGCTTGACTCATCAGTTCTTTCAAGGGCAGAGTTTGTAAAGAAAATTGGATGTGTTAGGCTTAATTATAAGGAAAAGTGATCATACATGTATTATGAAGAAGAAATATGGGAGTTTGTTGTTTAATAATTTACTGTAGAAAGGTCTATTTTTGATAGGTGTCAACATTTTTTATTTTTATGTTCACTACGATGTAAAGAAAAATGAGTCCAATTTAATTCCGGATACGATTTCATTTGCCTAAAATACCCGTAATCCTTAAGAGAATACTGTTAACAGAAAACGCTAACGCGAATGTATATATGCTTACCACGTGTGCGTTAAATTTCAAACGTATAACTAACAGTTTATTCGTAATAGTTCTTATAGCATTAACGTACGTTATGAAGTAAGATATATGTAGTATACGCATCGTAAATAGTAAAACATATACTACGCTTACTCGTAAGAAATGTGTTGTAGAGAAAAAATATCAAGTCTTTTAAATAAATAATATTCTGTGCTCAATATCTGAATTACAGTCCGTTTTTTATTTATGACATTAAGACTATTCAAAATGATACACAGTCCGTTAATTAAAATTAGTTCAAGTATGTTAATATTTCATTTGTAATTAATATGTTTTCACATAGAAACGAAATGTTCATTTTACCTTAACGTTACAAGGCACAAATAACTCATCTTTCAATATTTCTTAATTGACTACAATTAGTTTTCTTTACATACAGTACGTGAAAGAAGTTTTATATTATTTTATGAAAGGAACAATTTATATAAACAAGCTTTGTTTTTATTTGACTTTGTACATAAATTAAAGTGCTTTTGATTGGATTTTTATAAAACAAGATTCTCTACGCAATAATCTATATAAGCATATTTTGAATGAAATCATTACAAAATATATCAAACTTAAGTTATTAAGAAACTTAAAATGAATGAAATATTTTAATACCCATTTTAATGTTAACGAAGTCTTTCTATACATTGTGTTCGCGTCTGTAATAATTTGCCCCTTACGTAACAGTAAGTCAAGTGCTTTTATACGATGTGGGGCCCTTCAACGATTGTTACATTTTCTGATTCCAAATACAATTATCAATGTTCCCCCTGGTTTGTTTAAATAAACACTAGGTTTTGCCCGCGACTCCGTCTGCGTGATTTGTATTTCCTTCCTATACCTCTGATTTTCAGTTATAAATAGACTATATATTATATACATTTATATATGTATACTAGAAGACCCGGCGAACTTCGTTTCGCCCTATAATCAAGAAATATCTGTTACGTTTTTTTATTTATATTTTTGGAGTTTACCTATTAAAGCCATAAATCTCCGTGTTTTGAAGTGATTAGGAATGATTAATAGTTAATATGAGAGTTACACTGAGCTAGCAAAATAATAATTGTCAACGTTACTACTACACTTGATGCACAAACAATAACGATGGCCGACAACTGTGTAGGGAGTGAGAGAAGTCTAATTGTGTGAGAGAAACAGAAGACCGGCTTCGTTCTCATCCCTACTCCGTGCTGTTTACTGGGTCAGAAGTGACACCTGTAGATATCTGGCGGGGATAACTTATTAAATGACGATTGATCAGTTATCGACCGGAGATGAAAAATGATTAAATTACTAAAATAGCTATTAAAAAATAAGGGTTGATCGTAGAAGGGTGAAAATTTAGGATTGGATGTATTTTTGTACGTTGTATCATAAAAAAATAGTAATTAAAAATTTTGTCTAAAAAATAAAAAAAAAAATTTAGGGGTGGACTACCCCTAACATTTAGGGGGATGAAAAATAGATGTTGGCCGATTCTCATAGCTACCGAATAAGCACAAAAAATTTCATCAAAATCGGTCAGGTTGTTTCGGAGGAGTATGGGCACGAAAACTGTGACACGAGAATTTTATATATTAGAGAGATATATGTTTTTTAACAAAATTATATCGATGTTCATGTCCCATTATTATATTTAGAACAGTTTCTACATTTAATCGATTGTCAATACAGTAATCACCCGCATATTGGTTTGAATGCAACCGCTTTCCAAACGTGTTTTGTGTAGAAAAGAACATTTGATAGTGTTTTTTATAACATTTGAATGATATTATAAGGTATTTTCAGTTTTCTAAATATATTTTTGTAGGTGTTGCTTAAAATAAATATTGGTATTAATAATGAGTACCTACATACTTAAAATATAATTGGTTTGATTTGTCGAAGTTAAAAGATTTTAATCACAATATTTTTTTAGTTTAGAAATTGTTTAGAACTATTTTATAATGGTAAATAATATTTTTTGTATGATTTCTTAAGCAAAAGTATTTCTTAAATACAAAATAAGGGAAGGAAACCGATATAAAAAGGTTTTTTCGCGAGTAAAGAAAGGTATGGGGTCAATGTCCTGTGAACAACTAAATCATTTTTATTGTTATTTGAAGGTATAATATAAAAGAACTTAAAGATTTTTCATTCTTATTACGACCTCCTTAGACAATTTATCTTGGTTTTTTTTTCGAAAAAAGATTCATGTTTATATATTATCTGTGATTATTTATTATTCGTTATTATATTTTTAACATTGTATTATTATTATTTATTATTTTTCGATATGTATGAGACGAAATTAAAAGTAAAATGTTAATTTTTTCATAATATTCTTTACTAACTAACCAGTTTAATGTGACGAAAATAAAAATTTTATCTAAACCAAAATTGTACTTTAAAAAAAAAAACAGTTTTTTCGTACACTGATTTTTGATCTAAATGTGTTAATAAGTAACATTGTCTTAAGAGAATAAATATTATAAATTGAAAGACTAGAATTAGAATTCTAATTATATGGTGGTAGAGGCTAGTGTGGTCAATTTACTACAGCTCGAACATGGGCTGGCTCGACCAGGGAAGTACCATCCTCTCACAGAAGATCGGCGTGAAGTAGCCTTTAATGGCTGCGTTACGTCCGATGAGTGAGAGAGACGGTTGCTCTTTCCCTATTTCCACCCTTTCATAAATGCAACTTGTATTTAACAAGACTTTATTTCGTCATGGCAAACAGTTAAAATATATAAAACTGTGTTTTTCGGTAATGTTTTAACAATTTAAATTTGGCATGATCACGGTTATTTTAACGTAATCGAAACCGCGAAAAAATCTGACAATAATACGATAAAATTACTTAATTATCAAAAACATCGTCACATATATATTACTAACTCAAGATTAGATGTCTAATATTATTTAATCATTAATTCTTTCTAGCAATGGAAGGCGGCGCTTGGTGCGCCCGCGACATTTCACTGCGGGCCCAAAAAAAATTCCTATCAAAAGTCGGCGGCGCGGCCAGCGCACGTGCTCTTGTCCTTGATGAACAAGCTGCTAAATTACTAGATCAGGTAAAGTTATTCATTATAAAAAAACCATTAATAGAGAGATTAAGAACCGGTTTATTTACTTACCTAATTTGATTTATATTTTATTCAGTCAAGTACAGTGGTTAGTCCAAGTTTGCATCATCTACATACATAGTGTTTCAAGTGATAAAATAGCTTTGTAAACTACTTATAATATAACAAAACAAGTACTTATTTCTTAACACAACCTATAATTCAACTCTTTCACAAAATAAACCCAAAAACAATTATAAATGCAGTCTATTTTTAATTGTATATATTTTTCTTTCAGTTTTTAACAGTACTCCGACAAAGGGTAGACAAGCGCGAAGCGGAGAAGGTGGTGAAACATGTAATTAAAGCGGCTGTAAAGCTTGGCGTGTTAAGACGACACGGACAGCTGTCAGCGGCTGACGAACGCGCTTTAGCTGCTTTCAGAGCTAAATTTTACGTAAGCATAACGATTTCAATAAAGAAATATGGTTTAATATATGTTTATGTAACTTAAAAGTTATTTTTTTTTCTTCAGACGGTGTTGATGGCGGTAATATCTTTCTGTGAAGTCGATTTTTCTTACGATCGCGGCTTCCTTCAAGACGCTCTACGAGATTCTCACCAGTCACTCAAGTAAAGCTTTTAATATAATATTTACTTAATATACGTTAATTTGATTTAAAAATGGCAGTATTAGACCTCCTTTCTCTGTAAGGATGGACCCGGCACTCGCATTGTCAATCCATTAAATGCTGAAAAGTTTTCGTCTCTCTCTTCTAATATAATTTATACATATCTTTTGAAAGCAAAAGTTTGAGTATAGTAGGTATTGGTAAATCTGTCACCCAAAAACTATTTCCTTTGATATCTAAAAAACATGGAAATATTATTATTAATCAAACCTTTCCGTAAGACTGCTTAAGATACGAGTCCATTTCTGTTATTCAATACTAATGAAGCTTAAAGTATCTTCAAAACCGGCAATGGATTGTAAAATAGCAAAGACACCTTCAGTTCCTTTATGTTACATGTTTAATGTATAAAAAAAATACTTTACAAACGTACTAACGCCTGTTTCCAATGATCACAAGATCACTTTGGCTTTTCAAATTAAGCACTCAAGCCTATAAACAGTCTTTTGTTTGGCAGACTTCTAAAGAAAAAAACTAAATCTACAATAATAAGCAACTATAGTTCTCTTCTACCTGGCAGTTTCCCAGCTTTAACCAGGGCGTGCCTTACATGTTGTGAATAGTTTTGGCTAATTGTTTTTACGACCGGCCGCCTGTCTGACATCAACCCTTTTTGGGAATGCATTAATCAGTGATGTCTAAATACTCTTAGAAAGTACATATGACTCGGAAAAATCACATTGGTACTTGCCATTGCCAGGGTCGACCCGCGCCCTCGTGCATGAGAGGCGGGCCTTTTAATCACTAGGTCACCACTGACTAATAAGCAACTATAAATATATAATAACATAATAACTAAACTCGAATTACTTAAGTTCATCCAATTTTTCTCACATTCCGCCTCTATTCTTCCAGGTCGGTTGTAGAAAGGCATTTATCTGACAAATCAGTGTCTCGTCTCGGCGGAGTGTTCGCGTTGGCGTCACGAGGCGAGCTCCTAGACTCGCTGTTCGCTGGACAGATAGACGACGACGTATTAAAACTAACGAAAATGATCAGAAAAGAATTGGACAGAGGTCTACTGTAATGTAAAGCTGCATACACACATGTGCCGTCCCAAGCTGTGCATAATCTTAGGGATATACATATCTGCACATAGTAACGCTTACAGTGTGCACTCGGTTTTATACCATGACAAATGAAGTTCAGTTTCATTCACTGATAAATTTATTATGGGTACCTACAAACACGAAGACCGCACGATTTACTTAGAACTAACATTTACTTAGCGTATATTAGAATTAATATGTGTTTAATTATTTTTATGTGACAAGAAACTCAGTACAAGTGGTTAAGAATATCTGGTGTTAAACGTACTTGCCCTATATTTTGCCAGTATTAAATGTTGATTGTGTAAGTTATATTGTTTGTTAAAATTAATTTTAAACTGAACAAATTAAAATAAATTTAATGTAACAAAAATTTGGAATCTCGGAATACAATTTATCATATGTTGTAAGAATTCAAACGATCGTAAATGTACTGAAAGTTAATTCCTTTACAAGCAAAACTTGCCACAAAGACTTTATTGCCCAAATGTTTTTATTTTGTGTACATTTTTTTGCGTTAGATTTATCATCAATACGATGTAAAAATAAGCAATCGTTACAATAATATCTTTATATTATAAGAGCACTTTGTGACAATATTTTATTTCTATTAATTCGCTTGTATCTATATCTCTGTCACTTTCTCTCTTTCTGAGATGTATCTATAGATTGTTAAATCATAATATTTTCCTATATCCTCTTTTAATAAGATCTTTTTAGGCTTGCCTATTTATATCACATCACACATGCAAAAAAGCACCATAACTTTTTATAATTTACTAACACAAATACCAATTAAGATACGATTTTATATACAAAAAATATCTCTGAAAATCTTTTTACAGTAGCCACGTATTTTTGAATCTTAATACATGTGTTATACATATGATGTGACACGGCGAGTCGGACCAATATCTAGTATAGTTCTAACATATCTGAACTAACGTCATATCTGCCATTAATTAGCAATAAAATAAGAAAAAAATATTAATAGTTTTAATTTATTATTAAAAGTAGCATAATCTACACCTCCGCACAAACTTGCCCGTAGTTGGTGGAGCGTGACATGGTCCAAGATTTATGACAATCTTAATTTATTTGCCATCATATAATTTGATTGTGTGTTATATGTGTGGTGTAATTTTGATTTTTGACTTTGACGTAAGGCTCAAAACGACTCGAATCCAGAGCCGAAAAAAATTAAAAAAAAAATTACTTTGACATAAGAACTGTCAAATGTTTAAGTATGTTATTATTGTGAGATATAAAATTAAATGTTTATTGCTTATTAAGCTAGATGAAATCAAAGACATCTGATGTAATGACAATATTTTATAAAACTTCACGTCTCTCTAAGACAATGGCTGTTAAATGTTTGTACGTCATATCAATTTAATTAGTTGCAATCTGTATAGACATAATTGGCTTAGTTGTAAGAAACTTATTTGTAATTATTATTAGTTTGACAAAATTTAGGCTGCGTTATGATATTTTTATTTAGAATCTGCACTTAATTTCAAATACCTAATACCTGTGCTTGTATTTTTAATTTAATATAATAATATTTTAATTTTTAATAATAGCAACATTTGTAATTCAGAACTTGGCTCTAACACTAACTCTTCATCCGACTGGTGTTCAAAATATTTATACAATTTTAATAAATTATAACTGTTTTATTTATTTAATAATCTGATACACATGACAAATAAAGATCTCAGTTTTTTTGTCTGTATGTTGTTCTGTCGATGGAAATAAATGTACATTTGGATATTAAGCTGTGTTTACATTAAGGTTTGATATCAAAAATATACAAATGATGAAAAATACTTGGTTTTTTTAATATGTACCCATGTTAATTACTGTTTTGTTTAAAAATACTTGTACATTTCATTCCTCATGAAATATTTGTTCTAATTTTTTTCCATTTAAAAGTATTATATTTGGAACCATATTTTAATGCCAATTATATAAAACAGGCAAAAGTCAAAAGTTGTTATATAAGTGACATTTCATATGGCACTTCCATCAAGGTTGCGTTAAATGTTTAACGCTCATGGAGGGGGGGAGGGATTTAAAAAGAGCAAGAGGGAATCCGTGGTGCTCGAATACATGCAGGCAATTAATTGTGACTAGTAAGTAATATTAATAAAGTTTATCTTAAAGAAAACTAATAATTCGTTAGAAAATAAATTTCTAAAACTTTCTGTTTTCATTGTAACATTACGAAGTTTTACTTCTTCCGCTCGAAGGGATTCTGCGCAAAATTATTTTAATGAAAAACATTAATTAATTGTTTTCAAATTCACGCACCAGAAATATTTGACAAAACTGTTATTTACTGATTTTATACTTAAAATTTTTCGTGAAACTAAGACTTGAAAGTTATTTCAAATGTCAGAATAAGTACTGCTGCTCATAAAATGTTATGACAGCGCCATCTAGTTCCAAGTAGAGACATCACGGTAACAAGTCAAGAAAAGTTTGTCACAAACGTTGATACAAATCTTGTTTTAGCTGTAGACTACAATTCTGAATGAAGAGAAAAATTATATAACAATAGTTTAAGTTTGCAGACATGAAATAATTAATTTTGCATTATAAATAGTTTTAGATAATTGATCTCTCTAACTTTTTCACTTAAATAATCATAATCACTATATATTATTGTTTTTTATTCATAAAGTAGGTTACACTTGATGATTGAAAACTGAATATTATGCTCGTTACTGTTACATGTTTATACAAACTTGGTATTCGTTAATTTTTTACTAACATTTGATTGTACTTTGAACATTTGTTATTTGAGTATTCCTGAATTATATTTATTCCCATGTGACATACTCGGAATGTGATAAAAAATAAATGAACATCGCCGGGGCAACATCGTGTGAACCAGAAGATTCTTGATACCAAACAAGCTATGGTGTGTATTGCTATTGCTATCCTAACATCGGGGCAATGATGTAGTCTTAGATATAGGTAGGTTATAAGTTTTAACATGTAATTCTCATTATAATATACGTACCTATAAGTTTCGTAGTTGCATTGGAACCTCTGGTTGCCAGCCTTTATAATTCTCAAAGTATTATTACCACAAATAATTAATAGAATTTTTCTCTAGAAGTCTTCTATCTAGTAATTCTTTAGTTAGTCTCATCATCAGCCTATCAGAGCTCGCTGCTGAGCAGACTTCGTCTCACATGGAGAAGATTTGAGCATTAATCACCACGCTTGCTCAAGACGGGTTGGTGATTTCTAACTTACAATTAGAAGTTATAAGTCCAGGTTTCCTAGCTCTGTTTTCCTTCACCGTATATCAGTGGTGTCTAAATACTCTTAAAAAGTACAAATGACTCGGAAAAATCTCATGAGCCAAAACGACTATACGTAAAATATGTTTAGGGTTTTAATAAATAAAACGTACATTTATTGTGAAAGCACCAGTCAATAATTTATTCACTATAATCCTTAGTATACAAATCTGATAATGTGGATCAGTGCTACTGACGTGCTGGTTTGCGTTTTAATCCTAATTATTATCTTACTAAATCAAATGAAATGTCAAGTATTAAAGCAATGAAAATAAAAAATATAAATGAAACTAATATTTTCGGGTTTATTACGCGTTTTAATTTTTGACTATAAACTACTATTCCCAAAAATGTGGAACGCTTCACGATTTTGCGTGTTGCGTAAGGATGACAAAATTTTAGTCAAAAATTAAAAAGCGTAGTAAATCCAAAAATATTAGTTTCATTTAAATGAGTACTCGCGAAAATCTTAGATCTCATTATCAAAAAATATACCAGGAAGCTTTAATAAGATAATAATTGTGATTAAAAATTAACTACACCGTACTGAGAGATGAAAATGAGTTGTAAATATAAAAATAAAGCCATTGAGCTGTTGATAAAAGAAATATAATATAATATACCTCTCAGTACAGCTGGGTAGTGTAAGGTTCACAATTAAGGTGAGTTTTCTCGCGTCCACAAAATTTATTAAAACATATAAGAAAATAAAACATATATTACACATCTTAGAAATAAGAGATCGTAAGTTTTCAAATATTTACAAAATACATTTGGAATGTAAGAGTATGGAATTAATTTTGTTATCAAATTAAGCAGATTTATCTGCTGTTTGAAATAATAGTTGCTTAATCCAAGTCAGCATCACACTACATACGCAGCGTCAACAGTTTTTCACTCATAAATCATCGTTCATAATAGTTTTATTGATTTATTGAAACTGTAATAGCCACGTATGTAAAGACGATGTAAATTTAAACTAAGGATACAACATATGGGTTTTAATTAAATAAAAAAAACATCAAAATATAAAAGCCGATTTTTCATTGCACGTCATTTTATGTGCTTCTTAGATTCACTCGGAGTTTTTTTTTACTTATTATTTATTTAGAATTAAACATTGAAGAGTTGTCTATATAAATACAACACGTAAACTTATTGTCTCTACAATAAGATAAACATCGATAGTTACACATCTAACATGGTATGAACGCGTGGTTTATAGACGACATTGCATATTGGGGAAAGAAAGTCCAGCAGAATTACTAGGAATAAAAGAATTTCTCCTTAATTTTTGCATGTTTCAAGTTTAATTAATTCTGCTAGACTTATTTGAGGGATCGTGGGTCATTGAAGCAACTATGTGGATGCCACTAATGGATACAAAGGCTAAAAGCTCTCAGCTTCGTCTATAGAGCTGTTCACTTAAAACTACTACAGTATAAAATAGATATTCTTTCTAAACTTATATGTAGTTATAATTTATAGTCCGTATAATTTTCATGAGTATTCCTTATTGCAGTCACTATTACAAATGTCTCTTAGTAAAAATGCTTTCGCATTATCGCGAAAGACATTCATAATAGTGTTCGTTTAAAATAAAATAAGGCGACCAAAAACTCTGTTCAGAACAACAGTTTCCTGTGTTTTTTTATTAAATATATATTGAATATTTTAAAAATATATTATCAATAAATTTGTTTACTAAATTTCGTACATCATGTGATAGAACAAAGAGCTCACGACGGTCAGACTTTATTTTATAGAAGCTAAAAGTGTTTGGTAATTAGGACGAGATTTCTAAAAGTATCTTAACAAAAATATATAAGGAAAACAAGATGAAAATAACATCTTTACCTTCTATTATTTGTCCAAGTAAAGAAACCATACAGTTCGTGGTTCTTATTGGATGTATATAAGACATACACAAAGAAATTTTTATTATAAAATGAAAATTCTTCCCTCGTGGGCTCTTGGCCTATAGAAAGTAATGTTCAAATAATAATCCTATACACAAGACATATACTTATATACTATTTTTGTTGCAATATCTACTACATCGATGACTTATAATATACTATTAATATCATATATTACAGAAGATGAGAAATTAATTAAATAAGTGTTTAGATAAGTGGAGATGTTGAATCATTAGATATGTTAATTTAGAATAAATGTTTAAAATATAATAAATATTACATTTATAACTTTTCTAGTAATAAAATAAATTAACAAAGTCAACATTTTTGGTTGATTTTCGATGATTTTGATACTAAATAAAGAAGTTTTACAATATAATTATAACGTTTGGAAATGGATTTTACAAAAATGAATTACTACGTGACATATTATCTATCTAATAAAAATATTACTACTTTTTTTAATTGTTCAATTATCACTAAAGAAAAATTATACCTGTTTTTGGATTTTGGCTAAATTTTTTCCACTTACCCGTTTCAGATAATTTTATAAGTTTATAAGTTGATGTGAGTATTGCAATGTAGACTACAAATTAATCAATTGTTTTCAAGATATACATACTTATTTTGGCTACATTTCCTTTAATAGGTTGTGTTATACGAAAGTTGTTATCGGATATAATATATCCTAATTTAGGAAATTAATGAATTTGTGCTGAAAAAAGGTATAAGGATAGGAATGGAAAGAGGTAGGTAGGAATTATGGCAATCTAAAATACATCGTTGTTATGTAATATTGACCTGTTTCGTTGAATTGCGTTTTAAGAAGCAATTTAGGCAAAAACGAAAACAACTTCTAGAATACTAAAATTTGTATGTAAAATTATCCTTTTCATAGTATGTGTAAATTGTGTTACATAATGGGTTTAATACAGGGTTGTGATAGGAAGGCGGGTGCGTGGAGGGGATAGGAGTATATAAGGGGTTCACTCCTTCAGTTTGTGCCAGTCGGCTATCTGTCGTCGTGGGGCCGCCTGCACCTCGCGCCAATGGTGTCGTGCGCTGCCTACACCTTCCGAACCAAGCTCCAATCGTCCGATCACCTAATTGAATATATAATTTAATACATTACAAAATCATTATAATTTATCTTCTTCTACCTGGCAAATTCCCAGCTATAGCCAGGGTCTGCCTTACATGTTGTGAATATTTTGGCTATTTGTTTTTACGACCGGCCGCCTGCCTGACATCAACCCTCTTTTGGGAATCAGCATAAATCAGTGATGTCTAAATACTCTTAGAAAGTACATATGACTCGAAAAAATCACATTTTTAATAGCCAGGATCGCACCCAAGCCCTCGTGTATGAGGCGGGCCTTTTTAACCACTACGCCACCACTGACTTAAAATCATTATAATGTAATATTATTTCAAAACAAATAACTGAAAGGTTTATATAGATTTCTTTGGTATAAATTTGGTGCTATTCAAACCTCGTTCTTAGTGACTCTATCCCAATCAAGAACCAATAGTTCCAGAGACACGTGGTCGAGCGTGGCGTTAGGAGCGGCCGGTACTTCGAAGACGAAAGACTCGTTGAAGACGGGATTCAGAGTGCGCTTCTTAACATGAGTTTTCTTCTTGGCGATGCGTTGACCATTGTAGAGCAGATACATCTTTACATAACTGGTTGAAAGAATAATTAATTATTTATTGAAATATTATAAAGGAACTAACATTAATTTGATTAATTATTATTAAAGACACATTCTTACACATGGCGCCCTTCGTGTCATTCTAATTATAATAACTATAATCCTTAAAAATATTTTTATGACTGATTGTAATTAATTAAAAAACTGAACCACTGTAGTTTTGTTATGGCAACATAGTATCAACTTGTATTAGAAAAATATAAATACTGGCTTGAGCCATTTCGTAGAACATTACTCGAAGTAACGCTGAACATTAAAAATCCAGACTGAAACTGTACTTCGAACAATATCTCTGTTAACAACACTAGATATTTTTCCATTATAATGGTTACAAATTCTATTTTAAACGGCACCGTAATTTCCACATATTCAAACTCACGGATCAGCGAGTCCTGTGACATCCATCTTTGGCAAATTGCGAGCCTTCAGCAGTACTACGGTCAGACGAGCGGCGGCCGGCTGCCAGCACAGAGACACAAGCACTTCACCACGACCAACCGAACGCATCTAGTATGAAACAATACTTATTATACTGCACATTTTATGAACCAAGTCAAGGAGTATAAAATAGCCACTTGCAAAATGAATTTTACGTAGTGAACGTAAAAAAATCATAAAGTAAAAGACATATTAATACTCATATAAGCATATATCAGGAACAAAAATTTTATACATATCAATTCAACCTTTTTAAGATGTAAACGACGTGACGAAAGGTAGATAGGTAGGTATTACATGAGGAAAATATGGTGAAAAGTTTATAACCAGTTATAAGACACATAAAAATAGACCAAAAGCATCTTATCTGATGCTCATACCTTCAAACTTCTCGGTTGTATTTCACGGCAGAGTGCCATGGCCTCTCCTGACTGCAGTTGAAGAGCTGACAGCGGTGCCACTACCTCGCCAATAATCTCATCACGAGAATATCTGATGAAATGTAACAAAAATATGATTTCAACATATTTTTGGAGATATGCGTGATTAATTTTATTTAGATTTAATTGTTTAGAATCTATAATAAACAATTAATTACTCGATTATTTACAGAATCTTATAATTCAAATAAGTTATATAAAGCCATTTATTATTTGTATAAGAATAGTTTCCTAGGAAAATATTTAGTGCAGATAGATTAAGTATTAGTTTACAAAAAACTGTTCCGTTAAAAGTCCAATGTTGATTAATAGTTATAATTTTAATTAAAGAAGACAGGGCAAAATATTGACACGATATTTTTTAATCCGAAAAAGTATTAGAAATCGGTTATAAGACGAAACAATTGAATAATATGAATGATTTTAAGAGATATATGTAGTTAGTTTATTCATTTGTTACCTGTCAAAACTGAGGACCACAAAGTGCAGGGTAATGGAAGCAAGTTCATGTGGAGCGATGCCGTAGAAAGTGAAGTCTTCATCGTATACTGGACAACGGGTCTTTCGAACAACTCTATAATATAAAAATATTACGGTTTAGTCATTAAATTTTCCTTGAAGGTCGCAAGTCCCAGGCACTGTTGAAGCTCCTCTCCCTACAATGATAGGCCCGACACCCGAACAGTGAATCCATTGAATGATGAGAAGTTACATCACAAAGCAATCTATGTTCCATGTATCTTATAGGAAAAATGAATATTTGTTCCTTTTTACAAATCCTGTTGCTTTTTAAATGTCAACGTATAAATAGAATTTTCTTTATGCGTCTACCTTCATTTTTTTTTTATCCATTTTATACTTTATCGACGACAAAATTGCACATGTGCAACTAGTTTTAAGTTGCCACTTTCATTTTAATTTACACTTAATATGCTTTAGCTAGAATCTATTTGTAAAAACCTCAATACTAACCTCGACTATTTCATGTCCAGAAAATTTTGGTCATTAAATAAGAATCAAAAAGGTCTAGAATCCCTACTAATATTATAAATGCGAAAGTAACTCTGTCTGTCTGTTACGCTTTCACGTCTAAACCACTGAACTGATTTTAATGAAATTCGGTACAGACAGAGTTGACCTAGAGAAAGAACATAGGATAGTTTTTATCTCAGACTTTTGAGAGGTTCTCTTGGAAACGCGATATAACCGAACTCCACGCGGGCGAAGCTGCGGGTTGAAAGCTATGTTTACCTTGTCTTAACTTTGTGCTGTTTGTCCGGCAGAAGTTGCAGCTTCACGTAAGGGTCGGGCCCAGCTGGCTCACGACCTGGAAGACCTTGGCAGGACACCACAGACACCACGAGAGCGCTCTTCTCATTGTCATGTCTGGTTGATCAAAGAAAAATCAAGTTGTTAACAGTTTACTAATAGAATATCTACACTTTACATTTTCAAAGTGTTTCACTGAACAATTCAAAGTTTTAGCTAGGAACTTTGATCATGAGAACAAATGTAAGATAAACAAAGATAAAATTAATGAATGACATTTACACTTGTGTCATAATCAACCAAAATTTCAAAATATGTATAGATACATATAGTATTCTACTTCTCATTTCCATATCTGGTTGTTAAAAGATGAGTTGTTAACAGTTGTACTCCAATGTATACATTTTCAATATGTCTCAGCCATAAAAATTGTGTTTCAAACTGGGAACTTTCATTATTAAGGCTAAAATATACGATTATGAAAGAAACGGCAACTAAATGAAATAGTAATAATAATAATAATAATGAATAAATAATATTCTTCTGTATCAAACCCAACCAAATTATCTAATTTATCATATAAATGAGAAATAAAATTTCAAAATATAATTATATATAGAGTTCTACTTCTCATTCTCATATCTGGTTGTTAAAACATAAGTCAAGTTGTTAACAGTTGTACTCGAATGTCTACATTTTCAAAATGTCTCACTGATAAAAATACAAAGTTTCAAACTATTAAATTTAATCATTAAGGGTGAAATGTACGATAAAGAAACAGTGTCAAAAGCAACTAAATAACTTAATGTTTTATATAAATAACAAATAAAATTACAAAATATAACTGTATTCAATTTATATATTTATAGGCTGAGCCCTGAAAATCGATTAAGCTGGCCTGTTTTAGCACAGCGCCATCTAGTGGCAGGTTCTGATAACAGGTCCTGGTACCGCTTTACCTCTACGATAATAGATACTTGGTTATGTATGAGCAATTTTAAATGAATATTCATAGCACACTCAGCATAAATGAAAGCCGTGAATGTGTTCATATTTCTCTGTAATTAAAGTAATTCTGATATATGAGCGAAAGTTGTATCGTTTTATATGTGAATTTAAATGTTCTATGTGGTTCTAATTTACTATTTCTTTCTTTGCGTTAATAATATTATCATCGTTTAGGTAAATTGCTAGGTATAATGACATCAACAAAGTAACTTTACAGGATTATAATAATTTTTAATATGAATATAATTTTACATATAAGATAAAATATGCTTCTTTAAAAGCTTTTCGCGAATTCACTTTATTCTTTGTAAATTACTATATGTTTTCTACAAAAGTCAACTCTAAATTCAATCAGTGCTGTCTCTTAAAATAATAAAACAACCATATTATATCATGCACGTTATTTTCATATTAATAAGTTTCAAGTGCTTTCATATGTAAGTAGTCGTTTCATAAAACTCCCGTCGAGTATAAGACGTTATCTCGTTTTAGAAAGTCTATTCTAAAAACGAATTGTTTTCTATAATTTTCATAATAAATTCGTAACATATATTAAATATATTATAATAATCCTTATATCATAATAAAAGTTGTATCTATATTTATCTGGACAAAATAAAATTACTGAATTCAAAGTTTCAAACTGAAAAAGAAATATATTTTCCAGTGACCAGCAAAATATTGAATGTCAAAAGGCCAGTAGATGATTTTAGGTTTTAAGAAATGTGAATTAAATTTCGCATGAAATTAAAATCTTTATCTCATATTACTAATTTATGGATCTATTTTCATTGTAAACTCTAGCGAAATAACAGAATATAACAGAAAAAGGATCTTGATTAATGTTTAATGAAAAAAAAAACTAGTCATGTGAACATATTGTGGTAATTAAGGATAGGTGGGAAATACAAATGATAAAATAAGCTATAGGCGGAGTTTAAAAAGATTCCAGTCAATGTATTGTAACAGTTATCCTACCAACTAAAAAAAAGAAATTACAGTAAATGCAAAAAAAAAACAATTAAATTTCATATAAATCTCGTCTGCCCGTGACCACGGCTACTGAACAGTAACCAAAACGTCGGGAGTATAGTCTTTACAATAATAAAAAAAGCGTAGTATAATCCTATAAATATTTGTATGTATTATAATATTTAATATTATATTTATGTATTAATTATATTCTCTAAAACCAATCTCATATACTAATGTACATAATCTTTGAATTCGTATCTACAAAGTAAAGATAATAACCATACTAATGTACATCTTAAGTTACACAGTTAAATAAAATGTCCTTTATTTGATAGCCCCGACACACAGCTCGTAAAACTGAACATTCACGACGCGACCCTCGCAAAGGTTATTACAGTAAATAATACATACTTTTATGTCATCTACTACTAGATCGACACGCGACAAATAAGAAAATTCTAGAATAAATTCTATACATTACACTTTAAAGATATAAATTAATAGATTAAAATTATATATAATATACAAATAAATAAGATAAATTGGTTGTTTTCTCTTATGTTTAATGAGAACTAAGACTTTTGTGAATATTCATTTAAATGAAACTAATATTGCTATAATTATAAAGCGTATTTTATTATTTAAAAAAACTACATACTTTCGAAGTTTCGGTTACTTTTCAACAACAGTGATCACGGGCAGACGAGATGTAAATTAATGTATATTATTAGTTTCTTTAATTATTTATTCATGAATTCAATTTTTTACTAATAAAAGGTTAATTGTTTACATAAAAAGCTGACCGTGAAATTCTGTGATGGCATGGATAGAGCTAATTGGATTTGCTCAGCAATGTCTGGGTTAATTCAAGTCTAGGTCAAAGTTAAATCAATATTGCTCTACCAATATTTATTCAATATATATTGTAACCTGATATTCATTAAGAGACGATCAAGCAATTTAATGTCTTTGAAACACATTGCGGTTAAATTTCTTTAGTGATTGGAGTTGGTTATAAGATTGTCCAATGTTATAATCATATAAATGACACTTTTTTGGTGTTTAACGTACTTTTTATATAATCAGTTCTAAGACTGTTATTCATTTAAATAAAACTAATACTTTTGGATTTACTATGCGTTTTTTATTGTTTTAAACTACATACTTCCGACGTTTCGGCTACTTTGCAAGAACGTCGGGAGTATTACAATTTTAGTTATTATATTTCCTAGATACACTTAGATATACGCTAAACCTCAAATAAGATCAACCGTTTCTAGATTGTATAATAGGAATTTGTTACAGAAAATATTTTGTTTCACAGTTAATTTAATTAAAACGATTATATCACATCTTACGAGAAATTAATTGTTAGAATAATTGATATTAAATAATTATGTTTGGGTTGTAATCATTTAATTATACACACGTGTGTCTAATTACTTATGAATATAAACGGCGTTATATCAACACTAATAAATTATGAAGATATTTACTTTAGACATTTTGGGAAAATTATCTTCTATACTATACACTTACTGGCAATTAATTATTGGCAAGTACCAATGTGATTTTTCCGAGTCATATGTACTTTCTAAGAGTATTTAGACATCATTGATTAATGCATCCCCAAAGCGGGTTGATGTCAGACAGGCGGCCGGTCGTAAAAACAATTAGCCAAAACTATTCACATCATGTAAGGCAGATCCTGGCTAAAGCTGGGAAATTGCCAGGTAGAAGAAGGAGTATGAGATGTGAGTGTTTTCGCGTATGCAGGTAAATTGAAATCTTTTCTTAGCAAAACTGTAGGTATACATTATTTTGTGATACATAAAATTAGTGTAGTCTTAAAGTTTCAAACGTTTTCCTATAGTCGGTTAATTAAAACCATTAATCATAACCCAATTTTCAGTATGCTTAATTAGTGCATTAGACTACATACGACGCGTTTCCCGTTTCTCACTCAATAATCTACGTTAATACTTTATGCGAAAAGTTATGAAATGAAAAATTATAAGGATATATTAGTCCTATACCCTTCTTCTTCTACCTGACAATTTCCCAGCTTTAACCAGGGTCTACCTTACATGTTGTGAATAGTTTTGGCTAATTGTTTTTACGACCGGCCGCCTGCCTGACATCACCTGACCCTCTTTGGGAATGTATTAATCAGTGATGTCTAAATACTCTTAGAAAGTGCATATGACTTGGCAAAATCACATTGGTACTTGCCAGGGGCCCGAACCCGCGCCCTCATGCATGAGAGGCTGGCTTTTTAACTACTAGGCCACCACTGACTTCCAATTAATCATATTATACCCTAATTGTATAAAATTTATTTAGAACTAGAAGACCTGGTGCACTTCGTATCGCCCTATAACAAGAAATATCCATTACGTTTTTTTATTTATATTTTTGGAGTTTACCTGTAAGCCATACATCTCCGTGTTTTGAAGTGCGACAGAATGATTGACATATTAGTTAGTTGTCACATCTAATGTCAAAAAAAAACGTTTGTATGGGAAATAGAAAAGGTCTGTTTTTATGGTTTTCCCAGTAATGACTCAATTTTTTTCAGCTTTTATACCTTCCCTGAACCTCCACGAACATTTCAAGACTAAGATACGATAAATCCGTTCAGCTGTTCTCGAGTTTTAGCGAGACTAAGGAACAGCAATCCATTTTTATATATATAGAAGATAGAAGATAAAGAACAAACCCACGGTCATAAAAGTTACTATCGACATTACTAATTGCATTTTATTAATCTTTAATCAATTTCTCTACATGAGAAGGGATGTGTGAGTATTGAATGGCTCGTAAAGATGCGATACACGTGTTCACATGACCAGTTACTTTGTATGACTTCTGTCTTTTACTGTCAATAATCTATACAAATAAACTATACGAAATTTAACTTTCCACTGAACCCACTTCTGAATTGAACTATATGGAGTGGGTATGGTATGCGAGAATTTTGTGTGGTTGCAATATTTGTCTATCTGTTTGTTTTTGCTAAGCAAAGAAACGATAGATTCGATTTTGAATTTTTGGAAGGATTTTGATTGGCAGATAGCTGATGCATTAAGGTGCATGCACTGCTGAGCAAAGGCCTCTTTCCATATGGAGAAAGAGCAGTAATCACCACGTCTGCTCAATAGTCAATACGGATTGGCGATTTCAAACTTATAATTGTGAAAATATAAGTACAGGTTTCCTCACCATGTTTTCCTTCATCTGTCAGTGATGTCTAAATACTCTCAGAAGGTACATATGACCCGGAAAAATCACATAAGTACTTGCCAGCTTTCGAACTGCGCCCTCATCTCAAATACGAGAGGCGGGTATTTAACATCCAGGCCACCAAGACTTTAAAAAAATAACTTAAGCTATTCTACTTTTAGAAATTTTAATTATTTTCGATTATTAAGATCACAAAAAATAACAAAATAACGTCGCGAGCAACATTTTTCTTTTTTTATAACTCAATTAGTACATTTTTATCAAAATATATCATCTATTGTATAATTATTATTATAATTTAAATGAAAAATAGTATAAAGGTCATTTATACCGTTGAAGTCGCGAGCTAAAACTAAACCTGGCAGTTCAGTTGGCGAAGTAGTCACGTGTAATGAATCCTTCATGAGTTCCTCAGGCGGGTCTTCTTAAATATTCCACAACGAACAAAGACAAGTTAAATTTAGACATCACTATTATAAATGCAAGTACCTTTTGCAAGAACTTCTGAATCTATTGCGATGTAATTTTATATTGCACAAGTCTTTAAAGGGTCTAAAGTCTAAACAACATCTCGTCTGCCAGTGATCACGGTTGCTGTAAAGTAGCCGAAACGTCGGGAGTATGTAGTTTATATTCAAAAATAAAAATCGCGTAGTAAATCCGAAAGTATTAGTTTCATTTAAATGATTAGGTACTCGTGAAAATCTTAGATCTCATTATCTAACCAACTTATTTTTGTTTAAACTTCTAATTATAGACGACTTTGGTAGGTGTATTTAGTGAAATTTAAGATATATTTTATGTTTAGATTACAAGTAAGTAAAGGTTTAATCTGTTTTAAGAGCTGTTCTATTTTAATGGTAGTCCCACGCTTTGACGCAGATAAAGGCGACCTTTCTTCAGACGATAAAATCAAGACATATGTATACTTAGTTGACATTTGACACCTTGTATTTATAAATAATGACTTGTAAGGTGCTAGTGTGAAAAAGAACATATAATTCAGAGAGATAAGAGATTAAATATTAAATTAAACAACTCAGTCTTCTTCTAGAAGTTCAAAAGACTATAAATTTATCCAAAAGTTATATAAGATTTTGTAAAAGTTAAAAAGTAAATGTTTTAGTAGTATTTATTTTACGTGTTTTTAACTATAAAAATTTTGTTTCTTTAAAAAGAAACTAATATTTTTGGATTACTACGCCTTATTTTATTATTTTGTAAAACTACATAATCCCAAGGTTTCGGTTACCTTGCAGCAACCGTGATCACGAGCAGACGAGATGTAAATTCAAAATAATAAAATGACGTCTAATAATACAAAAATATTAGTTTCATTTAAATGAATACTTTCGAAAGTGTCAGATCTAGATAAAAAGTGTTGCAAACAAAATAAATGGAAATGAATACACGCGAAAGTCTTTGAAAAGTGTTGTAAAAGCATTAAAAGGATCTTTTCTTACCTCAATTTAAAGTGCAAGTCTCCAAGGCTGCTATTGTTAGTCTCTGGTTCGGCTGGTTTTGGTTTCTCAGTGGCGTTAGCATCAGCTAGCTCCTTGCTAAGAGGAGCTGGTTCAGGGGCAGTTGGCGTATGAGGACTGGTGCCGCCTGACGTCTGAATAAATATATCATCCATACAGTTTATGAAATATCAGGGAATTAAAATAAATACTATTTATTTAAATGAAACTTATATTTTCTTATTTTTTTAAATAAATTCCCATCTCGTCTGTCAGTGATCACGGTTACTGCAAAGTAATCGAAACGTCAGCAGTATGTAGTTTTATAAAAATAATAAAATATATAGTAATCCGAAAATATTAGTTTCATTTAAATGAATACTCACGATAACCTTAAATACTATTCAGTCTGTTTATGTTTATGTCAGTAAAATTTAAGGACTAATTTAATGTAATAAACTTTAATAAAATATAACATTGTTGCCACATGGAAAATTTATAAACAAAAAACAATGATTAAAACAATTATTAGTATTCTCAAATAAAGAAGCACTATACAATATATACTTATTAATATGATATATTGTATATGTAAAGATATAAGGCTATTGAAGAAAAAATTTAAAAGAGTTTTCATCGCTATTTTGTAAAGACGGTGATCTAAAAAAAATGTGTTACTGAAGCCTACCTATCTCAGCGATCGAATCCTCTTTGTAACTCGAAACAAAGTGATCTATTTTTAGTAAAAAAATTGAGAACTTAACAAGTATTCCATATTATAAAGCTCGAACTAAACAATAAGGACGAAATAATAATTACATTTTGAAGTAAAATAACAAAAGATAATGAAACAACTTTACAATGTCTACAAACAAATTATTAAAAAAAAATCTATGTGTTATAAATAGTTTCTAAATTAATTATATTTATAACAAAACCAGAGTTAATTTTATATATAAATATGAAGTTTTATATAATTAGAAGTCATTATGTTTATTTTTATTCTATCAAATCTAAAGGCAATGTATCGTCGAAGAAATTGTAATATTCTATATTCTTATACAAGAGTTTTATTAAACTGAATGTAAATATAGCATAAAATGTACAAAAATCAATTTAGCTTAACTTATTACATTCAAAGCTTTTTATTTTAATTATATTAAAGTATAAAGGAGGTTGAATATATTTCATTCAAAGGAGGTTTTATATTTTATCTGTATTATCCAAAATAGATAAAAGACATTTACTTAAAATAAATATTTGTTTTGAATATTAATAAAAAATAAAGAAGATTCGTGTGTATTTTTGTAAATGTATTCAAATTATACTTAGAAACCTTACATGAATGTTATATTTACAAAATTTTCTGTCAACGTCTTTTATGTCAATGTCAAACAAGGGTAAACATGTTCGCGGCACGCAAAATTAAATTCGACGTCTATTGTAACTCATCTCGGCTTACAAAACTTGTGAAAATACGTAATACATTACATCAAATTGTCTTTATAACGCAAATTTAATGTACTACAAAGACTGAAAACTTTTACCTCAAGTATTTAGTCTACAGATAATTAACTGTCAGTTTTGACGTTTTTAACACGATCGATTTCCCGCGTTTCTTAATAAGCTCTAATGACCTTTCGATAAAGGTTTTTACCTATTTATTAAAATGTTAGACGTACGATAAACATTGCCCTCATTATATAGATTATCGATAACTGATAGTGACTAAGGCAGTGAATTTTATTGCGTTATTAAAAATAAAATATGTAGGTAATAAAAGATTTTACTTTAAAAATATGCGAAACTATATTCAGAATGTGACCTTATTACCTGTTACCTAATAAAATCGCCAACGTTGTATTTGTATATAAATATTTTCGGTAGAAAATTACAATGTGTATATTTATCACAAATTATTATATTCATACATATATAAATACTACTTTTTCTCCCCGATTCTGTCCATGTTTTCTTCGATATTGTATTCAGAGATAAATAATGTTTAATACAATTTATGTTACCAAACTGCCTTCGACATTTCATATCCCTATTACGTGAATTTTTAATAAATACAATTGTCATAATGCGTACCGCATATTGTATGAGCATGAAAGGAATGTCATAAGCCTATAAACTATTTTTATATTGAAACTACGTTATATAAAATTTTCATAAAAATCCGTCCATTATATTCTATGTGACAGAGCAATATAAATCAATAGATCCTTAAAAAACTTCCGTTTTTATAACATAAATGAGTTATGCTGAATTTTAAACTACAGCATTGGAAAATAGCATCAGAATCTCTTCAATATATTGAATATGACAGATCAATAAGTCAATAAATCCTCAAAAACTTCAATTCTTATAATATAAATGGTATACTTACAACAACGACGGTAGCCGGTGGCTGCGGCTGAGGTGGTGAAGTAGCTGGTGGAGCAGCAGCCGTTGGTGAGGGTGACTTGCGAAGATAATGAGTAGCAGATCCTGGAGAACGAACAGCAGTCGCACGGCGTGGAGGTTGGAAGACCAGGGCCTTGTCCGGACCACGCTTACCACCTACAGACAGTATTACTATTAGTTGATCTTGAATCAGATTTAATTACCATCAGGCAAGGAGATAAACCAATTGGTTACAAGCTACAATTAGTATAAACCCATTATTAACTTGTATCAATCGTTTATACCAATTGTTCACATCAGGCAAATAGATATTCCAATGGGTATGTAAAATGTTTGGTTTTGATAATAAGTGACATGCATAATAATGTAAGTGACTGTAGAATCTTTTATGAAGATATTAAATATAGAAGCATAGTTCCCATCAAACGTGTGGATAAACTAATCGTATATAAAATATATGGGGTGTAATAACTGATATGGATAATAACGGACGTTTTGCTCAATCTTCTGTGAAATATTACGTATAGTAGCAAATATGACGCTTTTTAACGGACCATGTGTGTGAAATTTTCGCTAAAAATAGGAATAGTATTTAATTGAAGTTCCAAAAGCATTAAATAGGAAAGGAACAAAAATACATTGAACAATACTCACCAAGTTTGTGAGCTAGTGACGCTCGTCTGCGGGCGACCCAGCAAGCGATCACACCAACAACAACAGCAACCAATGCTGATGCACCAACAACAAGCACCCAGAATGTAGGGCTGTGCCACTCACCAGCTACAACACAATATAATTATGATAATATTAATTTTTATACCAACAAAGTAAACAGGAAATTTAATGACAGATGTGTACAAAGAGATCTCTTCCAAAAACCCTGATTCTAGTGGAGATTATTTGTAATACATATGTATTTATGGGATAGGTACAATATCAAGTAGTTTATTATTATAAAATTGAAGTACATTTATTATTTTATTCTTGTGGTACTACTATTCTTATGGTGCTACTAGTTTTTGCATGCAACTTCGTCCGTGTTAATTTTTTAATTAGTAATATATGTATATATTGCTGATCATGCGAACTCTTTTTCGCGCTAGAGGCCGTAAATAAAAAGATATTGGAGTTTGTTAAGTTTTTTCATTTTCAATCGAACAGAATTAAATATCCTATGTCCGTCTCCTGGTTCTAAGCTATTTCACTTCCAATTTTCAACCATATCCCTACAAACGTTCTTAAGTTATAACTATCGTAACTAACATAACATTCTTTCTCTTTCTTTAAAGAGAGTATAGATTGGACTTATATACAAAGGAAATACAAAAAAAATAATAATGCATTTCAACTGAAATGAGACTAAGTTTAACTGATGCTATCTGTTTTTTATTTCTTTATATCAACATACTCCCGTCGTTTCGGTTACTTTACATCAACCGTGATCACGGACAGACGAGATGTGAGTGTCTGTCAGTTAGTCCTGTTATTTTTCACCGTAGTGAATGCCATTTAATTACACCCGAAAATCTTAAATATAGTTAGCCTAAACATATTATTTAATTGTTAAAAGATAAAGTTTAAATTGGTAATTCTGTAACAAATGGCATTTATTTCCCGAAATGCTATATGATTATTACTAAAATAAAGTCTCATATTGAATTTACCAAAGTAAAAAAAGGATCAAAGCGTACTTTGATATAATAAAACATGAACGTTGTGTAATTTTTCTCAGAAGGATCTTTGAGGATCTTACCAAATAAAGACGCTGACATCTTTTTATGCTAAGGCTTCATTCGCATTGGAATTGTGGAATATTTTTCCAATGTCACGATGGGATCTTACGTCTTATCCCTACTAATATTATAAATGCGAAAGAAACTCTGTTTGTCTGTATGTTACGCTTTCACGCCTAAACCACTAAATTGATTTTAATGAAATTTGGTACAGAGATAGAGTTGACCTTGAGAAGAAACATAGGATAGTTTTTATTCCAGATTTTTGAAAGGTTCTCTTGGGAACGCGATATAACCGAACTCCACTCGGACGAAGCTGCGGGCGGAAATCTAGTGTATTATACACATATCCTACATAGCGTCATCCTGCAAACTAAGCCTTAAAATTAAAAGTAGTAAGAAGTGAAAACCTTACATAGATAGCTAAAACCTTTAATGTATGTTCAATAAACCTATAATATCAAAAGTTATCTTAATAAATATAATTTGAGCTAATAGATACGAAATTTCACCTCAATAGCATCTGGAAATACCAAAAGATTGCCATTCAACAAACAAGAAGTAATCTTTCTTTAATGCAGTTTTCATCCAATATCTTTCGAATTTCATTACAAGAAAAATATTCCCCAAAAATTGAGGACCAAGAACTAAAGTTATAAAGCTCCGAAGTCTTTTGAAAGACCGTCTTTGTTACCCGTATTTGTGAGCCTGTACAATATTACCAGGCGAGCTCAGATATAAATGAAATTGAATATAACAAAGATTTGGATCCATATATTACTTTATGACACAAAGTTTAAATTAATATTTCATTCTGTTCCATTTAATTTTGTTAAAATAAACGATCGAAGTATTTAATGAAGAACTGCAAGTAAGCAAATAGTTCTAAATAGAAGTTATACTGAAATTATATGAAAATCTATTCAACACGATTTAACGTGGATCGTATTATGCAAGACTAATTGGGCTAAAGCACTTATCCGTCGCCTCGTTATAATGGATTGCATTAAACCGTCCCACCTGTTATAGTGCTTAATACGTAGTTTACTAAACGCAAACATGAACCAATTATATCAACTATCTATTAAAGAATCCCTACTAATATTATAAATGCGAAAATAACTCTGTCTGTCTGTCTGTCTGTTACGCTTTCACGCCTAAACCACTGAACTGATTTTAATCAAATTTGGTACAGAAATAGAGTGGACCTTGAGAAAAAACATAGGATAGTTTTTATCTCAGACTTTTGAAAAGTTCTCTTGGAAACGCGATATAACCGAACTCCAGGCGGGCAAAGCTGCTGGCGGAAAGCTAGTAATAAATATAATCAATATATACGTTAAAAAAGTTTCATATTCAATAAGAAACGTTTATACAAATAAAACCTAAATAAAAAATATATATATTTAGTCAAAATACTTTAATCTTAAATATATATTTGAATTGTTATAAAAGGCAAGTTGTTTAGTTACTAGCTTTTCTATTGATTATTCTCAACAAGACCTTTCATTTGATATCTATTGTGGGAGCGATTTAAAATAACTCGTCCGCCATCTTGGACTCGCTGCCATATTGAATATAGGCTGTCAAACATGGCGTTATAATATCTTCAAAGTTATATGTAATTTTAAAATTGGCTTATTATTAAAATTGGCTTGCAAGTTTCATCTTAATAAAATATATATTGTACATTGAATAAAAAATAACTTTGAACATATTTTTATAGTTTTTCTAATCTTCAACAAGTGATAATCGACAGCCATTTTGTTTTGATCTACTTTAACAAAACTATAGAAAAGGAAACAGAAACGAAAAAAAGAAATAATAAACAAATATAGATTAAAATCATTACATCATACGTTTCAGCTTATATATTTAAGGAGTGAAAACCCGTAATATTTATACATATTTAATAAAAATAGTTAAATTGTTACCGAAAGTTTTACTTCCAAACTGGCATTTTCAGCGTTTATGTGCGTAATCTGATTATCATCTGACCTTACTACAAGGACAGAAACCATTATTTTTCTTAATCAGATCAAAGCTTTGATAACGTAAATAAAATTGCATGTTACAAGATTACTAATTATATATATGTACATAGAAATCCACAGGTTTCTTTGTTTTGTATGATAATTAAGTATTGTGATATATATTTTAGTTTTCTTTTTAAAAAGTTCTTAGTATAATATGTTGCTCATATATATATATATATATGTATATATGGGTGAACGCATTTCCAGTGTATTAGTATTTATTTAGTAAGATTTAGTACAGTGTAAACTCTATATAACGACACTCGATCTAACGACAAACTCTCTAAAGCGTCGAAATCATTTGACTTTGGTTGGTTTAGGTTGTCTACCATACAATGATACACTCTATATAGCGCACACACACTCTCAATAACGACAACAATTAAATAATAAAAAGTACCTTTTAAGTTGCTAAAACTAGTAAAAACTGTGCAGCTGTGTACGTTCCTTTGTCGCTTTGTTATTCTAGCCCGCAATAAACTCGACTGTCCCTATCATGCATACCGAACTTTCTAAGAAATTCGTTCTTTTGTTTACAATTACAAATTGCTTACACGTGTCGACGGTTTTTGACCATAAGTAGGAGTCTTGTATTACCTATACGTTATCATATTCTCAGTTGCTCACAAAATCTCAAACTGTAAACATGGCTAGTAAAAGAAAATCACTGTGTGTTGACGAAAAAGTGTTACTGATACGCGCAATAGAAACGGGAGAGAAGATAAGCGATGTTGGCAAACGCTTTGGATTTAGTCGCTCTACCGTGTCTACAATATGGAAAAATAACTAGAGTGTGATCAAAAGCCTCAAGGGTCACTACAGAAAGAAATTATTGATGGAGCTAGTCGAATCTGAGGGTAAAACTACTGTTAATGCATGCAGTAAATTTTTTATCTAAAGCCTGGGAAGAAGTGACACCCACAACTATACAGCACTCTCTTCGAAATGCTGGACTTTGTACTAATTCTACGAGTGATGAGGTGGAAACGGGACCTGAGTTTGGTAGTGACGACGAAATTCCATTAACTTAACAATAGCGTTCGAATAAAATTCTTTTTTATGTACATAAGTATTAACATTAACAGCAATTAACTATTAACACTAGTCTGAAATAAACTTTGTCTTTTTCTAATTCTAATTTTCCTTCTTTCTATTTAACGGCAACTCTTTATAACGCACCAAAATGCACGGTCCCTTCAGTGTCGTTATATAGAGTTTACACTGTATTTATTTGTTTGTTTTAATTGATACATTTAATTTTATTTCAATTTATGTATGTAATTTTGATATGAATGTTATGTCTGAAATAAATATTTTTTTATTATTATATATAGGTTATTTATAATCATATCAAATACAATACAAAAAGGAAAATATTATTATGTCTCAAACGGATTTAGATGCGATTTTTATCCTGCTTTGCCGTAGTACTCAAATATAATTGATTAGTAATGGGGTACTTAGTAGAGTAGGAATATCCGTTTTTTTCCGAAATTATCTAAAGAATGTATGTATTGAGTAGGTACTTTAAGCGTGCCTGTGTAAACGTTAAATGATAATAATTAATTATTGATGTATTGATTATATAGTAAAAATTTTATCTGTGTTTGGAGACTGCAATATTAAAGAAATTAATTGTTAATTCAATTTAATTTAGGTAAAAGTTTATTATACATTCAAAAAAAGTGTTTTTGCTTTAATATTCACTAAATAACTTAGAATTTATATAATTTGTACCGAAAACTTATTTAAACATTAATAGAAATAATGCGCATAAATATATTTTTTACAGATCTTTTATTTTTTTTAATCGAGTCTAAAAATGTTTAAAATGAATACAACCAATTAATGATACAAAAGACTGGATAATTAAACGTTTTCTTTCATTTTTAAATCGTAATTGATATTTTTTATAACATTACTAAAGAACGCCCTTTCTGAACGCACGTGCGAACTTCAACTAAAGGGGACTATTTATGTCAAGAGGACCACAGATATTTAATTTATTATTATATTAATACACAGTTACTTAAGAATAAATATGTCGAAGTAATATTTTACTTTGAAAAATCTTAGTCACAAAATAGAGAACATATAAGCCTAGAACAGATCAATATGAGAATTGAGACAGAAATAAAAATAAGTCTAAAGTTCTAGACTTTTCTATAGTTGCAAACATTCTGTAGATTTCTTTTCATTCCAATGCTTATCGAAAGTCTGGTGTATTCAAGAGCGGACTTTCTAAGATGGAATGCTAAAATTGTTCACATATTTTTCCAATCACATTTAATATGGTGTTTTCATCCGTAAATTTAAATACAGGAAATAATATACATATATCATTTGAGTTTTTATAATATTTGTTACTCTATATATATATATAAATGAATTGCTATTCGTTTATCTCACTAAAACTCGAGAACAGCTGAACGGATTTATCTTATCTTAGTCTTGAAAATGTTCATAGAGGTTCAGGGAAGGTTTAAAAGCTGAATAAAATTGATTCATTTCCGGGAAAACCCTAAATCAGCCCTTCTCTATTTCCCATACAAACGTTTTTTTTGACATTAGATTTGACAACTGACAAATATGTCAATCATTCTGTTCGATTGAAACAAGAATTAAGTCTCAATTATTATTTATGGCCTCTAAGTCGGAATAGAGTTCGCCCGGTCAGCTATACATATATTACTAATGACGAAATTAACGCGGACGAAGTCGCGGGCAAAAACTAGTTTATAATAATATAAAACAAAAATATCATATAGCTTAAATAACCATTCTCTCCCCGTGTACGTAAATACTAAATACAGATTTAAAAAAAATTGTAACTATTATAGTCGAACCTAAATTCTTTTCCAAACATATTTTTTCTTAACTTTTCTGTATTTTAATTCTGTATACGAAGTTTGTAACTACCAATATACAAAGTTTTAAAACCATTCCTTGCGAGACGTAGATTCCACCAGATATATAAAAATCGTTCGCTACACGTCAAATCTTCGATAAGTCTAACCAGAGAGTCTTGAAACGACTTTATTTAGTCTGGATCAGAAATAAGAATCAAGTTGATCCTGAGACAGATTACTACGAAAACTAAGAAGAATCAAAGATTCAGATTTCATCTGAAGATTTTTACTACATTCTTTTTTAAATATAAATTGTGATAAATTAGAATAACAAGAAAAAAACTATACAATTACGACAATATAAACAGGAAAAGTATTTATTTATGAATAATAGTAGAGTATAAACGAAAAATGTTCAAAGATTGGCTGTCAATTGGATATAAAATTACACAGATTAAAAAAAATACATAAACTAAATAATTTATAAGCACAGATTAAAAATATAAAATAATTCTATTTTAAACATAATAAAAAAATAACTAGTAAGGCTGTGAAGTAAAATAGGGATATAAAACATGTCTGTGGGTAATCACGATTGAAATTTATTTGTCTCCTGAAGACAGCTGGGGCTTTATAAAGATAATTCGATATTATGGTTGACAGTAACAACATGAATTTAGGTTTTTGAATTACATGACTAAATTGCGTTACTTATATTTTTTTATATATTATATTTAAAGGTTCTATAGTTAGCTTAATTAACCTTTTATTTAATATAAAGAATATTTCCCATTTTTTTAGCCTATCAGAGCCCACTGCTGAGCTGCCTCTTTCTCACATGGAGAAGGTTTGACCATTAATCACCATACTTGCTCAATACGGGTTGGTGATTTCAAACTTATAATTGTGAAATTATAAGTCCCGGTTTCCTCACGATGTTTTCCTTCACCGTATATCCGTGGTGTCTAAATACTCTTAAAAAGTACATATGACTCGGAAAAATCGCATATGTACTTGCCAGGATCGAACCCGTGCCCTCGGCAACGAGAGACGGGCCTATTAACCACTAGGCCACCACTGACTATATTGTCTCGTTTATCTCTTCCAAATATAAGTATATTCGTGATAGTTTAAGTTTTTTATAAAGCACAATTAAGCCTATTGTTTTAATTCCCATTGAGAGGTACACCACAGATACAGAGAATAAATCTTTTAATCCTCTTACCAAGCAAATGAATTAATGGAGACTCATATTACGTAACGTCTTTCGTGTGACGTCACTTAAAGATAATGTTTCAATTATGTCAAATGTCAGTACAGATTAATAATAAGTTATATTGCATAATATATACATATTTATTGAAAATAATTAAAATATGTAAAAAATTACTATCATTCCGTTTATTGTTTTACTTTTAATATAATTCTGTATTAATAACTCATTTGTAATAATACTTGCTGGTACAGTTACTTTTTTATTAAAATATATTTTAACTTGCAACATTTTATATGACATTTTATTATTTAAATGTTTGGGTTGAAATGAACATCAAATCACATGTAATTTACCAAAAGTATATGATAAAATTGGTTTGGAAACAAAAACGTCGCTGGCGTAATGAAAAATATTACTTTTATTTATATTTTTAATTTGTAATTAAAAAAAAATCGTTGATCTTACTTTGACGTTTAATATTTTATAATCATTTTTTTTATTTTAGTCATTTATCGCTTTTGGCAACTATTTCTTTATATGTTGTATGTAAAATATAGTATACTAGAAGACCTGGCGAACTTCTTATCGCCCTATAATCAAGAAATATCTATTACGTTTTTTTATTTATAGTTTTGGAGTTTAGGTAAACTTACAGGTGTAAGCCATAAATCTCCGTGTTTTGAAGTGCGACCGAAAGATTGACATATTAGTTAGTTGTCAAATCTAATGTCAAAGAAAACATTTGTATGGGAAATAGAAAATTGCTGTTTTTATGGTTTTCCCAGTAATGAATCAACTTTTTTCACCTTTTATACCTTCCCTGAACTTCCACAAACATTTCAAGACTAAGATAAGATAAATCCGTTCAGCTGTTCTCGAGTTTTAGCGAGACTAAGGAACAGCAATCCATTTTTATATATATAGAAGATTAGACATTATTTTATTGATAGGTACTTGTTTTGTCAATTTAAAACAATGTTTAAAGATTCATTGTTCCTACAAAAGCAACTTAAAAGATTAACACTGTCTGTATTACTGTTTAAAGAAAACAGTCGAATAATTAATTCTGACCTTAGATCTTCGAACTGTTTTTGAAACTTGAAACTTGATAATTTAAAGGTCGAAATAATGTTAACAATATTTTATTCTTTCTAATATAAAAACAATTACGAAAAAGAAATAGATAATACAGAATGGCTAAAGCATTTTCTTTTATAATATTTGCCAGGCTGAATATGTTAAGCATATATTAAAAGTAAATAAATAAAAAAAAAACAAAAATAAAAGTTTTATAACCGCAGAACACCCTGTATACGAGAGTTTTAAAGCTTGCTGTAAGTCATCTCATTTAACTTCACTCGTTTCAAAGACTTCTTTAGTCTATTTAATTTGTTTTTATTTTATTGTAGATTAAAATTTCTTTAGATTATATTTTTGATTTATTTAGCAATGCCTTAGGGATTCACTTTTTTGACCTCTAGCAATACTTACGTCTGAATCTTTTAGTTTTATAAACATACAAAAAACCTTTATTATCTTAATTACAATGCATTCAACAGTTATTTTTTTGTATTTTAATCAGTTTTTACGTATTTATTGATTATTTTAAGCACCTAAGACAAATTTCAATACAAAATCAATAAATTGAAGCTTTTAAATCTGAAATGCTACGTAATTTCAGTGTTGCTTACAAAGCAAATGTGTTTTGTAGTAAAATTTACATTTGATTAAAACACATAAACCTAATTCTTGGAGACGCGTGTGGCGAAATGTTATGAAAGATATTAAACTATTAAATTGTAACATCTGTTGTTTTACGATATTAAAAAACATAACATAATAAAGAGAAGTACGTCGTGAAAAATAACTGTTTTTTGTAATCAAATTTGATGTTTCTTTTCTTATGAAATTCATAATTGTATTTTTTGGAATCATTCAATTTGGTATTAATATAAAGATTTGTATGTTTTTATCTACTATATATTACTTTTCACACCATCTTGAAACTTCTTTGCTCGGAAAAATAAGCCAAAGATTCAATTCACTCTCGTTTACCCTCGCCGTAATTACTGAGCAATTAGTTTTATAATGGTTATTTTTCATCTTATTTATGAATACATTTTTTGTATAATAAAAAAAATATTTAAATATGTATAAGTAAATAATTTTTATCTTAATATAAGAATGCAAATACAAATATTTACTATATGTTTTTTTTTTCGTTACGCGCTAGTTACTCTAACGTCAAAATTATGACGCAAATCATCGCCCACTTATCTACTATTAATCGATGCTTCTAAAAGCGATTAAAAACAGTAATTATTAAAATATTTTAAACTACATTTGCTTGTACAGCAAAACTTATATAGAATGAAAGAAATCTCTAGAAAATATATCGTTTTAAAATTTCTCGTCTGAAAAACTTCGACAATAGTCTTTGTGTTGTGAAATAAAAGCTTTATACATTGTCGTTGGTCATTCTGCGCGTCATTTCTTCGTCTCGTATATGTTTTTATGTACCTAGTGTTGAATAGAATTGTAGTTTTTATATCGTATAGCGATTTAACTCACCGGATTCAACTGGCGAGATATCAGGTCCATCATGAGGTGACAACATCTTCATAGTGATCGCACCAGGCAATACGCTGCTTGATACCGACACCTTGACGCTTTAGTTAGCCGTTAGTTGGGAAAAATGTATTATTTTTCGTTAATACGACGCAAATGTATGTTATCGGACGCGATGTAGTATGTACTGCACTATCGATTGACTCAGGGTTGTGGCGCAGGCGTTTTGAAAGCCCGGGCACGCATGCGCCCTGGCAACCCTATTGTAATGACGTCATTTGACAACTGACAGACTATACGTCTATTGGTGTTTGAAAAATAACTTAATTTATTTATTTGGTTTGTAATCTAAGTTGATTACTGACTAATTGAATTGGCAGAGGCTGTATTATCCTTAATTATCGCTTTGGAAAGGGAAATTGCCAAAAAAGTTGTTAAACGTCTCGTACATAAGCAAGTATTTTGTTCATTAACTGATAATTATCGTAGTTTTCAGTAAAATTATAAGGTTACTAGTTTTTCAATGACGTATGGGAACACCAAGTAATTAGAAAAGACATAGAATAAAAAACTAAGGCTTGTTTGTGTCATTATTTAAGGAAATATTACAGCCCCTTAAAAAATATTCATCGCACTGTTTTTAAATTTGCTTAGAAATATAAAAAAAAACGAATAATATATGAATAATAGTTGTTATAAATTATTTTTATTTTGAAAATCGTAAATAAATTTACATATAATATTAATAAATATTACATCACTTGTATTAAATTGGTAGCGTCGTTGGTAGCGCGTGTACTATTGAAATGTTTAATAGCCGGCCAGTTCAGCGAAGGTGGAGTCCATCTCATCAGCCAGGCTCTTGTATCTGTCCTTGTTGATGCCCAGCTCGTCTGCAACACGTATGAAACATTACACATACATTCAAACACTAGCTCCACCCCTCGGTGTTACCCGGATTTCCGGGATGTAAAGTAGCCTATGTCTTATTCCTGGACGTCAGCTTCCTGTATACAAAATTTTAACAAAATCGGTTCAGCCGTTTGAGCGTGAAGAAGTAACAAACATACATACACTCAAACTTTCGCAATTATAATATTTGTAGGATAAATAAAATCTCTATGTCTACGGCCTAATATATAACCAAAATCCCCTCCGCGTAATTCAATTCAGTCACCTATATTGAGTTAATGATTTAGATTACACATTTAATAATAATATTAAAGCATAAGCACGGAAGAGCTTTATTATATAGTTTATAGAGATATTTTATATTAAAGAATATAGTACCTTGGAAGCAAAGATCCACGGCGGTAGCGGCAAAGCATAAGACATGTTAATCACAACGAATAAAGCTAGGTATGATGATGTATTGGATTGAAAGAAGGTAGCTTCTATGACAATCCTAAAGGTAATGGTTGGGTTATTTGATAAGAAGATTAAGGCGATCCTAAATCTAAGACTATAAGACGTGCGGATTGACTATATCCTATTGATTTTGTACAGAAGGGTTTTTGAGATACGGTTTTAGGTGTTCCTGTTGGATTTATGTCTTAAACTAGCAAGCTCTGTTAGTATCCTGTGAGCTCGGCGAATGTGCCGTCCAAGTCATCGCAAATCGCCTTGTATTTCTCCTTCTCGTTGAACAAAGCGTCTGTAAAATTTTGTTAATAGATAAATGTGAAAAACCCTGAAAGATGATCATGATTATAAGCTTGGTCTTCCGTTTGTGATAGCATCTCCGTTCAAGTTGTTAGGATTATTGTTTATTGTTGTTTTTTAAGTAAAATTTTGAAAAACAATTAAATTTTATTAGGACGAGACTTGGAATTCATCGTTGGTAATCAATCGATGAAATAACAAGAGCTGTCTCTGTTTATATTAATATATTAATGAATATTAGTGAGTTAGTCCCCGAGGCGTTACCTTCAAGCCTGTCGACTTCCTTCTGCAGTTTCTTGACAGTCTTCTCGGCGTATTCAGCGCGGGCCTCGGCTTCCTTGAGTTTGGAGGTCAGGGTCTTAAGCTGCTTTTTGAATTCTTCTACGCGCTGGTTAGCCTTCTCTTCTGATACTTCGAGTGATTTAAGGGAGTTACCTACAACCTGTTGGTTTGAATAGCGATTAAGATAATTATCACTACCTTTGCTACTGAAAATCATATTTTTTTGGCCTGTAAATAACACAATTGCAAACTTTCACACGTTGCATGAATAGATGGATACAATACCTTCAATTCCTCCTCAAGTTCTGAGATCTTAGCGTCACCAGACTTGACACGATCCTCAGCTACTTCAAGTTCGTCTTCAACGAAGGCTAACTTGCGTGAAACCTGAGTTTCAAAACATATTTCCTCTTTAAGAAGGTATAACAAGAAGTAATTAGTGGAATTTAATCAATTACGGGAAGGATTATTTGTAATTTTTGGCATAAACATAAGTAACATTGGATAAATACGTGGTAATTGGCTTACCTCATCAGATTTACCGTCGGCGTCCTCAGCAAGCAGACGAGCTTCTTTCAGTTGGTTGGTAAGCTGGTCCATACGCTCCTCGTCTTGTTGTGCCCTGTTCTCCAATACTTTGCACATACTGCAAACAAACAAATATAGATAAATATTATTTGAATAAAACTTATGTAAAGACAACCTCAGTGGCCTAGTGGTTAAGGGGCCCTTCTCTCATTGCCAAGGGCGCGGGTTCAAACCTGGCAAGTACCAATGTGATTTTTCAGAGTCATATGTATTTTATAAGAGCATTTAGACATCACTGACATACACAATTATAAGTTTGAAATCACCAACCCGTCTTGAGCAAGCGTGGTGATTAATGCTCAAACCTTCTCCATGTGAGAAAGAGGCCTTTGCTCAGCAGTGGGCTCTGATAGGCTGATGACATGACATGTAAATGTTTGGATGGAGCTCTATTAATAATTAAATTTCTATTAAAATATTTATTAGTAATTAAATTTATACTAAAATTCAAAATCAAGATATAGTTACACATAAATGAACTAAGATTTTCACGTGTACACATAGAAATTCGAGTTTTTATCTTATTTCTACATGTTCCGGAAGCTTCTATACTTATATCAGCCGCGATCTGGTAGACGACGTGATTATATTTGATTACCGATTTATCTTCTTCTATAAGATTTATATATATTACTAGCTTTCCGCCCGCAGCTTCGCCCGCGTGGATTTCGGTTATATTGCTTTTCCAAGAGAACCATTCAAAAGTCTGGAATAAAAACTATCCTATGTTCTTTGTCAAGGTCAACTCCATCTTCTTCTTCTACCTGGCAATTTCCCAGATAAAGCCAGGGTCTGCCTTACATGTTATGAATAGTTTTGGCTATTTGTTTTTACGACCGGCCGCCTGCCTGACATCAACCCTCTTTGGGAAAACTCAAGGTCAACTCCATCTCTGTACCAAATTTCATTAAAATCAGTTCAGTGGTAAACGTGAAAGTGTAACAGACAGGCAGACAGAGTTACTTTCTCATTTATAATATCAGTAGATATTTACCGGTTGTTTTCGTCAGCAGACTGCTGGGCTTCAAGCAGCTTCTGCTGGGCGGTGCCGGACCTTTCCTCGGATTTTTCCAAGTCCTCCTCAATCTGTTGGACCTTCCTGTTGAGAGCGGCCACCTCCGCCTCGGTGGCGGTCAGCTGTTTCTCCTTCTCTTCCAAGTCCTTGTTGGCTTGCTCCAGTTTGTTCTTGTTAAGGACGAGGTCCTCCTCGACTTGGGCGAGCTTCTTCTGCAGCTCACGGACTTCCTCGTTCACCTGGAATAGAAGATAAGTTCTTCTTTAAGTATGTCAAGTTAGTTTTAATTCATTTATGTGACTCTAATGATTGTTACGTAAAATTCTTGAACAGAATACTTTCGTGTATTATAAAACGATTTTTTAAATATTTTTTTTATTATATTTCTAGATTGCTTTTAAGTTTGCATTGTTTATTTAGTCTGTTGAGATATTGAGCTTGTTTCATTGGCATGGGGTCCAGGCAATCCCTGCACAGGATTCACGGGAACCCTTCCCTACCCCTCGCAAGCACCGCACATAACTCGACTCTCAGTTCAAACTAAGGGCTATGTTCTTTGACAGGAAGGTTATTGGGCTATCAGCATTTATCCACCATTCCCTTCATCTCAAAATCAACTATTTATTCACAACAAGCTGTGGCAGATGTCCTTGGACGACGGTAACTACTTTCCATCAAGTAGGCCGTCTACTTTTCCCCTTTTTACCATAAAATAAGTATATTTACCTTCTCGGCGCGGAGGTTGGCATCCCTGGCCTGCTGTTCGCAGGTATCTGCCTTGTCCATGGCATTATCCTTCTCCAGCTTCATCGCCTGCATCTTCTTCTTGATCGCGTCCATTGTGGCTGTTTTTTGTTTTCACGGTCCGTTCAAAATAATACGCCAACTGACCTTAACGAAAACAAAATATACAATACAAATTAGTATATTGATGTATATATTTCTTTTGAACTTAATATGAATTAGGTAGTATTTGTAGGTCTTGGCAACGCTTAATAATCAGTGTTGTGTGCTTTAATAAAATAGTATAACATCTGATTTTATCAAGAATTTAAATCATCAACGATCAGCTCTGTATACCGAAAAATGTAGAGCGTTTTTCAATTTCTATTTTTAACGTCCGTAAGCTTTTGGCAACCTCTAAAAGTTGATGTGTACACGATAGTATGAAAGCTATTTTATTCTGAACCCTCGCTCATAGTTGGCTGGCTTCCAATTATGATATGTATGGGAAATAACTGGTCTAAAATGTATCTGATATCACGATATTAAGTGATATACAACCTCAAGTCGGGTTAACGTCGATAATAGGAGTTTAAACATGTTTTAAATTTTCAAATCTCCTAATAGTTTATTTGATAAATCTAAATAGGTCATATTAAATCAGTTTATTTTATATAAATATAAATTCGGGACGTCTTAAAACAGATACACGGTTTATGCGTCGGTCAATCCGGTTGCGAAAATAAAAGACGCCGATGACGTGAGAGTATTTTTGGCCAAGCATCAAGATATTGTTAGCAGAAATAAATATCTCCACCAGCTGGTCCACAAATATGACGGTATTTAGTAATACATGAGAATTAAACCAACATTTTGGTATACATTTCGTAATAATCACGACTTCGCAAACCTTTTTTAAACTGTACGAAATAAACTTTTTGAAAATAATACTGTATGGACATGCCTGTGACATATGGATGTGCCTGTATTTCAATCTTTCAATTATTTGATATAATACGTATTTTAAGTTAAGCGGTTCTATCCTTATTTTGAATTTATTTTAACCTTAAATCAAAGATAAAAATTGATCTCTGTCTTCTTATTTAAAAAAAATTACAGCATTAATCAGATGATTGAAATTTGGTTGGAAATTTTAAAGACGATTCCAAAAAATATATTATTTTTCTTTAAATGATATACTCTTTTCACTTTTGTGAGTTTTTTTTTTGTGTAAATCATATGAAAATTTTGTTCTCGCCTATTAAAAACGATAAAAAGGAGGCCCGCCTGAAAAATATAAGTATAAACGGATTTTTTTAAATATAAATGTCATGTTTTTTTCTCAATTTTTAAACATAATGCTATTTTTTTTATCAAGAGTTTTGCTATTCTATTAAATTGTATGAAACTTTAAATAGGTCTCTGTGATCGCGATTAGAATTATAATTAATACATAGTTAATATAGCAATTTTAACAAGTCTTATCAAATTACTTAAGTTATTTTATTAAAAACAAAACATATTTGATACAAAAATCATTAAATACATTTTTTGACGTAGAATATCTTAACATAATTTTAGAACTAATTTTATCTCTATCAATAGATTGTATATTACATAAATTTTGTTTTTTTTCATATCTTATGTAATTCTATATGTGTATGTCACGATTATGTCTCTGTGTGGGTGTTTGTGAACAATCATGTCTAAATGCAGACTTGTAATGGGACACCTTACGCTACTCTCATTTATGGTTATCCCGAATCAATGGACGGACTAAAAAAAAACTAGTTTCCCCATAACGCCGAATAAATACTGACGAGAGCCGCAAATAGTCAAACACGAGCGCGCACTATTTTCAGTGAGTGAAACCCGAGTCACTCATCGCCAGCATCGCGACAGATGAACACAGAAAGATCACATCCTAAAAGGCTTGTACGCCACTGCACTTCACTCACGTATAATCGAAGGGGTTACACGTAAACCCTTGGGGTTCGGGACCCTTTTTTTCGGTAGTCAGGACCCCAGATTTTATTCTAACTCACCTAGCGGGCTGTTCACACGGCGGAGCGACACGCACTGCGCCGCCCTGCGCCAGCGCCGCCGCCCGCTATTTTCGGTGCCAAAAACTCCTGGATTCCATACCAATGCACACACCCACATCGGTGTTAACTTACCCGCGTTTGTTTGGGTATAACGGGTTAAAGAATTATTAATTACCTTAAAGGATGGCGCGAATATAATAACTATTAACTAAAAATGATTTTAATTCATATTCTCCTTGTTGCTTCTTTGTGTTAAGTAACTTCTTGAACTGTACAGCCTAAGTCTATAAATAATTTCATATGAATGATCAAATTGTTAGCAGTCGTTACTCAAGATCTTTCATCCCGTTTCCACCTACTTAACGAAAATTTAAATCTAGATAACATGTTGAAGTACTGGAAAAGTATTAAGTATTTTCTAACAAAAAACATTTGATTGGACGTTAATGAATTAGTGAAGTAAAAATTAATTTTCTCTAAATAATTAAAGATTTTGTTGTAAAGTCTATGAGTAATATTATGACTGTATAACTCATATATTTACTGGCTTGACCGTAATGACCATATTTGTATGGATTTACTGATCTTTCTATTTCTTTCTAAATAATAATAATCATTCTTTAAAAACCAAATTCAAAGACACCTTATAAATAAACATTTCTGAAGAAAGCAAAAAAAAAGAAGGCGGGTATGTACATACGTATATAAATGTATATATAAATATCAAAGGTTCTATTGTAATGTAATTGTAATATGTATATGATTACTATTATACCATTCAACATTCTTAAAGGAGAAATAACAAAGCTAACTCAATACATAGTTTGATTTGGCTACAACTGTAATGAATAAAAAAAAGCTTATGTCAAATATTCATGAAAAAATACGGAATAATAACAAGATGAATTAAGAGAGTACTTATTCAGTATTTATAAAATCAAATGAATTATTCTCCAATTATGAAAAAAAAAATCTTATTGTTTTAAAAGAAAGTGTGTTTTAGTTTAATTTAGCGAACCTTGAGCTACCGTCACCTCTATATTTAGTAATTACATCTATAAAATCTCGTATTTAAAAACAGGAGCTAGAGAAAATAAAATTCAGAATAAGAAGCTGCAAATAACAGGCTTCTATGAAACAGCTGTTAAAATTAAGCCTGTTACTAAGCTATAAAAGCAGTAATAGCTAAAGGCGAGCATATTAAATTACGTTTACTAATCTTTGAAAACTATTTAAACATTCAAGACTACAGTTATTTTTTATTATATATGTACAAAACATTGATCCGAGACATACGGTCAATTTCATTATCCCCATTCATAAGCAAAATTCTATAAATATATAATGAATGAAAACCTACTGATTTAGCTCCATAGCACAATATTTTTGTATCTTACAATAACATAATATATTGATTTGGAGTTCTTTGGCACTTATTATGTATAAAGGATTTATAGTAGTTATGTTTAGTTCCTCTTTATATTTATTGTTACTTATTATATACGTAAAAAAGTTTTGTGGATTTCAATACAAAAAGAAGAAATGAGTCATTTAATACATTTCATAAGAATATTCTGGTGTGTTTTAGATGTAAAAACCACAATGTCTTTATCTCTTGATAGCTCACGACGAAATCCGAAAGAAATTTTGAGATTTTTCTTTATAATTATACTTAGGTACCTACTTGTAATAAATTTTGTATTTTTGAAATACATCCATATTTTTTTATGGTTTAGTATTGTTATCTCTTTATTATAAACTTATTAGAAGTTTAATATGTTCTGTAACATTGGTTATGTACAATTTAAGTATTTAATTTCGAACGAATTACATTCTAGTACATCTTTGTAACACCAGATGGAGTTATAAATAAAGTAAGAAATAGAAAAGCAAAATTTTAAATCATCAAAAAATTTATGATTGCTATTACAAAATTTACTATATAAATTTATGCCAGCTCAATTATACAAAGTAACTTGTAACTTCTTCTTGATTTAACATTTTTATAGCTTTTTTTAAAATAAAAAATCAAATATTGTGACGTTTATGAAAGTTCAAGATAAGTACACGTAACATCATGTTTTTATTGTTATTTTTAAGATGTAGCTTTTTATGAACACGAATGTTTAACTAAACTCTTCATACAATCATAAGAAAACATCTCCAAAAAGTTTATATTGAAAATTAATAAGGAATATTTAAACAGCAAATTTATTAGGTATGTAACTTTTCTCTTAATTTTTTTATGTTCCTTTTAGCTTTTAAAAGACGAGATTTGCTGAAACTATATTGCTTGTAATAGATAGTACAAGCAATATAATATTACTTATATGGAAGCTATTAACAGATACAATTAAGCACATGAGTCATTCGAATAACTGCAACACATGTTTTCCAAATGTATATTTGTTTATTATACAAAACTAGTTACAAATTAAAATAGACTTTTTAAGTAAATGTAAATAATTTTCGAAAGAGAGGATTACAAATATTATGATAAACTTTTAAGAAGTTTATTAAGATAGTTTTATTCAATAAAACATTAAATTCTAATACTGAAAAGACTATATAAAATTACATATTCATTTTGGATTATAATAATGGGTGTAACAAATAAAAGATATTTTCATTACAAACGTATAATTGTGGAAATGAAACAGTTAAAGAAAGCCCTTGACACACTTTATATATAAGCTGTTATTTATGAAACAAGCTGTTATAACAATACAGTTGAAAATATAAAGCCATATATAATATACATATAGCTTAAAAAAGATTGTTAGATGGCTCAAAGAAATGTACAATCAAGATAATTGTACTTTTACGATCACATTAAATTGTCTTATTTTAATCATCATTAAATCAGTAACAAGTGTGTTTCATTGATTTTCCGACCAACAATGCTAATTTAAATCTTCGAAAAATACAATTATCTCATTTCATGAAAATAATTGACATAAAAAATATGTCCATTTTTATTCGATATTAGTTACAAAAGATGGATTCCTATTTATAAACGGTCCGTCATACAAAATACATACAAATGCTTCATTAAGACCTAAGTCATGTTTAACGATTTGCCAAAATATTCATTTTATAACGGCAGTGTTATGGAAAGGATAGTTACATTTAATTTTACTTATAAAAAATATGTAATTACAAATGATTCTATATTTATTCTCTATATTATGTATTACTTTTATTTTTTATCTTATTACATTATTGGAATGTCAAAAGTCAAAAATGAGAAACGTCAAAGAAACGTCATTTATTGCTCGATACAAAAGCCTGCGAAATCAGCGTTTTAGTTCAACAATGGAATGTTTACTTGCGGATTGTGACCACGTTCTACAACACGGCTATGAAAGGCACGCAAGTGGAGTTAAATTTAAATAATTTTACCCTTATACTACAGAATAAGATACAAGAAGTGATGGTATAAAACTTTTAAATTCACCTTCTCATGCCAGCAAATTATACATAAGCATAACTGTTATTATCTTAAATCGATGTTTTCAGTAACCTGATAGATCCGCGAATGTCTGATCTACTTCTTCGGCGATAGCTTTATACTTACTCCTCTCTTCCATGACTTCATCTGTTAAAAATTAGTTAGTTAGTTCATTCAGTTAGATTTTCATTGTAAAATAATATTTTGTTCACGATTATCATTAATAGTTAAGCATAGTTTTTTGAGTTTCAAAATAACTTAAAATAAAGCGTCTACGAAATAAATTATATGGTTGCAGTATAAATATATCTAGTGTACATTAGCAAGACATGCAAACTACTTCTCTATAAGTGACTGTCTACAAAATAGCAATAAATACTTACGTGATTATAAAACAGTTTAATAATATATTTGTGATAATAAAATCATAATAGATCTTTCAGAAGCCACCTCAAATTTTGTTTGCCAGGCGTGAAACTATTTACTTTTAATATAGTATTTACAGTTTTATAAATGGAAGAAAACATGATAATTAAAAATTTAAATAAATATAAGTTATCACATTAATTAAGGCAGAATGCAAATGGAATAAATCTATGTACTTAATGATTACTTTAGAGGTGTTTTCCATAAATATAAAAGGATTTGAGTTACACATACGTAAATCTAAAAAGCAGGATATATAAATAAAATAAAAGGATGAAAAAAAATAATTAAAAAACAAATATAAAATAATAAATGATTTATTTTAAAAAATTTATAATAAATATCGCCGTAATGTAGATAGATGTATCTTTAAATAAGGAGTGTAATATATTATGTCTATACATATAACGCGTATGGCGCCGGCTTTAAAGCAATATAATGATAGTGCCTTATTCCTTGAGGATAAGTTCCACGAAGGCCGTGTCAAGGTCGTCGCCGATGTCCTTGTACTTCTCCTTCTCAGCGACAAGCTCGTCTGCACATCACCAAACGTTATAATACCAACCAACACACAATATACCTCATTGTACACCTAGCCTATACGAAATATCCGTTCCTCAAAGTCAAGTTTAATACAGCGTCGTGATTTAATATAATAAAAGATTATGCTTACATGTCGCTGTCCGGTTATTCCGAAGCCATGCGTCGATAAACGCATGCGTAATTCGGCGTTATAGCCACTCAACTGATATATTCTTAGTACAAACAAAGCGTGATATTTATTAAGCGGTTATCGAACGGCTAGTAGCTCCCGTTCATGGCTCGCTTCCTCGGTAATGTCTGGAAACCTAACGTTATGATCACACGCATGCAAATCAAAGACTATTTATTCCACCAGCTAAGATATTCCTATATTTTATTTTATATTTTATTATACACATGTCGCTATTCGGCTGGAGTTGGTTCAGTTGGTGGGGGAGTTGGTTCTTTTGGTGGAGGAGTTGGTTCTTTTGGTGGGGGTGTTGGTTCTTTTGGTGGTGGAGGAGTTGGTTCTTTTGGTGGTGGGGGTGGGGGGGTCTTTTCTTTTGGTGGTGGTGGGGGTGTTTTTTCTTTCGGTGGTGGGGGTGTCTTCTCCTTGGGCGGCGGTGGTGGGGGCGCGTTCTTCTTCTTCTCGAGCGCCAGCCGCGCGGCCTCCACCTGCCTGCTGGTCATGTCTATGCCGGGTATGAGCTCGACGACCGTGTCATCAATGTCGTCAGCGATGCCGTTAAGCTTCTCCTTCTCGTTGATCAGGTCATCTGTGTGAGTCATGACGGTCAGTCATGCCGTGGATGTTCCGGGTCATCAGTCATGCGTTTGTATGGATCGGTTTCTTCCATGCTTCGGTAAGTTATCACATAGGTCGCGTGTCTCAATCCCCTTTCATGCGTTATAGTTACAAGTGATGTTCGTTCCAATGGTATGTACAAAAATCCATTTATTAACGTTGTTATAATAGCTGGTGGAACCATGTTGTGGGGTGTGGAGGGTATTAGTAAAAACACAACGGGTTAAAAATAATAATATAATATATTTTATAAACACTTGTGTTAGAATACTCTTAAAATTATTAATTTATTTCTCACGAACTTATCTCTCAATTCATTAATCGACAACATTAAAAAAAAAAAGACGGATTACCCTCGATCGTGTTTTTATAACATTTAATTTAATTTACTGAATAACGCGAACCTCCACGGAGGCTAAATGCCAGCTAGAATTACAAAAGCTACTCCATATAATGTCATCATTCGTATTTACTTCAATAAATAACAGCGCCGAAATATGACACAAGAAAATTAAAGTATAATAATTCATTAAGCATAAATATCATTACTTTAGTGTTGCCATCACTCAGAAATAAAAAAAATCTCATTACTATAAAAAAAAAATACAAAAACTCATTATTAAACCGCAAACAGTGCGTATATTACATCGGTATTGAGTAGGAATGAATTAAGGAATGTCTTTACAACGTGTCTTTAAATTGCTATAAATTTTGCCAGTATCCACGACTATTATGGTCCCAGTAATGGAATGTCGAGATACATTAATATCAAAATTATACTTAATGGAAATGAATCAAAGATATACTTAATGGCAAAAAATAATTAAATAGAAATATTAGTAAACTGTGTACGATATATAAAAAAAAATTGCACATGGCAGTGGTGTCGTAGCGAACGCTCGATCTTCAGACGTGAAAAATATAAGCGGCTGGCAATTACTTTACATTTACACCCGACCGCCTCGCTCGATACCTTGTCATAATGTAAAAGTATCAAAAAAATCAATAAATAATGACGTATGCCCGACCTAACCGTATACTAGTGATCAATGTCACTGTGACGCGTGTCAAGTTTGACAGACGTCAAGATTGACAGGCGTCAGAGATGACATAATAGTGAGGGGTTGTCGCGGGGTCGTAAATTTCATCGATATCGATAGAGCCGGGTGGGTATTGGAATGTTCACATGTTCTGGATGTCGTGGAGCGTCGCCTCCATTTCTTCTTGAAGGACTTTGCTCTTTTCGCGCTCAGCCACCAGGTCGTCTGCAAGCGACGCGCCCACGTCAATCACACAACACATAATACAACACGAACAGTCCTTACATTCATATTAAAACATAAAGACCGTTCCAGCATAATCAGGCAACATTTAAAAAACCATGCAAAAAAAAACATCGATACAAAAAAAACTACTCTAGCAGGAAAAAAACTCCATGCTAAACATAACAGTTGAAAATATACGACAAAAAGAGTAATATTCGCAATTATGGCCATACGAAAAAAACTATACATGTTACAATGAAATAAAGAAAAAAATATTAAGCTTGAGATAGCGTAATGAGAGTAAAAAAAATAAGCTTAAAAAATCTATAGTACAGCTTTGAAACTCAAGAACAGCTTTAGATGGTAACAGTGCGGTTATGTCGAAGCTTTGGTTATTATAAAACTTGACTTCAGAGATATAAACAATTATCACTCAACCGACTGCTGTACTGGATAAAATAACTGCGGAACCTTGAAAACTTTTCAAATCATTTTATACTTGATATAAGAATATTTTTAATCTGTATTTTTCGGACAGATAATATATTATATTTACCTTCAAGCCTGTCGACCTCCTTTTGAAGTTTCTGGACCGAACGCTCAGCGAATTCAGCGCGAGCCTCAGCCTGTAAATTTATAATAAACAATTATTATAAGCACTTCAAGTGGACGACCGTTTTCTTTGAATATAAATGATACCATTTAAAATAAATGATATCAAAGAAAAGGATCGTCCGAATTTTTGGTGCATGCAACACTAGTCTGAATTTAGTTTTAGTTAAAAAAAACTGTTCGCTATATTGACATTTATTTAGTTATCAAAAATTAGTTTAAAGAATTTACATCAAAAAAATTTTTTATTTTTTTATTTTTTCTTACAAAAGCGTAATTTTAGTTACGAAAAAAAAACTGTAGACATTAAAATCAACAATGTACAAGCCCACACAACATGCATTACCTTCACCAAAGCATCTATGTGCCGAACTGATCTACAAATAAACCTCTAAATAATACCCTCTAGTAATAAACAATATGTATAAATATAATAAATAATTATTGGAAAGGAAGGAAACTGGTCACCAAGGAGGCTGAATATTATGTATTAAAAAAATGTATAACTTAATGTGCTTAAGGAATGGCATTTTTGTATTGTAAGCTTATTAACTTAACATAATACCAGTAAGCTTATATTTATTTATTACTTAATTTGAAATGACAATATAATCATTGTAATCTTTGAAAAGTTACAATAGTAATTTTTGAATTTGTTTAATGAGACCTAACATAATTAAAGTTTAAAAAAAATCTCATACAGATAAAGAACACTTTAATGTTCCTTTTTCAAATCTCCCATTATGACTGGCCATTTAGAATTTATAAAAAAAAAAATATGACATCCGCTATAAAACTCCATGGTGACCAAATAGTAAAGCACTTACTTGCGTCAGTTTCTGCGTGAGGCTGTGTATCTTATCCTCGACGTGATCACGGGACGCCATCGCCTGACACACATACTACATGTACACGCATACAGACTTGTGATTGTACGCCGATTGGGTAGCGAGGGGAGACGGGAGATATTCATAGTGTAGATTAAAAATAAGGACAACCTCCTTTGAGAATCGACCTCTATATATAATTAAAAAAAAAAAACTAAACTACTCCAGCCAAGCTGAACTCAAAGAGCGCTAAATCCCAAAAAGCGTACGATCACAACACAGGCATTATATATAATATAAATAAAGTATATAACTATAGACCGATATAAACATAGATGAAGCACCAACCGCTGGACCAACCCATACATTAGCACAGATTATATATAGGGTGTATCTAACAAGATAGCGACTCCGACTACAACCAAACTCCTTCAAACAAACCTCTTTGAGCTGCGCGTCGAGCAGCTTCACCTGACCCTCGTATGTCTCTTCCCTTTGCGTAGCCTGTGATTATTTTATGTTAACGTATAACAAAACTAATATCCATGCTGTATCTACACTGTAGATAACTTAGTTAACATCTATACTATACACAAACATCTCTGTTAAAAGAACAGTAAATCGACTGCCATCGTTATTATTTAATGAGTACTGCACACCCAATTTATTATAAGCATTTAAATTTTGAATTTCGAACGCTGACTTCCAATAAGTAATAAAATATTTCCTTATTTAAATTTAATCCATCACTCTCAGCATTTGAATTTTTGAATTTCGAACACCGTGCAAAGACCAATGACAAAATGTTTCCTTATTTAAATTTAGAACATCACTCTCCGTAAAGGAATTCAAATTTGGAATGTCTATAATGCTTTATACAATAAATGGGGCGTGACAGCTACACAATAGTGTTAGCAAGCGTACGACACTCGCAAACATTCGTGTTCAAAAACATCACACCTCCTTTAGACGGGTGGTGAGAGTTTTGATCTGGTTTTTGTACTCCTCTTCGCGTTGATTGGCCTGTCAATTTTCATTAAATTATTTCTAAATCTTATATCCTATGTTTTTATCATGATTGGTTGGTGCGTCATAAAATATAATCAATATTTCATGATAATTAGCTTAGCCTAGCACTTATGTCTAACTAGTGGTAACTCTCATACCTTTTCTTCGGAGACTTCGAGGGACTTCAAGTTGTTGCCGACGACGCGGAGCTCCTCCTCAAGCTCGACGATTTTGCTGGAATTAGAAATGAACAATCAGGACGCATCTTTATTGGTCGCCATATTGGATGTGTTTTATTTTTAAATTTAACAATATTTTTTTTATTAAATTTATATGGCGTCATCAATTATATATGCCAGTCATTGTAATGACTTCAATATTAATATGTCCCAAATAGTTTTCAATTAATTCAAATAAATATAGTGCGCTCATTGATTATTGTGTAAGATCATGCGAGTTAATAAAATAAAGGTCAATAGTTACATTATTCTCAAATTCAATACTATTGATACAAGTTTTCTTCACAGTTAAATGTAACTATTGATTAAGCATGCAAAATAAATTAAGCCATCAACAACGATATTTTATTTAACTATATTTTAAGATTACAAACTGTATACCTAGTTCAAAGTTAAGAAAACTGAATTAATATTTAAAATATCGTTGTTGTCGTTATTATTTCGGTCGTTGTAACACTACTAGATATGTCAGATCTTAGAAACTATATACTTTTCATCATTTCATACTACTTTTTTACTTCTATTGCTCTTTCTTTCCATGTGTGTGTATAGCTGTGTTCTCTCTATATGTGTGTGTGTGTGGGTGTCAATATCTTCTGTCTATGTATGTATGTGTGTGTGCATGTCAATGTCTTCTATCTCTGTGAGTGTGTGTATGTGATTCCCTGTCTTCTTTCTTTCTATGTGTGCGTATACCAGACTTCTCCCTCTGTATGCATACGTGTCTCTGTTATCTATGTGTGTGTGTGTGTGTGTGTGTGTGTGTGTGTGTGTGTGTGTGTGTGTGTGTGTGGGCGCGTGTCCCTGTTTTCTCTCTCTATCTGTATGTGTGCGTGTGTACGTGTCCCTGTCTTCTCTCCCTGTGCGTATGTGTGTGTGCGTGTCAATGTCTTCTTTCTCTATATGTATGTATGTGTGCGTGTCCCCGTTCTCTCCCTATACGTATGTGTGTGTGTATGCTTGTCCCTGTCTTCTCTATATGTCTGTCTGTGTGTGCGTGTGCGTGTGTGTGTGTGTGTGTGCGCGGCCCGCCCCCCCACTCACCACTCGCTCTGCTCCGCCCTCTCCTCGGCCCGCTCGAGGTCCGTCTCCATCAGCACGAGCTTGCGCGCCACCTACCGACCGCGTTAGTACACGCGCACACAACACGCCGCTGTCGGCAACACGCTATGTGCTTTGTGCTTATGAGATAGAGTTCGGAATTGAGTGCAGCGGGGGAGGCTGAAGGAATTGGGGAGGAATTGGGAGGAGGGGGAGGGAATTGGCTCCACAGGCCGGGGATCACACAAAGCGGGAGGCCGAGAGCGCTAGTAAACGAGGGTTGTCCCATAACATTTAATATTTATATATATATATTAATTTTCAATAAACTATTAGTTAAAAAAAATTTAATGATTATATTCTAAGTGCTATCTAGTGCGTTCGTTTTTAATTTATGTGATGTGTGCGCTTGCATATGTGCGGCACGCATACGGCCAGTAATTCTGGTGTAATGCGGTGCATATCTGAAAACGAAAACTTCCCTATACCACACATATCTATCGGCTGGTAGTAGCCTACGCCACGGAACACACACTCAAGACAGAAGTACCGAGTACAGACGTACATCATAGTTAAAATAGCGCTACAAGTAACCATGAGATGGGGCAACCCTTGTTTCTAACTTATACGAAAACGACCCTGGCAGTACAGCGAATATTGCTAGAGTCACTTTCTTGGGACCTAATACTAAGTTATGCAAAACTAATTAATTAAAAAAACAACACATTATAAACTAGACTCCGGAACACATCTCGCCGCTGGACCTGTTCATGCATCACGACAAGTTATAAACCAAAACGACCTGGGTTAAGTGCAGAGTTAATGCAAAAAATCAACAACCATGCAAAACGGTACAAAATACGATCAATGTTACTTGATACTTTACAGCCTCTTGGTGTAAACTGGTCAAGTTAATATCGGTATTAAGTAACGTTAAATATCTAAATACAATGGGACCTACGATTCGCCAGCCTCGGCGCGTTCTTCAGCACGCTCCAGATCAGCTTCAACCATAGCCAGCTTACGAGCGACCTGGACACACAAACAGCTTTAGGCTCGTAATAAGATCAATACTAAAAATCAACCTTATATGGCCGTATTATGAAATGAACTTGCAAGTCCTTTTATGGGAAAGAAACTTAAGACCAGACGATCGCCATGTTCGGTCATTGAGGCCACACGGGGTCATACGAAAGGAATTAGGACATAACATCTGTCTTTAAAATGACAACGAAACTCATTAACAAGCCAAGGTTATAAAATCTTATCTTGGGGAATGATTAATACGAAATTATCGATAGCAATAATCATGCGAGGAAAAAACGCGATTCCAGTTTAGTGTAAAAAAAATAATCAAAATTAGTCAACACACAACTGATTATATATTAGTTGGAAGTCCTTTGAGATTCAATAGGAATATTACAAACACATCAAAAATGAGAATAAATTAGATTAGAATGTTTTATATTGGAATGAGGTCAGGATATAATTGTTTTAGAAGCAAAACAAAAAACAAACGACCACACAAATGGACCTCATCGTATTTCTTGTCAGCTTCCTCAGCAAGGAATCTTGCTTCTTTGAGCTGGTTCTCCAAAGCGTCCATACGTTCTTCATCAGCCAACGACCTGTTTTCCAATACCTTGCGGGCGCTGGACGTAATAAACAATCATATAATATATAATATCAAGGGTGACCCAATACATGCAAGACAACACAATCAAGGAACGAACAAAGCATTGAGAAGAACCTGCTGAAAAAGTTACAGAAAATATAGCATCCTGTTTATAAACAAACAGAATACGTATAGTTAAAACTAATAACACCATTTACTTAATAACTCAATTTAAAGGACAAATAAAAACAAATTTACATTAAATTTTAAATAAATGGTGCTATATAAAATTAGAATTAATACTGTTGCTACATGAAAGAAATCTTTGACATTCAAAACGGTTATTAAACTAAATTAATTTTGATAAAAAAAATCGTTTCTGAACGATGTTTTTTTTTCATATAGCAACACTAATTAAACGTCATGATGACATTTCTTCACCTCTTCGTATTTCTTGTCAGATTCCTCGGCGATGAGTTTCGCCTGTGACAGCTGAGCTTCCAAAATGGCGACGCGGTCGTCCTCCATATTTGTACGATTCTCCAAGGCCTTGCGTATTCTGATTAGTGCGGGGCAAACACATGCGTGTTATACATCGATATTTTTTTTTTAACGACAAATAATATAATGATTTTAGTTAGAATGTAGGAAAAATTTATAAACACAGATAAAAAAGATCACACATGAAAATATGAGTTTCTAACACAACACTCATGCACATTGTAATAAATTTTAAAAATAAAATGAATCAGTTTAATATTTAGTTTATAATCATTGAACAAAATGTATTCATATCTGCTATACAATTTCTCTTGCGTGTACAATCGATTCTTAATTTGTTCTCTATTCGAAAGTTAAACGAATGTAATTATATTGTTAGAGACTTTAGTATTCCAATTTCAAACTATTTTTTTTTTTAATTCAAAGCATTATACAAAGGCAAAGATCTCACCGTTCGGACTCATCAGCTGCTTGGCTGGCCTCGGCGAGTTTAGCTGTAGCTGTGGCGAGACGTTCCTCAGACCTTTCCAAATCCTCCTCCAAAAGTTGGATGCGTCTATTAAGAGCTGCGACCTCGGATTCGGCCTGGAAATATATAATTCATCAACCTCACGCACATATTAACTACATACTATATGCTTTCATAGAAATATTTAAATCTAACAATATTATATATAAGTATTAAGACCTTTTTAATTAAACCAGAGTTGATATCAAGTATTCCTATCAAGTACGTCCAGTACAATCGATGACGAACCCATACATTACCGAATAAGCGTTAATAAATGTACTGTTTTACATTTACAACACACGAACAGAAAGTAATGTGGACGACAGATCCATATATAACATAATGATGCATTATATTCTGAATCTTCGACACAACAACACAACAAAAAAAAAATGAAAAAAAAACGCGGCTAATTTGATTATCACGTGACATTTATTCATTAGTGATGTCCAAGTCAAGTGAGTACAGTTATCGATTGAACCGTTGATTTTTTTCGCTATTCTATATTTAAAACATCGACACTGCATAGTTAAACGTCGAGATGTTACGTGAAAAGAATTAGTTATTCGAAATATTTCGCGATCGTAATTTATATTCGCATCCGCGCGTCACTATCATGTCCTTGTTGTCGGGAAGACAGAACGAGTCCCAGTTTCTTATTCTTATTACAGTTCTATATATAGAACTCATATTATTAACGACAAAAAAAACACAATCCTATATGTGTTGAATGATAATCAAATATTTCCATTGAGTCGCCTTGAACTCGAAATTCAAATGCCTCGAGGCATTAGAAGCAATACAGTGTGAGTAAGTGGAGATTTCGGCTCAGAATTTAGTGTCAACAACCTCAGTTTTGGTAGCTAAGAACAAAGTAAGGACAGTTAATTTTCCTTTGTTAACTGATCCGTGCATCGATAAGGTTTCATTATATGTTACACATCACTACACTAAGTAATGTATGTATTATGGAAGGGCGGACATATTGTTCAAAAGTTTTTGTTCAAACTTCAACAATGACTCCCAAACAATCGGCTACCGGACCTCGTAGGGAACGAATTCCAGGCTGACCGAGGACTTTTGTTACATAAAACAAATCTAAAACATTTATCGACTTTGAAATCCTAAGCGTTTCGCTAATTAGCTACGTCCGGTACTGTTAGTGATATAATGTAGTACATTGCATGTAGTTAATGGGATACCTAACTAAATTAAAGAGATATCTTACTTTAGAAATCATCATCGTTATATATGTAACTAACTAACGCTACTTAATAACCTGGTAAAATGTTATGTAAATATTTTTCCTACTTCAAACTTCTACTCCTAGACTATAAACAAAGATTTTTGAATGAAACGCCCTCAGAATTGGCTCTGGAAGAGTAAAGAAATGTAAAAATTCATTTCAATGTTTCAGGTGATGTAATCTAACGTGAATATGTTAGATTAGTAACCAACCTGATTTCACAGTGAACAATTCCTTATCGCCTCGATATACTGGCATGATAACGCTTCTTCTTTCAAGGAAATAAAATTATTCAGAGATAAATTATTATTAAGCATATTGCATTAATATCGGGAAGGAAAACGTTTAGTCAGGATTCAATTATAGATTCATGTTTTGTATGTAATATTTTTAGGCTTAAATTACGTCATGAGGCGATAAAAGCAAAGAAACGGACACGCCTTTCTGGCGCCGGCGCGAACCTTTGGGGACGTCTGAGCTGGATTTACTGAATAAGAGAAATGCATCGAAGGGTCCGGAGTAGCACGAACCGGCTCAATCTACATCATGTGGCACTCACAAGCTTAGCGAGCGACCTCCAACACAAACCTGTTACTTGTAACAGAAACTAGCACATCGTGTACCGCTAAATTATGTAAAGATCGATTCATTTACACTTATCCGTATTAATATTGCATTAATCTAAAGTTTTTTTGTAACGAATAACATATCTTTCTCGACAAACGGAACATGGTAGCAATATGTAAGAAATAAAAATCATCTATCTCGCTCCGACGAATTACGGAAAGACGTAATGAAAAGAGAGGCGAATATGCGTACGTCGCCGGCACACCTATGGCCGGACATTACTCACTGTAATAGGTAGATAGTAATGTAACTTTACAGAGCCACTGATAAATGCTAGGATCACAGTTATACCTTAAAACACATGATAAACTAAAATAGAACACATTACACGACACCAATAAATTGCACATAATATCTTACTTCTTCTCTCCGCATTATTTCCACTTGTAATCTTTTGTGATACTCCTCACATTCGTCTTTATATTTCTCCATTTCTTCTTTAGTTTGACGCATTTTCTTTTTGAGAACATCCAAAATGGTTCCTTGTTGCATATTCGTCGTCATTTTGTCTACTTTTTCTTATAACAAATGCCTAAATGCTAAAACTATAGACACCTTCGCTCTACTCGCGAAAATACCAACTGACTGGCCCGTTCGTTACTGCTTCGTATCACAGCGATACCTAAGCACGAATGATCACAGCCGGCGAATAAAATGGCCGCCACCAACTTGACGCTGCAACTTTATCGCAATTCACTAATGACACGCTTGTATGCAACGACTTGGAATGATAACGATTATTAATGATAATGATATGATACAGATATAATAATTTAATTATTTTGCCACAATATTTAACATTATTTAACAAGTGACCGCTGACAGCGAACTTTAAAAGAACAGTAAACGTCACACGCAGCCAACCTCGCGGCACGCACTAGCTCCACCTGTTAAATGTATGTGGAAGTAATATCCTGTAGGGACTAAAGAAAAGCCAAAATATTTGGTGGGTGAAACGGTCCAAAGGCTTCACACAATAATACGGATGCTATTCCATAATAGTATTTATGAATAACAATAGTGGGAACGGTTATAAATTTAATGCTCATAAATAGATCTATTGTATTTAGGTTCATGTTTTAAATAATTTATATACAACTATAAACATTATAGCCTATACATAATAACACTACATAGAAAATATTTCATATGATCACATTATTATTTAATCAAAAGATTACATGGAATGAAAATATGTATTTTATAACCAAAGACGTCATTTTATTTCAGCGCCATCTAGCCAATATTTCGCGAACTTTTAAGGAATCGAGTGTAGTGTAACGAGTTTCGAGATAATAATAATGAACAAACCACACAGGCTTGTGCTGTAGCCCAAATTCAATTGTATGACGCAATTTAGAAAGTATGCGTCTACTTAAAATTCTGGTAAATAATTATACCGAAACTACATGAAACGTAGTTTTCAAGTAACACAAAGATTATAACATAGTTAAATGAAGTAAAAATTTTACCGTACGTTTTCTAAACAGGTGGGCTGACAAAAAATGATCTCATTTTATACTTATTGAGCATGACCTGATTCAGTGATGCTACAGAGGATATATTAATTAACCTTGGCAACATACAGCTCTGTGACGACAAATAATGCTTATGTACATAACACTACTATATTATAACAAGAATGAATTTTATTTGTTATACAAAATTCCTCCATCATGGAAAATAAATTATTTTGTATATAGAACATTTTCTTCGTTATGCAAAACGTGGTATAATCTCCTGTCAAACTTATATGGCTTCTACAATGAGTTAAGGTCGGATTAAGATAATAAGTAAGAGAATTAAATTTACCAAGACGTAAAATAGTATAAAATATTACGTACTTAGCAATCTATTAGCACAGATAAAAATAAAATGTCATTATTTATAAGAGACGAAAAAGGTTTTAATACATTTAATTCAGTAGAGGTGAAAAAACAAATGTCGAAAATAAATATATTAAAATTAAATATAATTAGTATAAACGATGTTATATACCTACGAAGTGTTCTCATTTAAATTTAATAGGCATTTTTGTTTCAAACAATTATTTTAACATCGACCTTGTCTATTGAGTTCTTAACAAAATTTTGTTATCCATTTGAGAAGCAATTAGAATGTCGTAACTAATGATTATACTCTTGTTTATAATTAATATCAATCTATTTTAAATTATATGAAAACCATATAATAATAGAATCATTAAACGTTAAATTTATATTCAAAATTATATAATTACATAGAAAGGAACATACTAGTTTTGGAATATTAATTCTTTAATACATTAAAATATATTTTCCTTATATAAAATCATGTTTTAAAGTGTATCGTTATATAAATTGAGTTTTATATACATCGTACATCACTCAAATCGAGACGTAAAAAAAAGAAAGTTGCGGATAACTTAAAATCATCGTTTAAGAACTTAAAATCGGTATGGAAGAAAAATTCACGACTCACATAAGATGTTTCTGTTATCTGATTAACAAAGTAGGACACTACAGATTTTGATAAAGGAAAATGTGCTCTATAAGAATTTTATTACCTAGGAACATCAGATGTAATATTCGTTTTAAATAGTATTAGTTTCGTCCAAATAAATTTATTTGAAGAGTCAATAAGGTCCAAATTAAAAGTAACTTTATGTTAGGCCACACTGGCGACATCTAGCGGTGCAGATGGCAAACGAAAGCGTAAACAAGTCAAACGAAACGTCAATGGCTCAGCTGATCGCCACGCGCGGGCTACAGCCGTTTAATAGAACAGACTCAAGACATTTAGTATAGAACGTTTATAAATAGTCCCCTGGCGCATTTGGCACACGACGTGAACACACACGTACAAAAAATCTAAATATGTAGGTCGTTACCCTTTTTAACGCCGTGTTCTTTATGTTCTGCAACTCATTCTTAATAATAGAAAACTTCATCATAGTGTCGGAGGAGAATATGGAGCTGCCGAACGCCAGGCCGGGGTAGTCGGCGCATCTTCGGCGGCGGCGGTTCTCTCTGGCCGCCAAAACCTCGGTGCACTCGCTGGGACACCGCAACTTGGCGAGCTCCACCGTCTCTGGGTCGTCATCACAGGTGTCAGAGGGCAGGGTCGCGACCTCCGCCCCGTCGCCAGCCGAGCGCTCCTCGTGGAAAGAAAACTCCTCATCCGAACTGAAGTTAGGCTCGGCGTTCACACCGAAATCGATTTCATCATCAATCGAGTCCTCGATTCGATTCGAAAGTGCATCGTCACTATTCGTCCTTGTCGATTGAGATTCACTAACACTGTCACAGGGCACAACATTGTCTGGGGTCGCCGCGGGCGGAGGTTGCGGGTCGGGGGCGGGGGTCCGCTCGCCCCGGAGCCGCGGGTGGTGTTGGTGCCCCCTGCGCCGCACGGGGGCGCGCCCGTGGGCGTGGGGCGCGGGCGCGGACATCACTGCACACCGCGCGCTCCTGCCGGCCGCGCAGCGCCCGCCATCTTTACTGACTCGCTGTCAGTGTCACTCACAATAACAATAACGTGGCGCTGCCGTCGCCGCCTACCGCCATCTCTCGGATTTTATTCGAAGCTTACCGACATTTCGAACTGTTTCGGTTTAACGCGCGGGAAAATAAAACGCAACTACTCATAACTCAATCCGATATAAGTAGATAATCTAACTATGTATAGGTAATTTAATCCAGTCGCAACAATCAATATCAATTATAATATCGAACTAAAATAATCAATGTGAATGAATAATAATTAACTACTTCTCGATTGATAATATTCAAAGTTAAAACTTCGATAAAAAATCGATGCATAAACTGTATTGGGAGCGGTTGGTCGTCTAATTTTACCGAAAGACCGGGCACCGAGCCCATATTAGGTGTACTCTAATAATAACTGACGCACGCGCCGCTCGGCTCCTAACGTTACCCCACGCTAACATAAACATGTGCACGGCCGAATGCGATATTTTCATCGTTTACAATACAAAATTATTCTTCAGCTTTCTTTATATCATTTTTATATATAGTCTATAGTCAAGAATGAAAATCATAGTAAATTCATTTGAAAGATTCCATTTCGTTTTCCTACTCTTAGTTTGTAAGATGGCAAAGGTCCAGTTTCATTACTTAATGACATCAATTAGGTTCGAGAACTTAATTACTCAAATGTTTATACAATGTTGTACAGTAAACTAGTTCATAGAATTTATAAAAAATCTTAATGTATATTTTATAATTACATACTTCGACTTCTATTAAATAATGAAGTAGTTATTACTGGATTTATAAAATAACGATCGGTAAAATAACTTATAAGTGATTATGAAATAATTGAATTGATTGGCTGTATTAACATTTTCTTGACCGATTAAAAAGGATAGCTACTTATGAATTTTAAATTATTAATTTTCCTTGTCGAATATATTGTTGGTATAATTTCAGCTTCGTCATATCTTCCGTTAGATCTAAATAAAATTTATTCGGTACCAAAAAGGACCAATAAAAAAACATCGAATGCAAGAATCATCAAGTAACGGTACACAAACAAGACCCAAAGTACGTACAAGGAAGTGTATACAGTATAATATGCAGTCAATGTAAAAAACGATGATTTTCTGATTATACTTTAATATATTCTTATAAAGAAATAAGAATAGCAATTGACGACATTCGATTTATTTTAATGACATCATATTTTCGTAGAAACGTGTCAAGGATAATAGATTAAAAGGAAACGTTCGGAAATCGGGTCAAAGGAAAATAATGTATTTATTGAATGACTTACGTTCTGAAGTGCCTTCTCCTTCTCCTCAAGCTTGGCGTTGACCTGCATGAGTCCTTCCTGGGTCTGGTCGAGGTCGTTCTCAATGGTTTGGATCTTCTTCTGGAGCTGCCTGGCTTCTTCCTCAGCCTTTACACAGATAAAAAATAATAATAATTTAAAACATAGATTACAAAATGGAAATAATTAAAGTTTTTATCACCAAAAAGTTCTGATTGTAGTGTGCTGACACAATTCTTAAAATATTTTTCAATTACAATGGAAAAAGCCTTTATTCAAGACATGTTGTAAACAAGCCTTATTAGCCTTATCCTGTTTAAAGACAAAGCAAACAATTTGTGTTTGATTATGTATGCTGGCGCCATTTAATTATACCATATTGATAAATGAATTACATTTTATTCAAGTTACGTAAACTTCAAGTACCAGGAAATCATAAAAACACAATATGTATGACAAAAGAAAAAATCATTTTTCCTTTTATATACATTACTAAAATCTACCAGGAGCGCATAAGTATGAAAGAGTTTCGTATTTAGAATTCTCCCTAAGATGATATCAATATGTAAAACGATTCGATCTATTTATTCTATAGATGATAAATTACGTCACTTATTTAATAAATTGCGCATACCAGGAAAACATTTCATATTTCATACTTCATACATAGAAAGTACCAGGAGAATAGCATCTATGAGGAGGTTTAACTAAGCTAAAGCTCATTTTAAACTGGTTTCTTTGAAGTAATGTTTACAATGACCAGGGTAACATGACTGTTAGTAGTCAATTGACTCAGTACCTTTTCAGCGCGAAGGTTGGCATCTTTGGCCTGCTGTTCGCACATGGCCGCGCGGTCCAATGCATTATCCTTCTCCAGCTTCATCGCCTGCATCTTCTTCTTGATGGCGTCCATGGTTGGGGCTTTCTGTTTTTACTCCTCTTGATGAAAACTAAACAAAAAAACATAATAAATATAAGATATTCTTCTAGCGAACTAAACATAAATGCAATACTGAGATAATACGATTTAAAGCTCGTACAGGAAAAACATTTGATATTTTATGCCATTGAACGTGTTCCAATTTATTCAATTGATAGACGCATAATAATTTATGATTGAGATTCGAGATAAAAAAACAAATAATGTATTCATAAAAATAAGAAAACAAACTTAATACTTTAAATTTTTAGTTTAGTACCAAAAATACTAAGATTTATCGAAATTCGAATGTAACCTTTTCTATCACTACTAGCCATTTTTTTTAAAACCTCATACTAATAATTTAATTTTCGCCTTTAGGATTAATTTAGCAAAGTCTCATAGCTTTCTAGATTGTTTATATTTGTAGGATAACTAAACAATAGGAGTGAACCCAAAATGGACCGGCTACGTTTTTTGGGTCGTCTTAATTTGTTTATACATTACATAAACATAATAAGAATATAATTTGTAAGATTCTTGAACTCAAAACAAGAAAAAATAAAATCACCGTTACGAAATATTGTTTACATATAAAACCACCAGAAATAATTTAATAAACTTGGTATCCATTGCAGATATTTACAAAAAAAAAAAAAATATCGGACATCCGCGATCGTGAACCAAATGGAAAGCATTCCTTTGTGTGATTCATATTTCGCAAAAATGTTGGCTCTGACCGGTCCCTAAGTAACCGTGCAATCCTTAGTCGAGGTATTGGCATGCCATCGTAATAATACCTACAAATTACAATGTTAACATTAAAACCACTTGTTAAAAAATATTTAATCAATAAATTATAATAATTCTTGTTTTAAAAAACATATTTTATTTTATGGCTGTATATATCGAAATTCTTTTTACTAGCGAACAGCTGTTAAAGCACGTTTCAGTTTAACCAACAGAAGAATAATTTAATTTTTTTTTCAAAACAAAATGTATGCCAAATCTTCGACCTTATTCCATACGATAATAAGAATATTATCTTTTGTTTTTTAATTGTTTATTTATTACTTTGATTTACAATAAATTTAAATAAACTTTATTGAAGTAGCCATATTTGTTTATAGTTGACAGATAACAAATAAAACAAACTATTTATATTTGTCATGTTGGCAGCACTGTTGTCGTTTTATTCAATGTCATTATGCTCCATTGTTTAAACCGCGTTTTTAACATAAATTCACATATAAGGTAGGCAATGAATATGATAAAGTCAATTATATTATTAGATAGCTTCATATAGTTCGTAAACAATTACGAAACCTCTTTAATAGAACGTATTAAATGTGCCTTTGTCATACATTTCTATTATCAATGTATTTATTACGCCTGAAATAAATCAAACGTCTTGTAAATTTTTATGGAGGGAATATTCTATGCAAATATTTTTTCACTGTACTCTTATATTACCGCTGTAAGATATAAGAATTTAAAATTCCATTCCATTTTTTTAAATTACGTATAGTAAAAAAAAAGTAAGTTTTATATTAAAAAAACATTATAACATAAGTCAAACAGTATTAATACTCGCATAGGTAAATTAGGCTGATAGAATTTGTAAGAATTTTATTAATTTATTGAATAACACCTATATCCTTCATAATGAGATCCAAGATTTTCGTTAGTTTTATTCATTAAAATTAAAATAATATCTTTTGGATTATACTTAATAATTTATAATAATCCGAAAGATATTAGTGTCGTTTAGACCTATATCCATCTTTTATTATAATTTTAATGTGTAATCAAACTTCGCCCGCCACCAGCCAGTAAGTTATTTGTATAGCAACTGAAATAGTTGGCACGATTCTGAAGAATGTTACAGAATTTGTGACGAAATTTTTATTTATAGGCGTTATTACTAGCATTGACGATAAAATATTTTAAAATAGTTTTTTTTTTCTTCATTTTTATATTATTCTTGACTCGAAATAAAACGCTTTTTCTTTAAAGAATACGATATAAAAAATGAAAATTCTTGCATTTTTTACCAAGCAATTATTATCAAGGAAAAACCAAATGAAATTGTTTGAATAAAAGGAAAGAAAATTTAATATGTAATTGCTACTTTAAAAAAACATGCAAATATAATTAATAAACGGAATTAAAAAATAATAATAAAAATAATTTAAACACTATTAAATGTTGACTTAAAACCTTTTTGCTAACTATCGAAGGAGGTTAGATTAAGGAGGATATTATAAATTTAAGATTTTCTATAGGACATGAACCCGCCGTCTTTGCTTCACGCTCGGTCTCGCCATTGGTCAGTACATGGCATTCGGCCAAAGCGCGGGAAAACTTTAACAAGGAACGCTCCCATTGGCTGCCGGGAACGTAACCGAGCACCGCGATATTTAAAAATAGAAACAGGGACAGAAGCAATACATGGCATGCAATCGTTTAAAATATTAAATTACTTTCAGATAACTCAATAAATTAACGTTCACATCCTTTGAAAAAATAGTATAATATTTTAAAAGTAAATAAATAATATATTAAACAGAAAATAATAATTTTAAAACCAATTCAACCTCGTATTAGAACCTCCTTGCACTAAACCTTAACTTACCGGGCGGAACTTTATTTAAAAAAAAAAAGTCACCTATATAAACCCACTCACAACACTGCACAGTGGTACTTACATGTCGAGTCGACGCGTGCTGTGGTGCGACTGGCGTGATCGTCCGCTAGTCTTCGATGTCGCCTGACCGCTTAAGGCGAACCCCGCTCCCAGTATAGTTCAAGCTTCGACTCTCAATAAAATATCGCGAACATAATCCTGTAATCACGTCTTTTACAAAGAAACACCTTATTAAATACACCTTTTATTTTAATATTAAGAAAAACTAATAATTATAATATGACTAATGACCCTAAATTTTGCCCATTATATATGTATTATAATTTTAAAGTATTTCGTACTTAATATAATATAATCTTACAAGCATTCCTAGGTATAAGCTCCCGTCTTGTAGCTCGTGTGTCGTGGTGTCTGTTCAGAACCGGTTGGAAAACGGTAGCGAATTAACCCACTTACAATACGCTCAAGGACTCGTATTTTATAATTTATATAAGCAATTATAAATATAATCAAAATATATATTTTTTTTAAATAAATACATAAAATAATGTTATATAATAAGTAAATTAATACATAAAAGAACATAACATTACATATAAATCGTATACTATATATTTAATATAATTTTTATCTTATAATACTGAATATAAAGAAAATCTATTAGTTAGTAGATTATGATATTTTGTATAAAATTTGTGTTATATGTTGGTTTCAGATAACTTTTAATGATATACTTATAAATCACTATGTATTAAGATTCTTTAGAATGTATTATCAGTCAAAAACGAGATTAATAGTAAATAAGTATAATAACTTTTTATTATATAAACGACATAATATACATATATATAAATTATATATAGTTATATATCATGCTTTATCTTTGTTTTAATACAAATAAACTATAATATTAAAATTTATTTCGACTATCATCAACTAATTATATCAAAGATATCGTTTATTATTAAATTTAACTAAAAAATAACGCGTAAATGTGTTCATATTTCTTCATAGTACAGCTGTAAGATCACACGTTCCTAAAATTGACACTGAATTTAATAATAGCATTTAGTATTACGTATTTCATGAAAACAATTATAAACTAATAATTACATGTAACTGAGACGAAATACGTTTAAACAGACGATTTATATTGAAATTTAAACAAAACTGTAGATAATATGAGTCATGTAGGTACGAGCATAAAATTGACCTACTTTTATTGTATCACTTGCTACAATTAATTACTGGTTTAACTTAATTAGTAAATATACTATTTAATACCAGTTAAGACATTTTTTGAACATATGATTAATTTCACAATATAGTGATGTAGTTAACTTCTAAATTTACCGTATTTTTACGATTCAAAAATAAATAAAATCGACATTGAAAAGTGCATTATATTTTTATAGCAAAACCGTAATTACAAATATATTTTTAATAATATAAAATTTAAGGAAAATTCTATATAAATGTTTTTTAATACAAAGTATGGAACAGCTGTGTTAATCTATTCGTAAATTGCAACAATTTATTTCCAATAACTTAATTGGTATGAAATTATAAAGTATTTACACTAAGGGCGTATCAAACCTTCTATGGCGCGGTGTCAACATTGACAAGTAACGAATTAACTCCAGGTATCAAGGTTTGAAGAATATACTGATACTTTGAAAGTTCCATACTATGAAATATGTCCAAAACTTATCTTCTTCTTCTACCTGGCAATTTCCTAGCTTTAGACAGGGTCTGCCTTACATGTTGTGAATAGTTTTGGCTATTTGTTTTACGACGGGCCGCCTGCCTGACATCAACCCTCTTTTGGGAATCAGCATTAATCAGTGATGTCTAAATACTCTTAGAAAGTACATATAATTCGGAAAAATCACATTGGTACTTGCCCGGGCCAGGATCGAACCAGCGTCCTCGGCAACGAGAGGCGGGCTCTTTAACCACTGGGCCATCACTGACTTAAAACTTATCTAAATGAATAATAATGAATGCTGCAGAGCACCTAACTTTACTATAAATGGACTAATTGAACAATTTCCTTTGGGTGTTTTTAGAATCAGAGTAGGTCCGCGGAACGAAAAGAAATAAGTAGTTAAAATCAAAATATTAAAAAAATAAAAATGGCGTAGACAATCGTAAAAACAACAAACAAACAAACTTTTTTTTACTTTTCTATTAAACAGTGGTCATAAATTATAAACAGAAAACCCCTGTTTTTGTGGGATATAAGTACATACAAGTTGATTTGGCTGTTTGAATATAATTTTAACGTATAAAAAATAATTAATAATCAATAATATTGTAATAAAGTTTGTATAAACTATTATTATATTGACTTTTGACAAAAAAAATTGTATGGGCAGCTAGTCTTAACGTTAAATAATACGTTTCTTCTTACAGCTTTGTTGAAATTGGGATTAAGAAATTATCAAATTCGTTCAAAATTAAGGTTTATTTATATTGTATTTTTTAACTAATGATTCAAAACTTTTGTTTTAAACTTCATGAATCAATACTTTGAAATATAAGGATAAAAAATAAATCTAATTATGAAATACATATAACTGAAATTGGAACAAATATGTCTCTCTTCATACTTTTTTATATTTAAAATTACACATTACCTATTTTATTTACATTATCAATTCAAAAAAAAGCAATATTCATAAAAAAAATTAAAGTATACAGATAATAAATATAATGTAAAAAGGTTTCACAGTCATTATTATTTATGAATGTGTCATCGATGCTTATTCTTTTACGCCTTCTGACTTCTGTTATACGCATAAAGTTGTGAATATCGTGTTACGCGGTTTTTATAACCCCGCAACAAATCTTCCTATAAATAATTAAATATAAATTATTACAGAATAAAAACTATGTTTAAAACTTGTAGAATTACAATTAATCTTTATTTAAAATAGGTCACGAAGTTTTAAATAGATAAAACATAATAATTAGAAATTACCTACCTAATTTATAACAATAATTAACTCTTTTGTAAACCTCAAAACAAATTTACTATCAAATAAATCGAAAACAAAGCAAATGTAGAAGATATATTTCTTATAACGATGTGTCAAATTGACACAACCGAATGCCGCGAAACAAAAAAGAAAGAATTAAGTGAACTTTCACCTGATAATACGTACAATGTTTTAAATATGACTCGATTTTTACAGTATTTTGTGATGTCATGAATAAATATCAATTAAGTGAGCCTCACCATGAATCAGATTTAAGATGAAAGCTAGTGTGAATCATATTGTTTTAAATTTACCTTATTTGCACCGAATTCCTTACGTTCGATGACATGTTAAAAGTATTTGATATGAAATGTGTCAAATGTATTTATTAATGAAAGTTATTTGAACTATTACGAGATAATGTAACATTATATACTAGTATTTATATAGCTATAAATAAAACTAAACTGTGAGAGGAAACAGATGGCGATGGTACGTTCAGAGTTATTTTTGTAGTCGAGTGTTGTTACGGAGTCTGGAGTCGTTTTCTTTCACTGTAGATGTATTTTTTGCTCAACATTTATTGGATGAAGTATGTATTATGAATTATTGAAAGTTTTGTAGTATTATATAATCTATATAATTTTCTTTTATGTCATAAATTTCAACAATAGCTTATCGAGAGTATTTTACAAGTCTTTACCTACTTTAAATATGTGCATCAGCTGATACGAACATTCTAGAATAAAAACAAGTAACAGAAAACTTCAAATAAGAAATGAGTTCTTTCTTATTGTATTAACTATCGTCGGAAAAGTAAAATATGTTTTTATCATGTTATATAATCTAGGTATTCAGAATTAGTGGAAAACATATATTATGTCCAATCAAAATGCTTTGATGAAGTTTTCATTTTAGTGACGAATAATGAGATAGTATTCTTTCGTGTTTTCTCTATACAGTACTTAAGATTCGTCTAACAAATAAAAACGTTGAAATTGTCAAAATATTCTACGATTCCAGTACGAATGAAGACATAGTTAAAAAAAGAATAGATAGCATTCACAGATATTACTTTTGATTACATTTTAAATTAAACGTAAAATGTTTAAGTTACCATTCATACAAAACGTTAAAAAAATAATTTCGACACGACTCAAGACACGTCAGCTTAATTGGAAAAGCAATTGGTATCCTAGAGGTTGAAGGTTCGAAACCTACTTATGTTAATGAATTTAGATTTAGGTACTACATTGTTTTTATACTACAAACATAATTGTAGTATCCTAATAAAAAAATTAACCACAAAATTTTTATTATAACAAACGTCGATACAAGTTACAAAGCAATGACAAATCACTGAGCAATACATATTTACCATAACTCAACACATTAGTACTGAGATACAACCTTGCAATACATTTAGGGCCATGTTTTACTTGACACACGCTCAGAACTGTGACTCATATTGAAGGCAGAATGTTCACACGACCATAGAGACCTTTGAATACCTTAACTAAAAAGTAAGAACTAGACGTAACAGTAAAAAAAAATCATGTTTGGGAAATAAAATAAATTATTAAGTTTCACTTCATTTCTAAAGAAAATCAATAACAAATTTTGGACCTACATTTTGTTCAATTCGTCGTAAAATAAAATAATAATACAAAAACGTTTAAGTCAAATTATTTTAACCGACTGTTGTAATAATAATTACTGAATTAAATTAATACGAGTACATACTTAATATTAACGACGTAATAAAGTTTATGTAACCCCCAAATATTGTCTTAATTTAGTAATTACAGTGACATTAAAGTTAAAGAGACTTAAAAATTGAAATTCGAGAAACGAGTAGAGGCCAGATGTTCTTAGTTCATCCATAAGTGGTAGTGTCGTAATGTACCAACGACCAGACCACCGACCTTGTATAACCCTGCCTTTAAAGGTAACCAAGCTGATAACAATTGCCACAGAAGTCAGGACACGAATGCTTTATTCTTGACACAATGTGATAAAACACGAATCATTCAGTGATGCAATGCCCATATGATATTCTTTCCTCCTTTTGTATGTATAAAAATGGATACTTATTTGTTTGTAATTAGGTCAAGCAAGGACAACTCTCAAATATCATGAACTAAATAAAGAAAAAGTAAAATTTTTACCTCGGAAATAGTTCAATGACTTCATTATATAATGTATATTGGAGTAAGTAGTATATTTGGGAATTAATGAACGTAGAAATGTCTATAAAATACAAAATATACAATAAATTTCAATTGGCAACTAATTAGGTATTTAAGTGGAACCATATGGCTGAAATCCTTGATTTTCTATTCAAAGTGAATCGAAATACAATATGACATTTCGATAAGAGTATTTTAAGTTGTATTGAAAACGGGCAGTTTTATGTTTTAAACATACAACAGTTTTCAGATGTTTGATGTAACTAGCGCCATCTCTTGTTGGGAATTAGTACTAATAATGAACTCTGATGAAATTTTATGTACACCTATCTGTGTAGTTTTTTTTATTTAACAGATTACTAATTTGGCAAATAGTAAAATTTTATCAAGGAGGTTTCAAGTTCTGTAATATTTATCAAAAAACATTTTCACATGTATGTAGGTCATGTTTGTACTGAACATTGTAAAAATTCAAGTTTATTACGTATGACTCATGTACGACCTTTTATTTATTTTTAAACTCTCTCGCTTTCAATAAGCATTAAATAGTAATATAATAAAAATTTAAAATCCTTCTGTAGTTACTTTTGAAGTGATCTGTTCTATTACAATAATAGGATAATATTTCTATGTTTAGAACATAATTAAAAAATATTAATAATAATGTTTGTATTAGCATTATCAAGACATATATTTGTTATACACAAACAAAGAATTTAAAACAAGATTCAGTCGATACAATTTATTTCCTTAAATAAACATCACTGCACTTTCCTATGATACTCCGGAGTAGCGTTTCCATAATCTTGCAAGTTGAATAATGTAGATCTATTTGTAACCATATATTTAAGGAAATCTTGTATATGTGATAGCACATGTTGTAAAGATTTCTCATCGAGTGCAGTATAAGCTAACATCGGTCCCATTTTAGCGAATAATCTCAACAAATGTATTGAACCATATATTTGGGATAATGGTGTGTCCGGATATTCTTGTAATATCTCGCTATACTGAGGTCTTTCGAATTTATATAATAATTGTGAACCGATTGTAGCATTGAAATATTCTTTGATGCCCTCCGTTATGTCGACTAATACTGATTCTTTTGCCTGATTGTGCAGTTTACTTGACTTCTTAAATGCTAGATAGTTATCTACTATTTGGGCAACGGTTAGTTTTGCGGGTAATATAGCTAGTTTCTGTTGTCTTGTTATTACATCCCAGTCGTCAACGAGCCACACTTTCAATTCCTCGGGTATTTTTATCTTGACTTCAACCTTCGCTAGATATTGTTCTTCTGATTCGATTGATAGATCAAGACGTCCACGTTTTTTCCTGTGAAATTAAAATAATTTTAACATTTTTAATGTTTTCAACATTTTTGTTTCATGAAGTAAAAGAAAATCTGATATCATTAAATTTTTAATTTACAAATATAAAACTGTAGTACAGATTTTGTGAAATTCTACAAACTTATGTATAAAATTCTCGTGCCGCGGTGTTAGACATAGAACTCCTCCGAAACGGCTGGACCGATTCTGATGCAATTTTGTGAGCATATTGAGTAGCTCTGAGAATCTGTTATCTCCAACATCTTTTTTTAACATCCCCCTAGGTCATAAGGGTTGTTCACCCTTAATTTTTTTTATTTTTATTTTTCGACGAATTTTTTTTCTTTTTATTTTTAATAATGTAGCATTAAAAAATACATTCAACACAACATTTTTACTTTTTTTATCACCAACCCCTATTTTTTATATGGCAATTACCGTTTGCCGGGTCAGCTAGTAATATATATAAAAATAAATTAAGATTTAAATTTATCATGAATCATTTATATTCATTTTGTTACATGCAATGTTTGTATCAAATATCCATATTAGTGATACTTGATGTAAATTGATTACTATAATATCATAAATATATATAAAATATGGCAATTTAATGCTAAAATTGTTTAAAAATATTGATTTATATAAAATACTATAAAAACATAACTTACTTGGGCTGATCTGAGCCGGAGTCAGCAGGAACATCTTTACTCTGAGTTTTTGAAGCTTTAGTGGGGGCGGGAGTTGATTCAACATCCTTTCCTACAAAAAATATTAAATACAAGACATCTCTTAATTTTATCAAGCATTAAAAATTGCAGTTTAATATGCATCTTTAATCATTTATTACTATTTTACATAATACAAATAAATCATAAAAAGCATAGAATAAACAAAAAAATTTTTAGCAAACTACAGATGATATAGCTATGAAAAATATTTGAAATATTAAAGAGGTAATTGATTCTTACACATGCATATATTATTTTAAACTCTAAATCAAATATTATTTCAATATATTTATATAAGCAGACATATTTTTGGGTTTTCTGTGGTTTTATTTGACTAGATAGAATTCTCGAAAGAAACTCTTTATTGTTTTGTATTGTATATATGTATAATTTTTATATAGTTTTGGTTTTTAACTCGGCGGGAGGCGCTACCGGGTAAAATTTACCACATAGTGCATACTTTCGAAAATACATATTTATTTTTGTAAGTAAATTTGTGCGGCGCCGTTTTAGATACCTTTCGACAGATGTTCGACGGATCGACTAATAAAGAAAATCGTGAGATTACTTGAAGGTGTTGGCTGTGTCTCTTGTATTGCCACAAAATACAAATTAAGTGTAAATCTTCCATCTTAAACCAGCCTACATACATTTATGAAAAGTAAAATAATACTTGGTGGCAGTGGCGGCTGTACACCTTAGGCCTCGGCCTCGAATTTTGCGGGCAGCGGAGCGGCAGCGGGAGCGGCAGGATCTTACGCGTATAATCAAATGGACCGACCCTCGAATGCAGCGGTGCCCGCTGCCCGCTAGTTTGGAGAACAGTATGCGATTCCGTGCCGCCGCCGCCGCCGCTCCGCTGCCCGCAAAATTCGAGGCCGAGGCCTTAAGTGCACTCGTGCGCTGAACCACCAATTCAAAAGATTTAAAAATTACAAAATATTACTTCATCTTAATTTTTAAATTACCATTTTAACATTTATTTTTTAAACATATGAAAACGTATAAAAAATGAAATTTCCTAATATTATGGTCAAAAAGTTTGAGCGCATACTTAACTCATATCGTGCGCTTCGGCGAGTGCACGAGAACTGCTAATACATCTTGTATGAAATACGAAATAATACGCCTGACGCGTGAAACAAAACATAGTTCATAGAAATGTACCGAGTAATGAGTCGGTTCTCGAGCGCCGCACGAGCGGCCGAAGATTACCCACCAGCCGCCACTGCTTGGTGGTAATGGCGAGCAAAATAATAATATTACGAATAAACAACAGGGAACAGCCATCCAGCCACACTAACAAATATTTCGTTTTGTGCACAAAATGGCTGAGCTTTTGGGCTATGTTTTAAAATTTCAAATGTTACATATTATACCAAGCGTTATTAGTTTCCAACTGTCTTGTTTAATTGAAAATGTAACACAATATAATATAAAAATTGGTTATATTTAATTACTTATAAAAGAACTCTAGTTCTTACATTAATATTATTGTAGTATTTTTTACCCAGTAGTGACAGTCAGTGTTGGTATATGGGGTGCGCTTCCCGCTGAGTTAATAATAAACTATTTCATACCAGCAGGTGTTGAAGCTCTTGATTCCTCTCTAGCAGGAGTAGAATTAGCAGCTGCCTCCGATCTCCGACCTTTTGCCGGTGCTGAAGATGATACAATATATTTATTTAATCATAATAATATAATAAGTAACTACATTATTTTCAATGAAATGTGTAACAAAATATGACATTGTTAGGTTTCTATACTCCAGCCAAATTCGATGTGGAATGCTTAATAACAAAGCGTAGCTTAGCAACCAACGTCAGCCAGATGCTCAAAACATTTTTAGAAATATGTACAACAATTATTTTTGATGTTAATGAAAATTAAAATTGATGAGTAGTGTATCAGTATATATTTTTATTATAAATAGAAATACAACATTTTTTATGATTATAATTAATAGCGTCTTAGAAATCATTTAACATTAATTCTATCATAATTGCTTAGTTTAATTGTATCATAGTAGTTAAATGTTTAATTTAAATTATATGATAATACGTATATTATTAAATATAAATAGTTATTATCGCTATTATAATATACCTTCCTAAATCTGCCAATTGCTTAAAAAACACTTCAAATGTTACAAACCTGAGATTTCTTTAGGTCAGTATTAAAATATAGGGTTGTTAGTTTTGTAGTAATATTATAGTGGTAATTAAAGAAATTTAAACTTTTATTTTAAGCTTTCATACAAATTATGTATTGACCAGCTAAATAAAATTTTTGGATTCTATATGAAATTAAAAATTTTGTGTTTAAACAGGAAATTGTGTTATAATGAGTATAGTTGTAATTATAATAATAATTATCTCTTATTAAGAGTGTATAAACCCTAATTATGATGACTCATGGTTTGATTACTAAAATTCCAGATCGAATGTGGCTGGAGTATAGTCACAATCTTGAATCTTAAAGAGATGATTAATGTTTGTTGAATAAAACTTAATAAAAAGTCTCTTGACTAACCTGTTTTATGTTATTTGTTCCTTAAAATTGTATGTATATATTTTGGTTCATAAAGTAATATAATTACAATAAATGTGTACTAACTTTTCTTTGTCTTGGCTGGTTGTGCAGAATGTGCTCTCTGCACTTCTTTTTGTCGTTGCACATTTGCTTCATTGTATTTTAATACTCTGCTCTCCGGAACCCATTCATCCCAACTATAAAGCAAAGAATATATTTGAGTATAATTTATATGAAATTTACTAAATTAATATCTTAGATGAGTCTACATATCTTGTCAGAGATAATAGTAAAAACAACAAAGAGTTCCAAAGCGGAAATAAGCAACAATAAAAGACATGGCGATTACTCGAGAGTAAATTGTAAAAAGTGATACAAATGCAACTTTTAACTCACTTTTTATTCCAACCGGCGTAATGTATCAAATATCGGACATGCTTGTCCTTTGTAACTGAACTTTTAAGACATTTCGCCTCATATATGAGTGGACCGTGAAAACACAACACTTTTTCACCTGAAACATGACATAAATCGTTAGCGGTATTTAAACAGAACTTATTAAAAATATCACATAATTACCTTCAGCGAATTTTAGTTTAGGTGCCATCTTTTTATAATTCTTTTATTATTTATTTAACTAAAAACTTTCAAGCCTTTTTGACACTTGACGTCTGACATATAAAGATATAAGGATCGACTTGACATTATGGTTAAAGATTAAAAAGAAATTGTTGCTATAATTTATTTCACTGATGACTCTCACAAATGCAAAAGGAATATATAACATAATATGTTCATTATGCAAAAAGCCACAGTTATGGAATAAAACACTACTTATATGCTATTTTATCAATATTTCGGTGTAATTAGTGCTTGTTTTTTACTCATTTTTGAATCTTGAAGATATTTCGAAAGGCAAAAGGATAATGGATATATTGTTTCCTGTATAAAGGATTTAATGTTAAATATTAATTCATCATAGAAATAAATGACATATACAAAATTAATAAAAAAATGTATGTTCAGACTAATTGATGCTAAAAGATATGAATTCTCACATTTGACATGTTTTCGCTAACAAATAAATAAAATATGTCTTTCTTTCATTAAACATCAAAAACTATGTGTAACTTCTAATGAATTCCATTCATAATGATTTTTACGGAGTTATTAACAGGTACACGACTTTGAACATGAAGACATTTAAATTGTTTAATTGGTATACCATTGGCGAAATCTATAAGGAAACGCCACTAACTAAAGAAGAAGAAGAAGAATTGGTATACACACATTGTGTTTAAAATGTATACCGTATATCCTTGCATTTTAGAGGATATCTTCCATTAAATATATGAAAGTTCTTAAAACAAATTTAATTATAATTACATTTAAATTGAATTTTAATCTTATAAGATAGTTCTTTCATTTATAAATTTAGATATTTTTTAAAAGATCACCTTTTAGAACTACATGTTGCTACGACATTTATATATGAAGCTAAATAAATCCGGTATAAGAGAACTAGTATATTTAAATAAGAAACTTCTTAACATTCAAAAAATTGCGTCAGACACACGCCCATTTTTTCAGTGTCTCCAAAAATGCACTTTATTCCGAGCAAATACGATCCATTATTTATTGAAGTTTACAATACGAAAAAACTGGTTGAACATGTAGTACAACTAACTAGATAACTTCAAGAAATGATAATAACATTCTATTTTTTGAGTGGTAACAACGGCACAGCCAGTGCCGCGCCGTCATTACAACGTGCTGCCATTTTGTGATAGTGTTATAATTATTAAATTAAAATGTCGCAACAAGGGCCGGCGTTTGATGTAAACGCTATGACCTTGACCCGATGGGTTTTGGCTCAGCAACGTACGGCGCCCTCTGCGACCGGGGATCTGACACAACTTTTGAATTCAATACAAACAGCTGTGAAGGCTATACAATCCGCTGTCAGGAAAGCCGGCATTGCTAAACTGTTAGTTTTCACTATGTAACTTTTACGTTATAGTTTTAAGTGCAATCAGTACACTAGTTCTAAACAATGGAACATATTTAAAAAGAACTTTAAATTCATTTACAAAAATACTTAAGTTTCGTTAGCTAAGTATGAAGATTGTTTTTATTTTGACGAATGCGTTTCAAGTAACTGTTTTGAGAAATTTATTATTATTTATTGTTGCGTTTAATTTATAGTCATGGAATCTCGGGCAACACAAACGTCCAAGGTGAAGAAGTTAAGAAACTCGATGTACTGTCTAATGATCTATTTATCAATATGCTCAAGTCTTCTTTCACAACATGCCTACTCGTTTCGGAAGAAAACACAACCGCTATTCAGGTGTGTATGGTTATTACTGTTTTTATACTAGAAAAGGGATAGTACGTATTAAAATAGAAATCATTCAAGACAATAAGTTATTAATATCTAAACTTAATACTTAAGAGAACAAATTTGTTATTAAAGTATGGGTTGGATCTGGTTTTACTAATTAAAAAAACTATATAAAGTATTTCTGTTTCGTTATATATTTTGTAGTTAAATAAAATTACTAAAAATATTTGAACATAAGAATTAGATGATCTACTGGGTAGAAGTATAAAACATAGGTAAAAAGAAAGTATAGTCGAATATCTGATTGGAAGAGAATAAACCTTTGCTTATGGGTGCTCTACATAATTAAAAAAAATCCTGTTATAAAAATATTATGGATTAAGCCGTCGTCCTTGACTTTGATATAATGTCATTTTAGTTATCGAATTAAAAAAAGAAGATACAATAACAAATTAAGGAAAATAACCAAAGATATCGTGTATATTCGGTTAAAATATCGCAATTCGTTTATTTTATAATCATAATTGGTCAAAGTCGAAGTATTATGACGAAATTTCACCTCACGGGACCTTACATCCGGTTATCATTGTAAAACAACATAACATTTACCTCAATATATTTATATATATGTGATAATACTTATTATAAACTTAATTTATCACATAAGGTTACTGTGATATTCAATAATTATAAATTAATTACAGGATGCTGTAAAATTAAAAATATTGTTTCAGTTCATCAATTTAATAATTTTTAAGGAGCAAACTATTTAACTTTCGTAAAATAACATCCAAAATTTATTATTGTATTCTAGAAAAATAATTTATTATATCTGTGCTCTTGAATGTAATTTAAAAACAAAAATGTAATGTAAATCTGATTAGGTAATTCCAAATTTTATTTAAATAACTGAACATAAAAAGAAAAACAACACAGGTTACTTTTATTTCATAAATACCTATCATTACGCACATCGACAATAGTCTTAAAGTATTCAATATCTTTTATATATACATAATAAAAATAAAAATAATATTTTTCGGATTATATTACGCGTATTTTATTATTGTATTCTCCCGGCGTTTTGGTTACTTTTAAGCAAAAGTGATCACGGACAGACGAAATGTGAAATCTTACTATGTATGATATTATTAAACATATGTAACATTTTATTACTAGGTGGAAACGGAAAGACGCGGCAAATACATAGTTTGCTTCGACCCGTTGGACGGATCCTCAAACATCGACTGTCTTGTATCAGTCGGGTCGATATTCGCTATTTACAAGTGAGTTTGATGAACCTAACCCTAATATTATATACATATGTATAAAAAATGTTTCATATATAAATATGGATATTGTTTTTTTGTTTTGGTGTTTGTATCCTCGAAATACAGTTTTCAGTTTTTCATTTATAAATTTACTCACTCGATTCTATCAACTTGACTATATGAATGGAAACCAACTGTCTGTAGTTAAAATTTGTGATCATACTTGTGTAAGGGGTAAAATATGTTTTGTAACAAATATTACTTTTATATACATATTTTTTACTCAATTAATTTGTACATTTATGGAGAATAGAGCTCTTAAGTCAGTACATAGAACCCCTATTCTATATAATATGCTTGTTATTTATCGTGTAAATGGATAATTTATTTCAGAAAGTCATCTGAAGGCGAGCCTATAGAAGCCGACGCTCTCAGACCTGGCAACCAATTGGTTGCAGCAGGTTATGCTCTGTATGGATCAGCAACCATGATGGTGCTCGGCATTGGACGGGGGAAGGGAGTTAATGGGTTCATGTACGACCCCTCCATTGGAGAATTCATTCTCACTGACCCCAATATGAGAATACCAGAGAAAGGAAAAATATATTCCATAAATGAGGGTAGGTTGATAAATATGTTTTAATACGACAGTTTCTTCATTATAAACCCAAAAATATATAATAAATTTTGGCCCTTAAAACAGGAAATATTACTATTTATAACAAATACGTTCTTATAAAAGTAATTCAACATATATTTTTGCGATGTCTAATATGATAATGAAATACACATATACGTTAATATGCTTACAAATAGTTTTTAAAAGAAAATGTATATGTATATTGATTGTTTTGTATTTAAACCTGCACAGGATATGCGGCGGAGTGGTCTGAGGGGCTGAAAAACTACATAGAGGAGAAGAAGCGTCCCAAGACAGGGAAAGCTTATGGAGCGAGATACGTTGGGTCTATGGTAGCTGACGTTCATAGGACTATCAAGTATGGAGGCATATTCATATACCCGGCCACTACATCTGCGCCCAAAGGAAAAGTGAGTCTTTATACGAAAAATACATTTACAACAGCTAGCTTCTCTTTCAAATCTTCGTACTGCTTATAGTGATTTTACTTCTGAGTTATATTTCTTAATATAACAAATTTACAATTTTTTGATGGACATAAAAACCGGTCATAATTAATGTTTAGTATGAAATCAAAGTTTTAGTAAAAATTATAGTTGTACTAGCTGACCCGGCAGACTTCGTACTGCCGCAATCGATAAATAAATATGTTTTTATTTATTTTTTTGGGAGTTTACCTTTAAGCCATAAATCTCCGTGTTTTGAAGTGCGACAGAATGATTGACATATTACTTAGTTGTCAAATCTAATGTCAAAAAAAACCGTTTGTATGGGAAATAGAAAAGGGCTGTTATTGGTTTTCCCGGAAACGAATCATTTTTTTTTAAACCTTCCCTGAACCTCCACGAACATTTCAAGACTAAGATAAGATAAATCCGTTCAGCCGTTCTCGAGTTTTAGTGAGACTAAGGAACAGCAATTCATTTTTATATACATAAGATCTAACAAAAGCAACCTAACTTCCCAATCTAACATTGCTGGCACTAGCGTTTTGAATACTTTGTGATATAAACGGAGTTTTTTTTAAGATTATTATATACAAAATGTTTTTATAAGAGTAATATGTACATAATATTTTTTTAAGAATAATGTATACAGGGTGTTTTATTAAGAATGAACTATGATTTATTTCCCAGCTTCGTCTGCTATACGAGTGTAATCCCATGGCGTTCCTCGTGACTGAGGCGGGCGGGTTAGCATCCAACGGCTCTATACCCATCCTGGACATCGAACCTACTTCCATCCACCAACGATCTCCTTGCTACCTCGGCTCCAAGCAAGACGTTCAAGAACTATTATCATTCCTTCAATAATTCTTATATAACAAAATAAAATCAATATATTTTTTTATTCAACTTTATTTACATAAGACTTTAAATCTGGTTTTCATATGATATTTAGTTGTCGTGATGAATTATATAAATATTTGATAGCAATTGTTTTATTTTTACCACACGTCAGTCAAGTCACATCCTAAATGCTTATAAAACAAAACTTTCTTTATATGAAGTACCATAGTTCTTTTTAAACTGGTTCTGCATGAATTTAAGATAATTTTTGAAATTTAGATGACCTTCATTTTTTATTAATTCGTCATTTGTATGAGATTATGCTGTTAGTGCTACGAATTGATGGAAGACGTCTAAAATATGTGGGTCCAGGTCTTGAGTGAATAACAGCGTTTCCAACGTACTGCTGTACTTCTGCACTTGTTCGTGATGCTGGAACAAATAAATATATATAATTATGCTGGAAGTTTTAATGCAGTATTAAAATTTTTATGGATCTATATTATATATATATAAAAGAAAGTCGTGTTAGTTACACTATTTATAACTCAAGAATTGCTATAGGGATATAATTGAAAATTGGTGGAAAGATAGCTTAGAACCAGGAGACGGACATGGGATATTTAATTCTGTTTGATCTAAAAAAAATCTAAATAAATTTCAATATCTGGTTATTTAGGCCCTCTAGGGTGGAATAGAGTTCATATGGTCAGTTATACATATTTATATTTCTAATTTCGAAATGAACGCGGACGAAGTCGCGGGCAAAAACTAGTTTTTAATAAACTCAATGATATTAAAAATAAATATTTTATAAATTCTTTTTATATTCTCGAATACATCAGTGTAAGTGTTTAAGCATAGTTTCTTTACATTACTGCCATATCTATTTGTACAAAATCTATATTATTACAATCATAGGGTTGTTTCATACAATATACATATATTGAATATTCTGTATGACGGATTGATGGATTAATTCCCAAAAGAGGGTTGATGTCAGGCAGGCAGCCGGTCGTAAAAACAATGAGCCAAAAAACTATTCACAACATGTAAGGCAGACATGGCTATAGCTGGAAAATTGCCAGGTAGAAGAAGAAGAAGATTTTGTATGATGGATTTTCTTATATATTTTACATGTAAGTATGTATACTCACAAGTAGGAAGACCTGCCGAAGCCTGGCTAGCGTGGCCCTGTACCAGTGTGTGTGAGGGTCCCTGGCGTCTGTGTCGGCTCGCACCAGGTGTTCAGACAGGATCATTATGAACCGCTGGAATACGATCAGGAACAGACGCTTTTGATCCGTGTGAGCCATTTCTAGGCGTTCTTCCATACGCTCTACCGCCTGGAAAAATAATCGATACATGTATGATATATGTTGTATGTAGTTCAGAAATGTTATTTACTATAATGGAATGTTGAGGAAAATTAAATTTTTGGTTTATATGTTACAGATAAATAACGACTGATATGATTTAGAAATGAGAAAGTGGCCAAGACAAATTCAGTTTTTATTAAATGCTAAGAAAATATTGGAATATTTCTTGGTTCTTTTTTTCCAGTCTCGTGATTTTTAAACGTCACTAATAATGTTGTTAAACTTTAATTAACTTAAATGAAACTAGTATTTCCGGATTACTTAACGCATTTTTTTTATAACTACATACTCGCGACGTTTCAGTTCCTTTGCAGCCAACGTTGTGACCGTATGAAGTTTTTAAAAATATAAGTTTTAGTCAATCCTAAAATATTAGTTTCATTTTAATGAATACTCGCTAAAGTCTTAGTACTCATTTAATGATGATGAGTGTTTATCTTGAGAGTTATTTATATAGCAATATTTAATTCAACTTATCCTTTATATAATATCAATATATTTACTTCTTCCGTTGGTTTATCTTGATCTTTCTTCTTCTTACTGCCACTTTCGTCTTCTGATTCTGAACTGCTTGAATCAGCTCTGGCCAACGCCTCCCTTGCTTCTTGTAATTCCTTACCTGTAATATCACCAAATTAATAAACCGCTTCAAAAAATTTCTTATTTTACTATTGTAGAAATCAAACTTACTCAATTTGGACACGTGTTTGTTCATCTTATCTATAGTGAGATGTAATATCTCCCATAGATATCCGTGAGTGAAGTATGGAGCCATTTCCTTTGAGAACAGCCATGTAGCCACAGCGCTGCATTCGACGATCTGAGTCTTCAACATTTTATCGACCAAAACGCACACCATCTGACTGTGCCTCTGCCATAACTCCCAAACATTGCGAAGAACACATATCTGAGCTTCTTCTGATTCAGCTAGAATCTGTTATAAATATAACGATTTTAATAAACAAATAGTAATCTTTACTTATATTGATGTAAATAATATAACTGGATCAGAGATTTAATACAAGTCAGTGATGGCCTAGTGGTTAAAAGGCCCGCCTCTCATGCACAAGGGCGCGGGTTCGATCCTGTCCCGGGCAAGTACCAATGTGATTTTTCCGAATCATATGTACTTTCTAAGAGTATTTAGACATCGCTGATTGATGCATTCCCAAAGAGGATTGATGTTCCAGTAGTCGGTCGTAAAAAAAAACAATTAGCCAAAACTATTCACAACATGTAAGACAGACCCTGGCTAAAGCTGAGAAATTGCCAGGTAGAAGAAGAAAAGTTGTCTTTATATTGAATATGAGATATAATATAGGTCAAATTTAATTATCTTAGCTAATTTTGAGCTAAATCATATATCTTACCTTGAATACGTAATGGAATTTAGATATAGCGGCGAAACTATGTGAGATGCTCTTGCTGCCGAGGTTCAGCAGTGTTTGAACAAATACGTCAATCTTGAGAGGGTTGTAGGCTGTGTGAGCGGCGTTGGCGTCACCCTCGCGTAGAGGATTCGGTAGTTCACGAAGCACATTCAACGCTTCTTCAGGCGTACATTTATTACGGACGCAGACAACTAATTGATGAGCGGCTTCTGTGCCTGGGAGAGAAGCTGCAAAGATAGATATTAGATTAGTTACAATAATTCTGCTCTATATAGCAATACGAAATATCTTGAAAATTAAAATGATTTTGTTCGAGGTACAGTTTCAGAGTTATTTTTTAATATTTAGCATTACTTTCAGTAATGTTTTACGAAATCGCTGAAGCCAGTATTTAAACGTTACATTATTATAATTATTTATAATCAATCATAAAAATGATTCTAAGGATAATATTATATTATAATTAGTACTCCCCTTGTAACATTTATGTTCCTTTTTATTGCTTATTTATCATGATTGTTACTTTAATTCCATACTTGTTTAAATAATAAAAAATCACTACAGATGTTTTTTAAATCTTCTATTAGAAACTGTTATTATAAACAAGAATAACAAAAAATAATGTTTCAAACGAAACATAATATTTCATATTCACATTAGTGCCTCTAACAAAGGAGTTAGAATATGGCATAATATAAAACATAATAAAATAAAAAATTTGAATACTTCACTATGATTAATATCAGATATATTTCTCAGAGTTAATGGCTTGTGAATGTAAAAATAAATGATTTGGTAACTTTAGCACTAGCTGTGGGAAAATAGGCATACTGGTTGGAATTATTAACTAGTGCATTAGTACTAGTTAATATATAAAACTCACTACTAACAATCAGTTATGGCTATTTAAAATTTTATATATGTCATGGTCAATATAAACGTAAAGACTGTACGTATTTAGTTAACAAAGTTTATCAGTACTAAAGTATAATCACCTGATAGTTTTTCTAAATAGCTTTTCTTATAAATCCCTACTAATATTATAAATGCGAAAGTAACTTTATCTGTCTGTCTGTTACGCTTTCACGCCTAAACCACTGAACTGATTTTAATGAAATTTGGTACAGAGATGGAGTTGATCTTGAGAAAGAACATAGGATAGTTTTTATACCAGACTTTTGTAAGGTTCTCTTGGAAACGCGATATAACCGAACTCCACGCGGGCGAAGCTGCGGGTGGAAAGCTAGTATGAGATATTTTTTGTTTATTATGGTTAAAAAACCACACGATCAAAGCACGGTGTAAACCGTAATGATCAGGGCATTAGTCAATCTCTTACGTCGTTCGCCATTGAGAATAAAGAATAAAATTAATTAAAGCCACTCTCTTTCGATGTAATGCCAGCAAATTATCTACTTTATCTTAAACTCTCAGTCTTAGGGACTGATAATTTCGCCTTTCCTAACATTTCATGAATTACACCTAAACTTAAGCAATATTTCATTTATTTTTGTTATTCAATCTATCATAGAAACTAAAGGACAAAACGTCATACTTATATAAAAAAAGATCTATAAAAGATTTTTTTAATTAACTATTACATAGTAATTCTATGTCTATCGAAAGATCTATATACGAGGGGAGGTCAAAAAGTTCGCGGAATGGAGGGGATGGAGGGGGTTGATTTACTCGTCCAGGTAGTAACTTGTTCAACACCTCATTAATAGTATATATACCAAGTTTGAACCAAATCGGGTCATTAACTTTTGAGTTATTGACCTGCAAACAAGTGAATCGGGAAGAAGTCAGTGAGTATGGAGAAAATTGAACACCGCGCCGTTATTAAGTTCCTCACCAAGCAAGGAAAATCCGCTCAGATAATTTTTGAAGAGCTGTTATCAGTTTACGCGGACTCTGCCCCTGGTAAAACCATGGTTTACAAGTGGCATGGACTTTTTAAACAAGGAAGAGAGTCCATTGAAGATGACGCCCGCTCCGGACGACCGATTGAGGCCACCACACCGAAAATCGTCGCAAAAGTAGAAAAACTTATATTGGAAGATGCCTGGTTGAAGAAGAAACGGCTTGGAGCAATGGTTAGAGTATCTGAAAAAAGCATTTTTAATATCCTACATCATCATCTTGGGATGACTAAGGTCAGTGCAAGATGGATTCCAAGAATGCTCACGCCACTTCAAAAGAGCGATCGTGTCGAGTGTTCTCGCCAGTTTTTGAAGCTCTGTGGAGAGAATAAGGACGAAGTTATGGACCGGATTTTTACTGGTGACGAAACCTAGGTTCACCACTATGAACCTGAATCGAAGCAAGAATCGATACAGTGGCATAAAAAAGGCACAGCTCCTCCAAAGAAGTTTAAAGTGTCACAATCGGCCGGAAAGATCATGGCGACTGTCTTTTGGAATACAGAAGGTATTTTGCTGATCAATTATAAAGATCGTGGTGTGACTATAACGGGACAGTACTACGCTTCTTTATTAGATAGATTGAAAGAAGCTATCAAGGAAAAAAGAAGAGGAAAGCTGTCAAAAGGTGTGCTCCTTTTGCACGACAACGCAACAGTCCACACGTGCCATGTTGCGACGGCTGCCATTCACCGATGCGGACTCGAAAAACTACACCACCCACCTTACAGTCTAGACTTAGTCCCCAGCGACTATTATTTGTTTTCAAAAATGAAAAAAAAAAAGCTGCGGTGAAAAATATTTGAGAAGTCAAGTCCGCAATTTCGGCCTATTTTGATAGCCAAGATAAATAATTTTTTTCGAATGTATTTATAAATTATTTGTGAGATCCGAAAAATGTATTAAGGTTAAGGGAGACTATATTGAAAAGGAAAAATAGTTTCGTGTTAAATTTCAACCCCCTTCCCGCTCATTCCGCGAACTTATTGACCTCCCCTCGTAGTATGTTAACTTCGTTGAGACACATTATGCAAGATTTTTCATAACAAACAATTTGATATATTTTATAATTTAGGAAATTCAATCGTATTTATGAACTAAATTAAATATGTCATTTAACAGAAATCTTTCAAAGTGGTTATACATTATACTCACCAAAAATAATTCAAGGGCCTACTCCCGAAATTAGTCCTTTTAAAGTCAAAAAACTAACACTAACAAATTTTATATTTATATGCCTAATTATTAACCAAAAAGTCTTTTCAGTCCAAAAACCAATAGTCTAAATCGATATAAATACTATTTCTTCCAAAGCATTCCGCCCAACACACTGAAAGTACTACACGATTTCACTCGCGTGTCCCACTCCTGTTTTTATAACAACAACTATTCTTATTTAAAAATAACAAAGACAACAAACAAACTATGCAATTACTTCCTTAATATATTAATGAATCATTATCATGACATCAACGCATGTATCATTAGTGAAAACTGAAAATATATGTTCAAAACATGAACCTGTTTATATATTGATTTCAAAGGGAAAGTCTGTGAGTGAAAAAATATATTAATATATATAATGCTTAATTCGTTGATTGGAATTAGGAAATAGGATGGGACAGATATTCCCGAATTTGCGAGTTCAAATCTTACATGTTGATGAGTTTTTCAATCTATTTCTTGTTTAATTTTATTCAGAAAACATAAGCTATTAATATGGTTAATGAAAATAAAATTCCTAGAGCAAAAAACCGGTAAAAAATAAATATCTGAAGCAAATTATACAGTTATATTGTTAAGACACGGGGTTCGATCCTGGCCCGGGCGAGTACCAATGTGATTTTTCCGAGTCATATGTACTTTCTAAGACTATTTAGACATCACTGATTAAAGTTGATTCCCAAAAGAGGGTTGATGTCAGGCAGGCGGCCGGTCGTAAAAACAAATAGCCTAAACTATTCACAACATGTAAGGCAGACCCTGGCTATAGCTGGGAAATTGCGAGGTAGAAGATTGTTAAGACGCAGTATGTAAGTTAGTCATCGGAATTAAAAAGATTACAAAACAAAGGTGAACCATAGTATTGTACTAACACCTCGTAGATCGTTATCATTAGATATTTATCAGTGAATCAAACGCATTTCCTCTCGAGGATGTTTCTTCTAACTTAATACACACCTAATTATATAACTTTTGATTTATTATACACAATTCTAGCGTTGGTGAGATTTTTAAGAAACCTATTGATGAGAAATTTTGTTTAGATATTCAACTATTTAGCTCGAAATTTCGTGACCGAATAAAGAATTAGTTTACATTAACTATTAGAGATTTTTTTTATTGAACTGAAATATATACATATTATATTTTTGTCTAAAAATATCACTGTTTTTGGAGTATAATTTCTAACATTCAATTCATTTAGTTACGTACAGAATTAGAGACAATTAAATAACTTTTTATATACATATATAAAAATAATAAAGCCTATATATTTGATATATCCAATAGTGCATCACGATCGTACGTATCAAATCATAATACGACGTAATTGTTAGTCTTTACAGTCAGTTCAACGTAGCCTGCGGCTCATTCGAGGCGTGTTTAATATGTACACTATTTACTGTGTCATCATTATCACTGTGAGTACAAAATATATACGGAATATTTATAAATATTTTTATGTGTGTGCATGTGCGTGTTTATATTTATTTATTGTTAAATATTTATATTTTTATATCAAAACATTTTTAACAATACAATATTTATATATTTAGTATTTTATAATAGTTATAATTATTTAATTATGAGGAATTATTTTGATGTTATATTGTGTATCGACGCAGTTTTGGTTGTGTAGTTTTAAATTGTTTTGTGATTGATATTTGTTAGCGACTTTTATTTGCGTGCTTAGAAAGAAACACTCGTGGAGTGGATTAAGCACGCATTGATCTGTTACTTGTCTTAAAAAAATCATATTACTACGAAATTTTTTATATATTTTTTTCTAATATTACTATAATAAAGAAAAATTAATTCCTTTAGCCTTATTAAGGTTTGAAGTTTTTTTAGTGAGTATAATAAAAAACCCAAAATCGAACCCAACAGACGGATATTTTCTATATTTTCTTCATGACATACAGACGGTTAAATTTTGTTTATACATATTATTTAATCAAGATATCATCAACACGTGTTGCAATAACATGACAAACATGATTTTAGTAATACAGTAATCATGTATGATTTTTACTAGTCACAAATCAGGCTTTACAACTGACTAGCGTCAAATCACACGGCACATGTCAAGATACTAATGACCTTAGAGCATTGTCTTATGCGATATTCCCATAAAACTAGGGCAATTTTTAATTAAAATTACCATATATATTCTTTGAAAAAATATATATATTAATCTATATATAAATATTTGAATATTTGTTACTAAAATGAATACGTGCATAGAATTAAAAAACTGAAAGATTAGTCTGAAATTGTAAAAAAGTATAAGAGATAGTTTCTAGAAGACATCATACGTCATAAGCTATTTTCAGTCAATTATAATTGAGATAAAAATTGGTGAAAATTAATTTCCTACGTCAATTAATGAAATAATGACGTCTTAAATAAGAAATTAAAACGTGCGCGTTTCAATCAATGACACGTAAGCTTCGACATTGGCGAAATATTATACGATTCCAGTGCGAATGAAAAATTTAATAGAAATAAAAAAATGCTAAAGCTCATTGATTTAAATTAAATAAATCTAACTGACATTAAATATATAACAATTAAACCAGGAAAGAAATGTTTAAAAAGTAATAATACACAAGTTCCCAGATTCAAAGTTATATGGAACTAGCTTTCCGCCCGCAGCTTCGCCCGCGTGGAGTTCGGTTATATCGGGTTTCCAAGAGAACCTTTCAAAAGTCTGGAATAAAAACTATCCTATGTTCTTTCTCAAGGTCAACTCCATCTCTGTACCAAATTTCATTAAAATCAGTTCAGTGGTTAGGCGTGAAAGCGTAACAGATAAACAGACAGACAGAATTACTTTCGCATTTATAATATTAGTAGGGATTAAAATTAGAGGAGGGAAAAAGAAAAAAAACAATGTTCTATAAAGACACACCCTTGACATGAAAATGAAATGCAAATTTCGTCTTCGTTATTACGTTTCAACTCCACGGAGCTTAAGCATCTAGGTCCAGATGTTATCTCGGATGAAAATAAATAAAGCGTTACAGAAACGCTAACATACTATCAAAGTACGGACAGAAAAAAATACATTCAATATATGATCGTAAAATTTAAATCGATAATTGTCATCCTTTGAACAAATATGCAGCCAATGAGTACGTTCTAAATATATTTATTGTATTAACAAGATGGGAAATCGCGAGGGATGTTTCGTTCGTCAAACACGCAACGAAAACTGCACGCTATCTTAGCGCACTTTCCCGCCAACCGGCATTTTACTTTCGAACGCATATTAGAATAACTTAACAGCAATTACAATACTAATAGCAATCTTATGTACGATTAGTTATGATTTATTATTATTTTGTTTCTCATTTCAGACACAAGTCGGGATACGCGGGCAGAACTATGATTTCCGGCCGACGCCTATCCCGCTTGATGAATGGAATAACAACATACGTGAGAGTCGAGCCGGAACATTACATGAGACTTTTGTGACAGAAAAACCGCCGTCAATAGCAGCAGTACCAGCACATTACTGGGAAGACGCTCTCAGACATAGCGTCTACCTAACCCTAGTTAAAGATAAAATTAAACAACTCATGACGAAAGTTGACATCGATACATCTGACAGCAGAACTGGAAACTACGATCCGAAAGAGACCGAGGACCAAGGACTATGGGATAAAATAAAAAATGCACCGTTCAAAAGATTACCGGAAGAGGAACCGGCCGTTGGTGACGTCACCATCATGGCGAAGGGACGACTTTTAGAAGATAAGAAAGGATTTTCCTTCGCTGAAGACGAAAAATCCAAAGAAACTTGCAACGATGACAAATGTAACCAAGGGGTGAGAGCATTCTGGTCTGTTAAGAGAGTGAGACAGAGAGATCACGAAACATCTCCAGGCAAATATCATTATGAGCTAACATTTTCCGTTTCATCCCAGACACCTAAGAAACCGAAGAAGGTCCAAGAAAATCCTATTATAACATACACAGTGCGTGAAAATTACCCTAGAAGAATAGTAGATAAACCACAGGAATACCGAAAGTTTGACACACCGAAAACTCAAACCAGAAGACCTGAGAGGGCGATATGGTTTCACAGAAACATAGCACCCGACAAACAAATCGGTAGAAGACAGTTCTTCCAAGGTTTTGATTCATTATTCTCATCACTTTTCTCTAACGATAATTCAAATCCTTACAATCCTCAACCCACAAAACACAAACATAACCCATACGGTGCACCAGTTGGTTACCAAAACCCGAAGATAAATCACGGGGGCGTTCACAATGATCATCATCAAATACCATATCCCTATAAACCGAACTTTAACCTGCCCATTCAAGCACCACCGATCCTGCCACCACTTAATTCAATTCAACAGTACCAGGACTTAAGTACATTCACAACTGCGAACAGTAACCTGTACCCATTGTACCCATTTGACCAAAGAATGGAACCGCGACCAGTCCAAGGCTCGAAGACGAACCGCCCAGCTGTATTGCCAACTCCATTACCACCAATTTCACCCATACGAGATTATTCTATAGAAGCGACGCAACCAATCTCTTTTGAAAATTTTGATAATACAACACATCCGTCTGATACTCTAAATTATCCGATAACGCATAATAAGCATAAGCCCTATAAGGTGAATTATTTCTCAGATCATATAAGGCCACCCGTATACAATGCACCGCCTGGAGTTTTTGTTACGATGGATAAGAAACCATTTAAGCCCATGCCACCATTAAAATATGCCCATATTTCTAAGCCACATAGACCTAACAGACCGACAGATTTTCGACCCAGCCCCCAAGTCATGGACGTTCAGTTTTCTGATCCTGATTCATTTGGGGATACTGCATTCAGACCAATAACAGTTGGTTACGCGGAAAACAATAAAACAAACAATATAGAATTAACCAATAAGAAGAAAGATAATAAAAGTAGGAAACACTCATCACATGGAAAAAAACCGTTAAAAAAACATGAAACACCAAAATCTCAACACGTTAGTACAACAGTACCTGATATTATAACAGCGCAGACATTAACTTCGAGTGAAATTGAGACATTGGATTGGGCAAATATTTTAGGAGCATTTACAAAAACAACACCAATGGTGTCACAAACAGAAGGTGTACGTGTTGCTGAAACAACAACTACTCCCATGTCTACAACAGTAACAACGACCAAAAAGGTAACGTCTACAACAGAAAAGGTGGCAAGCATCAGCACAACCACGAAAACTCCGCTTAAAAAAAGGACGCGACCGCCACCAAAGTTTAAAAAAGAAGAAAAGATTAAAAAGCACAAGAGAACAACAACAACAACAACAACGACAACTACGAATGCACCTGAGGACATTAAGAAAAGACCAACACACGATCTGACACCACAAGCAAGTTCTGCTGCAACAGCCATACCAACAGGAACTACGAAAACTTACAAAGAATTACAAAACCACACACAACAGCCAACAACTTTAAGTTCCACTACAACAACATCAACAACAACCAAACCAACAACAACAACAGCGTCTACAGAAACAACAGTTACAACAAAAAAACTAACATCTAAAGAACCTAGAAACAAAAATCGCTTCCGACAGTCAACATTAATACTCAAAGGTACCTCGGTCAAACACGATCGATGGAATGCAAGTCAAAGAAACCAATCAACAGCTACATTGACATCAACAACATCATCACACAGACGGAAAGGCTCTAATTTCCAGGGCTATATGTCTTCTACTGCACGACCGATCGACGAGGCCAGAGAAAAAGCCCATGCGGATAAAACTTCCACTACTACTACTACAGAATCTAGTAGCACAAAAGCGAGCGAGACAACATCACAAATGACTCCGTCTATCGAAGAAACTGTAGACCAATATGAAACAAATAGTGTTGTACCCTTCCAAGCATCAAACGAAGAGGACAATTCATTTGATGAATCCAACAATTCCAAATTAGATACATCACTAACAGAAGACAATGAAGATATCAAAACAACTCCATCTTCAATAAAAATAACATCAGATGGAAACGCAAAAAACAAAACTAAATGTAAAAAGAAGAAAAATAATATTGTTACAACAGAAAAAACAGATGAATCAGAATCTATTACTCAAGTAATAACTTCACAACCTTTAATAGGCAGAACGGGTACAGTTGCATCAGCAAGTAATATAGAAGAAATAATTAATTTCAACTTTGATGACGATGCACAGCAAAATGAAGGAAGCAAGACCGATCAAGATTACAACTATGAAAATTATACAAAAACTGGAGACGACTTTGAAGATATATTTAGTTTATTAGACGGTAAACAAAACCAATCCGATCATGATGATTATGATGAAGATGATGATGATGATAATCAGGATGATGATGGAGACACTGAATTTGATGATGACGTAGAAACGGACCACAAAGCTCCATTCAGCTTCTTGGAATTAATGGCTATGTCATAGACTGAACTTATTGCTTTAATTTATAAACAGTTATATGATAAAACAATGTTAGAGGCATTTAAGAAACTTGTGCAGATATTGTTACATCCAGTGTAAATATTTATATACTAAATAAGTAGGTTAACTGTAATTAAATGTTTTATAAATGATTCAATTTAATTATTCTATAACTCACCCGCTCCTTCCATGGCGTATTTGTAAATGGGTTCAGGTTTAAGAGGCACATATGCTGCTAGAGATTCCGGCGTCATGTCTTTGATTCTTTGATGATACGATAACCTTGAAAGAAAATTTTATCTAATTATTACATGTTAAAATAAAATATAAAATTGACAAGCATAATTGTTACTGAAAATACTTGTATATCTGCATTATCTCTCAAAAATCATATACACCAATACATTTGTCTATATAACAGCATTAGTCTTTATTTAATAAAACATTTGAAAATTGATTCAAAATAGAATCAACTTTTTTATATTTAGTTATAGATTAAAAAGCATCCCTACTAATATTATAAATGCGAAAGTAACTGTCTGTCTGTCTGTTACGCTTTCACGCCTAAACCATTGAATTGATTTTAATGAGATTTGGAACAGAGATGGAGTTGACCTTGAGAAAGAACATAGGATAGTTTTTATCCCAGACTTTTGAAAGGTTGTCTTGGGAACGTGATATAAAAGAACTCCACGCTGGTGAAGTTGTGGGCGGAAAGCTAGTAGAACTAAAAGTTGTAAGAATATTTGACATACCTAAGACACTTGCCGAGCACCTCCCTGATGAATCTCGGTTTAGGATGTTCAGGATCAAGCTGAGCGCATCCCTCCCAGTCTTCCCACGACCAACGATATTGGAAGTTACTCAAGTGATACGAAAACCAGTTCACTAATCTATAAAATATAAATTATATATTAATAAAATACACTAATATTCATTATCATAACTCTTCTTCTACCTGGCAATTTTTCCAGCTCTAGCCAGGGTCTGCCTAATCATTATCATAACTATTATTACGTAATTAATTGCAATGACTGTATAAGAAACTATTTTAAATTAATTTTAATAAAGTGTGTGCATATTTTTAAAAGACAAGACAATGACAAATCAATGAACACACTCAAATATAAGATTATAATTTTTTCCATCAAAATAAGTATGAAATGGATGTAAATAATTCTAAATTATTCTTAGTTTTTCTATATAATCGCAAATATTAACAATATAGTTAGTTGCTTTTAATTCCTACCTGTCAAAACAAGCTATATTCATTGTATCGATTCTCATGAAAAGAATCTCAGTAGCTTGTGCCAAAACTTGCGGCATTGTTGATGGTTGAAGCTTACAGAGCTCAATTAGAATAGATCCGTAGCATATCTCCAAATATCTCGGTCTCGGCAAATTGAACAGCTCGGCAAATATAACTTCAACTATACAATACTCTAGCGGTATTTTGGATTTATATGGAAAACATAATAGTTGGGCGGCACATTCCTTTCTCTCTAGATGATATGCTTCAATGATATTATGGAGGTGTTCCTCAATAAGGAATCTTTCTATGGAGTGGGCACCCGGCAGCACAGGGCCGTCGGGACAGTCTGTGTAGTCGAACATTCGGAATATAACTCGAGGCATTGGGTATGTGTCGCCATCATTGTGAGGTGGAGGCTGTGAAGAAAAATATTCATACATGAATTAGGATTATCGAGCAATGGCATTTTTGGTTGTTGATGCACAAAAATTTATATTATGATTAATGAAAAAAGTATATGACTGAACAGATTATGAATAAATTAACAAATTCAATTTATAAATACTCTGAAAATATTAATATTATAACCATAGCTTAAAACTAAATATTTTTCTACAATATAATTTATTTACCTGAATAGTAGGTAATGTGTGTTGTAAGGCCTCACACAATATAGAATCAAAAGCAAGATAAGGCCTAGGTATATGTTTTTCTGACCAGTTATCCTGTCTCAACTTTTTGATTTGAGCCCACAGACAATCCAAATATTCTTCTTGGAGATGTGGTGAATCTGCCGACCATACTTTTAGTGCTGGCCAATGTTTTTTGCTTCTCTTATTTAGAAACACCTCTATGGTTACCAGTAAGTGATCTAATTGTGACTCTTTCTTTTCATACAATTCTCTACCAACCCACGGCAAAGTAGCGAGTACGGCAAACACGAACCAATCACGTCGCACTTGTGGCACGCCGTCCTCGTTAGCACAATCAACCAATGTTTCTAACAATGTCAATAAAGACGAAGCAGCCAACACATGACAGTTAACTAGATCAGCTATAAACCTCAAGCAATAGCGGGCTGCGTTCCATTTACCAGTCTTGAGATTTTCTTTAAACGTTTTGACTATGTAATCGACAAATTCGCCACCAAAGTTGTAATTTTTCGCGTTTAGCAATCCAACTAATGTTGCATAAATAGTACATTTCTCTGGCATTCGTATAGCACATTCTGTTAAAATACGTAATATTTTCACTCTAAATGTACTCAAATCGGCTTCTAAGACACTCGCTAAGCCTTCTAAATTGCTCTCTAAGCTAGAACTACTTTTCTCTCCTACTCTTAAAATAAGGGATTCTAATCTATCCTCAATCTCTTGGTTTTCTGAAACCCTCCGGCGTTTTCTATGCAGACGTTCTGTAATTTCAAATAAGAAAACATATGAAGCCTCGGCTAAGACAGTTTTCGTATATAAAAATTAACCTAAAATTCATTTTATTTACCATAACCATCTTCTTCTTCATGTGCCCTTCTACGATTCATAATGGTTAACTTATAAATAAAGTGTAATACTTTGAATGAGGACAAAAAATATCATTAAATAAAATGCAAACGTAAACGACATAAGCGTCAAGACTCAAGGCATAAAATTTTGACGCTTCACAAATTTGACGTATTAGTTTATCAGAAGAGATTTCGACACTCCAATAAAATAACTGTGAAACTTCAATTGTATTATGATCATATAATTAAAATTACTAAGACATATTACCACTTACTAAAATTTAAATATTTTTTTTCATTAAAACTGCACTTTTTCAACTTCAAATTATAATAACGGTAATTTCTATTTTATTAAATGGCAATTATATTATAAATAACGTGTGGTAATACTTAAATTAAAGTGGGGAGTGTAAAATGGTAAAGATGTAAGAATGTTGTTTGGGAATTATATAAAATCGATTTTTTATTTTAATATTCAATAATTATATTGACTTGATGAATGAGTTTGCAATTTTCAAAAAGTTTACTATCTATCTACAAATACGATTAAATTAATTATTTATGATAATCATTTAATTTATTGAAAGATACTGATGGGTACGAAAATTACTTTAAATGAAAATTTGTATATCTTGTAATCGTTGTTATAAGAATAAAAATGTCCTGTAATTATGCGGAGGGACTTTCGCCATATGAAGATAAAGGAGTTCTCGGTTTACCTGAGGTAAGATAATAAATGTTATATTACTTTTGACACGAACAAACTTTTGATTTTTAAATGACAATAATGTATGTTTCTTACAGAAATTCGATTCTATAGAGAAATTAAATGAGAAGTGTAAAATCTTAGCGGAACTTATAGAAACAAGTAAACACACAGTAGTTCACACAGGGGCTGGAATAAGTACTACAGCTGGGATTCCAGATTTTAGGTAACATTTAATATTATCCTTTCATAAAATTTTGTTTAATACAAATATGTATGTAATATGTTTAATACAAATCCATTTATTATTAGTTAATATAAGCCACAATTAGTTTCAATTAAATAAACCTTCCTTAAGAATTTCTAATAAAAAAACACTACTAAAGTGCTTTCAAAAGTACCTAATTATACAGATTTATTTCTTGGTTCTTATTAATAATGGTTAGCTTATCATCAATAATATTAACATTTCTTTATAAAAACTATTAATTATTAACTATTTCAGAGGCCCAAACGGTGTGTGGACATTAGAAAAGAAGGGAAAGAAGCCATCAATTAATATATCATTTACCGATGCTAAACCAACAAAAACACATATGATACTTAAAAAACTAGTCGAATGCAACAAAGTACAGTACATTATCAGCCAAAATATTGACGGGCTCCATTTAAAGTCAGGGTTATCGAGAAAATACCTGTCCGAATTACATGGCAACATGTTCATAGATGAATGTAATCTATGTAAAAAGTAAGTTAGTTCTTAAGAAAATAAGAAAAAGAAAAATAAACTTAACTTAAGTTTATTTTTCTGCCATAAAGGGGTAAAAGCCTGATTTAAAAACTATGTTAACATATATACATAATAATAATTTAAAAAGACACTTTTATTTCATCTGAACTCAGTCACAGTTGATGTAAAATAATTGAAGTGCTGAAAAAATGTAAAATTTAAAATAATGCATAGTAATCCCGGAATATTATTTTTATTTAAATTATATAACTTAAAAGATTTTCTGTCAAATTAAATTATTTATTATAATGATATCTAAGATTTTTTGAATTCAAATTTAAAACAAACATATTTTTAGGATGTAATTGGTTTCATTATTTTATACATATTTTGACCTATGTTCTCGTCTTGTATGCCTGTAATCACGGTTACTGCAAAATAACCAAAATACTGGTATTCTTTAAATCTTTTATGTATTAGTTATAATATGTACTTGTTTGGTATTGTTAAAATAATATGATGTCAAGTGTAATATAGGTAGATTACTTTATTACATTAGTTGCTGTCATTCTGTTTGCTACAGCACAATACATACATGACAATATTTTATTGAATAATACAAAATCTATTCGGGTTTTTCTCACAAACAATATCCATAATTGATTTCTACTATTAATTAGTAATCGTTATTATTACAGACAATTTGTAAGGAGCAGTCCCGTTGAAACTGTTGGTAAGAAATGTAGTGGAGTGCCTTGTGCATCAGCTCATGCAGGCAGAAGACCCTGCAGAGGTCGTTTGTATGACGGAGTATTGGATTGGGAGCACAGCCTGCCGGAAAATGATTTGTTAATGGCCGAGTGGCATTCTAGGTATATATAAAAATTTAATGTTATCTTATTAACTAATTTTAAAGGATATAGTAATAATATTAGTATGTACATGTATATGTGGTTTAAGAACTTTATTAATTCCTCAAAAGAAATACATACATTTCACTTACTGAGAAACTATATGAAATAAAACAATTCTAAAAGAAGCGTGCAGTGATCCCTACTAATATTATAAATGCGAAAGTAACTCTGTCTGTCTGTCTGTCTGTCTGTCTGTCTGCTACGCTTTCACGCCTAAACCACTGAACTGATTTTAATGAAATTCGGTACAGAGATAGAGTTGACCTTGAGAAAGAACATAGGATAGTTTTTATCCCAGACTTTTGAAAGGTTCTCTTGGAAACGCGATATAACCGAACTCCACGCGGCGAAGCTGCGGGCGGAAAGCTAGTAACAAAGTAAAGATAAAATATAATATCACACAAATGAGGGTAGACAGATCTTAAAATATGAACACCATAGACATGCATGTTTCGATTATTAACTTCATTATTATTATTATTATTAAAAAGTACCAGAAATGGCATTGATGGATATTGTTGATTGGAAGTTAAGTTTATAATGTTGTGATAATTTATCTGAGTAAACGGGTATATATGTGTGTATCTGTATAAATGTTAGTATGTTTTGTAGTGTAGGTGCATGCAATTATTAATATTATTATTTTTTATTTTATTTAACTGTTTTTAATATTTTAAAATTTAAGTTTTTTTTTGTGTAAAATTAAATAAAATTTTAGTGTAAATAAGTTAAATCTTTTTATTTTAAGATATGGAATTTAAGTAGTTTTTTGAAACTCAAGATTGATTTAAACTCCTTTATTTCCTTCGGTAAAGAGTTATATAGCTGAGCACCTTCATATTCAATGTTCTTTTTACCGTAATTTGTTCTAGATGGGCGTAATATTAGATTTTCTTCTTGCTTCATCTTTAGTTTTTATCCATGTCTCTGATAAAATAATTATATGTATTATTGTTCAAAACGATTCAATTGAGCGTCTCAATTCATCCAATTTGCCCGGCTTAGTGATATTGGCATTTTTATGAGATTTACACACTTTAGAGATTTTTTTATTGTAATTACATTTATCCGTATACTTAGAGACAACTTGATATGTGATTTTCTCAGATGACGGTTTTACTAGTTTTTTTTCTTTTTATTGGTTTCTGTCTCTAAGGTCTTAATTATTTTAGGTATTCCTTTTATATATTTAATTCTAATACTTTTTTAAGCATTGAAATTTATTTTATTAACAATTTTTTAAGATTTGTGCTATTATTAATAGCATTGTACTAGGATTAAGATTGATAACTAGTTATATTTAGGTTAAATTTCATTTAAATGTTAACCATGATTTTGTTTAACTTCTTTATAATTGTTTCAGTATTGCAGATTTGAGTATATGTTTAGGTACGACCCTACAAATTGTGCCGAGCGGTAATCTACCGTTGGATACAGTGAAATATGGTGGAAAATTAGTTATATGTAATTTACAACCGACAAAACATGTGAGTGCAACTGAAATAACTTATTGTACTAAAGTTACTGATGATTTGCATTGGAAATGTACGCCATAACTCAAATTCTGTTAATACATAATGAAAAGCATGTATTAACTAATAATATATAATTATGTTATATAAATTGTGTGCGTGTGTGCGTGCGCGCGCGTGTGTGTGTGTGTGTGTGTGTGTGTGTGTGTGTGTGTGTGTGTGTGTGTGTGTGTGTGTGTGTGTGTGTGTGTGTGTGTGTGTGTGTGTGTGTGTGTGTGTGTGTGTGTGTGTGTGTGTGTGTGTGTGTGTGTGTGTGTGTGTGTGTGTGTGTGTGTGTGTGTGTGTAATTACACACCCTATTTGCTTTAATAACTCTGAATTAAAATGTTTGTAATTTAATTTTAGGATAACAAAGCGGATTTAGTTATAAACTACTATGTGGATGATGTGTTAGAAAAAGTTATGGATATATTGAAATTAGAAATCCCACAATATTATGAAGAAGACAATTTACTGATAAAGGCAGAAAAATCTATAATAGATTGGACTATAAGCAGAAAGGATGTTTTAGAAATGGAGAAAATATTCAAAGCTAAATGTAAAGGTGTTAAAAAGAAACGGGTTCTGATAAAGAAGAGAAATGTTACGGATGTGGACAAAAATGATGATAAAACAAAAATTATTAAACTTGAAGCAGATGACAAAGAACTTAGTAATATAGGGGAAGCGATTGTTGCTTTTTAAATATAAATTTTGAAAATTTATTTGTTTTATTCATACATATATCACAGCAATATTATTTTTTTAAATTATATTTAATACAATATATATTTGAAATATGTTTTTTAGACAACTATGCGATTTATCTGTCATTTTTCCCGCCATTTCTGTTACTTCAAAGTGTATAGTAACAGCTTTATTTTAAATGTGTACATACGTAAATCTCAGACATCATAATTTAAATATATTTTCAAATATGATAAATAGTACATTGAATAATAATTATTAAGTTTTTTACTATATCATTCTTATAGGAACGATTTTTAATGCATTTTAATATACATATTTTAATTCATACACATTTTTTATGCATTTTCATACATCATCAGTAGCCTATCAGAGCCCACTACTGAATAAAGGCCTCTTCTGACTTCTCACATGGAGAAGATTTGCTTGCTTGCTCAAGACGAGTTGATGATTCAATCAAATTTGAAATTATAAGTCCAGGTTTCCTTACTATGTTTTTCTTTACCGTCTGTCGATGGTGTGTAAATACTCTTAGAAAGTACATATTATTATGACTCGAAAAATCCTATTGGTACTTGTCAGGTTTTGAACCCGCGCCGGTTGATCCTGCCGGTCTAAATAAGAATAATGGGAAACTGCTATCAACTGATTAGATTGTAATGAGATACCTTGTATTGTACTGCCCTTGTTACTTATGAAATGTTTCAATGTTATAATAAAAATCGTATTAAACAATAAACTCTCACTAGATTTACGCACTTTTTCAACGCAAAACTTAAGCTAAGCAACTTTTTAAGTGACTTTTAATTGGATAAGAAGTTTTTCTGTTTTTATTTGAGTATAAAGTTGTTAATCACTTATATACATATATATTAAAATCGTACCGATGGCAAGCCTCTATAAAAAACCATTTTTAACAATGTTAGAATAATCGCAAGGATCTGTTATCTACTTCTTAGGAAGCTAAAATATGAAACTTTATTTTACATATGTATTAATTATTATAAGACGTGTTATAGTCGAAATATTTGAGTTAAAGTGAAAAGTGGTACGATATAACCGACTCTCCCCTATATTTCCAAGTTTTTAGTAATATTACCTTGATATACATAATTACAACTGTTGTCTTCCGAAGAGATAAGATCTGTAGGCATAGAGATGTTGGGTATTTTAAATAAGCATTTCTCCAAAACGTTGTGACATAACGAACTCGTAGTAAGTATTGATATAACTCAGCTTTACTCGCTGGTAGACTTGATGGATCATAATTACGGATTTTTTTCAAAATTATACGATAGGGTTTTAGAAATCATACGTGAAGCGGTTAGTCTTTCGGTAGCCAGAGCGCTTTTTCAAACTTAACATTGATCATTATCTCAATTTTGTACAACAATAAAGTATTATTTTTATACCGTATTCATCTATAAATAAATTCAATAGTTTTTAATCCTTCCATCATTTATTAGACGATTAATTTTCTAGACCAAGTTAAATGATACTACATCTTTTTACACTTTATTTCGATCTGGCAAAAGGTTTAACAACTGATTTTTTGTCGGGCAAATTAATTCTGAGCTTTAGATAGTTAAATAACATGCTATTAAAATTTCAGCTATACTAAAATATTTTGATTTTTTTTTTTAATTCAACATTGCCGTTTGGCACCGTTTAAACAACAATAAAAATATCTGGCAATAATAAATTTGTGTTGTGAATAGTTCAATAAAAATAATAATAATAAAAAAAAACCTTCTTAAAATGATTTGAAATAATAATTTGTTTACCTGCACAAGTACGATGCGCACTGATGAACGCAACCACTACCGGCAGCCAGATAGCCCGTATGACGTCCAGGGGAGTGTGAGAGATAGCATATCTAAAAACTAGCCTACCTGAAATTCTTGTTCAAAAACGTTGCTAGCTCTTAGAATAAAACGCTTAGTTAATTTTTAAGTTACCCAAATTTTTAAACTCGCTATATCTTTTGAATGGAGTATCTATCCGATTAAAATAATTTAAACAGCAATATAAAGGTATTGAACTACTGTTAAATAAAAAGTAAGTTATTTAGATAAGTATAAATACCATGGTATGAATATCGACATCTTATTTTCGTTGCCGATTTAAATAGTTTGTTAAACTATAAAAGTTTTTATATTGGCGTAACTATAATACTTAGGTATACACTACCGCGGACTTTTATGTATATAATAATACGGTCAACAAAATCATAGTACATTATTTTGCTCCATCATCAATAGTTATTGCAGCGCACGCGATTTAAGGTATTTCAATAGTGATTTTTATCGACCGTGGTTTATGTTATCGAAGTTTTCGCAAGGATCCCTAATTTTTTTTCAAAATTAAATATAGCCTATGCTACTTTGGAAAGATGTACAATCATAATGGTGAAAGATTTTTTAAAATCGGTCCAGTAGTTTTTGAGCCTATTCGTAACAAACAAACAAAAAAATATTACCTCTTTATAATATTAGTTTAGATATAGTAATTTCACAAACCCTCTATAAGGCTAAAAAGAAAAATCTGACGTAATGTTATTGTGAATATTTGTATGACCAGTTCTAAAAGATTGTAATGGTATTTTAGTGTTATTTAAAAATTAATATATACCACTTCGCCTGAATCTTATGTACCTATAATTTAAAATAGATTACATCCTTCATATCTAAAAGAACGTTTTCAATTTCTTAGTTCTTCACATAGCCATAATCTTCGTTCTGAAGAGAATTTGGTTTTAAAAATACCACCCCATACTACATCTTTTTATAGTGACGCATTTACAGTCCATTCAATTCATCTTTGGAACTCTCTTCCACTAGATCAGTAGTCCCCAAACTTATTTTTCTCGTGGACCACTTTCAAAATTTTACTGGTTTCGGTGGACCCCCTGCTGCTACATTTCTACCACATTCTTAAAGTCGCCAAAAAATAAAAATTGTGTCACTTCTGAGTTCTGTCTCTATATTCCGATAGGTAAAATAAAATTTTAGAAATTTTGGAAACAAATGAATGAGTTTGCCTTTGGCATCAAGTATTTATAGTGGTGATCAAGTTCATGTCTGAACAAGCATTAAGCATTGTCGGGCGGATAGCGCTTTGCAAGTCTGTACACGAAATTGTACGTAATATCGAATACGCAAGTTTGGACAAGTAACAGTCGCTTGCCTTATTAAAATATTATCTGCTTAGTTAGGTACTTAAAACAATGTAGGTAGGCCCTTATAAAAACTATGCTTACATTTTTGCTCTTTACTATCAAAAGCAGATAAATTTTCGTGGACCCCCATTTTTTGTTCACGCCTACGTAGACCCCCAGCAAGTCTCCCGTGGACCCCTGGGGGTATATACCTAATCTGTAGGGTGTTCACACGATGCGTAATTAATTACATAACTTTTGGTTAACTTTACTTAGAGGTTTATTAATATTTGTGTTATATTAATTTTTATTCTGTCATATATGATCGTCAAATATCACGTCCTCAAGTATCGATAGTAATTCACCAGTCACCCTGTATATATATTGTATCTATTTTTTTATGTATTAAATAACTTGTACAACCCTACCATCCTATCTCTCTCCTCTACCAAAGGTTGCCTGGAAGAGATCGCTGTTTTAGCGATAAGGCCGCCTTTTTTCCTTTTTTTTCTTTGTTTTTGTTTTACTCCTATTATCTTTGTCTATATTGGTGTGCAATAAAGAGTATATAAATAAATTATGGTTTGGGTAATGGACATTTTAGTTAATACAAGAGGGTTATGGAGAATGAGTATTTTTAACATTAATAATAATTAAATAAAACTACAGCACTTGTAATATATGATAAATTCGACTTTTCATTCGCCAACGTCCATACCACGTTGAATACACCGGTTCTCGTCCGATCACCGAAGTTAAGCAACGTCGGGCGCGGTCAGTACTTGGATGGGTGACCGCCTGGGAACACCGCGTGATGTTGGCTTTTTTGTTATAAGTATTTTTTTATTGCTAGTACATATCATGTACAATAGTAAGTTTTTTTAAGTAAAATAGACAAAATTATTGGAATATTAATAGAAAACACAATCATTTTAGAGAAGGAATCGGGGGTGGTACTTACTAATACAAGATAGTTTGATTTTAAAAGTTTTTCGTTTTGTATATTCAATATTGTAATTTGTAATCAATAATACAGTGTGTAATATAAGTACAGTGTGACAAGGTTTATCTACGAAAAATCTATAGGGTAATAAATAATAATGTTAAGGTGTCACAATATCTACATATTAATCCGAAAAAACAATATTTAAATAAGCAAAACTCTTTTTTATACATTCAATTTTATTATGATTACAAATAATGTAAATTAAGTTCAAATTACGAGCGAAGTGAGCGCCAAGAAATAGTTTTTGTTGCTGAACAGATTTTATTTGATACATATAACATATTTAATATTTTATAAAGAAAAGCTGTGAATAGGTAGAGAAATAAAACATTGGATTTAATATAGAGTTTAATAAAAAAAAACAATCATAACAATCATAAAATTAGTTACAAAAAGTCTTACATTCTTTTTTAACATGGAACAATACAATTCCTATAAAAATATAACACTCACTCATAATTATAATTTTAGTTACTTAAAATTTCTATTAATAAATACGCTAGAATTTTTCTTATATATAATCTTAGAATGAATGTATCAATGAATTTATATTTTACTAGCTTTTGAAGCGACTTCGTCCGCGTGGAATAGTGACTTCCGGCAGATTTCTGGTTTTTCCCACATAGTTCCCGTTCTTGCTGGGTTTTCGGAATGGTCGAGTTCCCGTAGAATTTTCAGGATAAAACCTATATTTTTTTTTATTCACAATGAAGTACGCTTAACCAACAACATATTTATTTGTTTATTTGAATAAGATTAATATTATTATGTTGATACAACTTAAACAAATTATTTCGACCAAATTAGGTACCACAAAAACGGTTTTTGTGAGTTAATCTTAAAAGATAGACATATACTGTCGCGGACTGTTTTTTAGATCATTAAAAGAGCTATTATTCTTTAATACATATTTTTTGTGGATCTTGAACCGTTTTCACGGCGCACGCTACGGAAGGCTTCAAAGATGAAATAATTTCTCCCGTTTTTTAAACATTTACCACTATATCTTTGCTCCTATTGGTCGTAGCGTGATGTTATATAGCCCACAGCCTTCCTCGATAACCTGACTATCCAACACAAAAAGAATTATTCAATTCGAAACAGTAGTTTCGGAGATTAGCGCTTTCAAACAAACAAACAAACTCTTCAGCTTTATAATATTAGTATAGATATCATATACTCAAAGTTAAACGTAAGATAAGATATGGTTTCGAATGAAAAAAATAACGTGAAAAATAGGAATGTTTATCTAAACAATTTAAATTTTAGACTTCAATAACTGGCGGTACTTGCTAGGGTAGACTGGGGGTAATTATTACTGAAACTTTACGGTAGCTAAGTGCTTCAAGAGGAGAAATAACGGTTAAATACCTATTCTTTAGTTGAGTCGTAAGCACACCCCATTACCACGTAATTGCATTTTCCTCGTCTCATATTAATTTTCTATCTCTGTAGTTCGATTAGCTCTAAAACTGTGTTTTAAAATTATTATTTCGTTTTATTGGTAGTACGATTTATTAATTAGTTTTTTTGGGACATGTGGAATTGAAAAGTATTACTAATTATTCCGCAAACTATTCATTCAATTTATAGCTTCACTGTTGCATTTGTGTGTTCCTATTGCCTTAGCAGTCGAGTTCTTCCACCCGAATACCGTGTAAAGAAAGTCCCGAATACCGTCTGAAGTGTTTTATTTGTTTATTTGATTGGGAAGCATATGCCTTACGGTAAAGTAATATGTTGTTCAAGTTACGAGATTACATAAATGATCGACTGTACCTTGTATGTTAATCTCACTCTCACACAAAGGATGTATCAAGGAGATTAATATTCCTGCCGATCTAAATTATAATAATAATCGGAAACTGTCATCATATGATTGTCAATACTTGGTTTTCTTACGTATGAAATGTTTCAATATTATAATAAAATTAGTGTTAAATAATTAATTCCCATTAGAATACGCACTTTTTGTAATTGTGAATATTTCTAGGAACAGTTCTAAAAGATTGTTATGGTATGTAATTGTTGCTTAAAAATTAATCTGAAATTTTATGTATAATTTGAAATAGAAACATGTAAGAGGTATATGTTTATAAAAAAATGTCGTTATTTTATAATGTTAAAATTTAACACCATTTGTACCTACATACATTATGGTTCGGGTAATGGATATATCGGATTTATTAGAAATTCGTTGTTTTTAAAGAGTGTGACGCCATAATCGCTGACGTCACTGATGAGTGACGTCACTTCTTTCAGTACGTTCCATGATTTTTAAAATGAAACTTCAATTGTTCCTAATGTTCCTTGTATTTCTCGAAGGTTCTTCATAATCACATTATAGGGCGTTTGATTTAAGCTGAGCTTTGCATTTGTGTGAGTGTACACGGATAGTGTAGGTGTGATGTCAAATTTTTGAATGAAACGTTCTTTTCTAGTTTTGAACCGGTTTATACTGCTTTTACTCCGCCCCGCACCTTCCGCACTTCACCCTTTGTACTGGTAGCAAAATCAAATGTTGCAAACGCAATGTCAAGTGAAGAAGAATTTGTATAGTTTTTTCAAAGTTTTTATGTAATATGTATTCATATTTTTTAATTTTTTCCATACTATTCATAATACTTCCATCTGGCCTTTTACAAGTTTTGCTTATTTTATGGCACTTATGTTATGTATCTATTTAAAATATAATTAAATTAAATTCTAAAAGTTTTTTGTCTAACTCTATTTTTACAATCACTCACACAAATGCAAAGCTCAGCTTAAGTCTAACGGTTAAGTTAGACTTAACTTTATTAAGGGAGTGATTTGCTCGTCTGTGGTAGGTATTTGACGTCGGCAGACGCGTCCGGCACTTATCCGTTTGATCAAAGGGATCTGGCGCGGGCGCCCGGCGCGGGCGTGCGGTGTGTCCACACGTCTGACGACGCATCACTGTTCAGCGGGAAGCGAGTGAGAGTGCACGCGTGATTTTCGCCGTTCTTTTTTACCTACCGCCGTTTTTTTCTTGCTTGTTGAAATGGCAAACATGAGCACAGAGGAAACATTTAAATTTCTGGAGCTGTATCAAGCAGAAAACTGCCTGTGGAATCCCAAAAATAAATACCACAAAAATAAAAATGTTGTAAGTACACAATTCATTCATTTTATTTAACTATCTACTTACAAATTCAGTTGAGTTTACTGTAAATTGGTTATTAGATATTAACAATGTGGATTTATGACGGGTAGGCAATTGTTATTTTAGTTCGAATTAAAGCCGCATTGAAACACGGTCAAAGTTATAATACAGTTTTATGTGAATGGGTATTTTGATCGTGTTAACGCGACACACGACAACTTATTTTGACCACCTGTTATTATGCCCATTGATATAACCACAATGATTATACTTACTTATTTTACTTTTTCAGATTAATGATTCATGGAAACGTATTGCTGATACGATGGGCATTCCAGTGCATGAGTTAAAAAAGAAAAAAGATAATCTTCTTAGTACATTTAGAACGAATTTAAAAAAAAGAAATGCATCCATTCGGTCAGGGGCGGGAACAGAGGATGTGTATCAGCCCATATGGATATTTTACGATGTGATGGCTGCGTTTTTAACAGATGTTTACGAATCCACAAGTATTCTAAATACAGAGGAAAAAGTAAGTAAAGTAAAACATTCTTTATTTTTGGATTATTTATTTATTTGAGTAGCCAACACAACATACATTTCTATATACTTATCTTAAATTTATAGGTATTTAGATACTACTAGATTACTAGGTACTTTTGAATTAATGGTTATTCTCGTTAATATATCTGGTAAATTTTAATCGCGTTTCAACTGCACATGTAGGCGCTCTTCGAGGTATAGGTTGCAGTGGATCGAATGTTCCCGTGTAATTTTGTCTCCAAGACCCTGGTTGGATTAATTCTCCATTGAGATACTTATCTTCTGAATTTGGGGGACTGTACAAATGTTGAGATGTTTTACTTTTTCTTAAGAAATTGTGTAACAAGACACATGTCATTGTAATTAAAGATGCTTTAGTGATATTCAAGGGTATAGGCTTTTTGAAAATTCTGAATACGCTAGACATTATACCAAAAGTATTTTCGACTGCTACACGCGAACTAGAGAGCTTTTGATTGAATAATCTCTCTGGAGTACCAAGAGCGTGATGCCCTGGAAATGGTTTCATAATATGTGTACTCAATGCAAATGCGGCATCAGCTAAAAATACATAGGGTAAGCTTGTATTACTATTGGGTAAGCAACTAGGAGAAGGCAAGTTGATCACATTTGTGTCAATTTTTTGCTTTAAAACACTTTGATTATAGACTCCACCATCGCTAATTCGCCCTGGGCAACCTATATCTACAAACATAAAGCAGTAGTCACTATCAACTAGTGCTAAGAGTACAATACTGAAATGCCCTTTATAATTGAAGTACTCCGTTGCGGTATTGGGTGGCGGTAGAATCATGACATGTTTCCCATCTAAAGCGCCAATACAATGAGGAAAATTAAATCCTTTTGCCTTTGCAAGCCATTCATCCGTAGTGTTAGGTATCTGAAAATAAAAATATATAGTCAATTTAAAAAAAAAAACGCTGGTTTGCTCTTTAATGTAATATTATTATTTAAATATATTTTTATTGAATTTTTTCTTTCCCAGACACAGCCTGATTTGTATGAAGAGGATAGCGCTTCTAACGTGCAGGTTAGTGATAATATTCCGGATGCTAAAAACGAAGACCATAATGATGCCGACATCCCTACTACATCTCAAAACAAACCAATTATTCAGTCACAAAAACGTCGTGCTAAAGATCCACCCGAAATGCAAGAAGCCAATAAAAAAATGAGTACTGCTTTTACAGCATTAAATAAAGCATTGGCTAACAAAGAAAACATAAAAGAAGAAGACGAATGCGATTTATTTTGTAAAATGTTGGCAAAACAAATAAGGGAGTATCCAAAACTTGAAAGGGAAGAAATAATGTACGAGCTTCATGGTGTTATGATGAGCAGACGTCGTCGTTACAACACGATGCAGGGTAGATCATATGCTGTTTCTTCTCCTTCACAAATAATCCTCAGTCGACCTAGCACGAGCAACAGCATGTATCTATCAACACCGTCACCTGTATACGTAGTAGACTCCCCCCATTCAGTTCAGTCACCACCACAAAATATGGCCAATCAACAAACCGAAATGGTTAACATTATTTCACAAGAAGTACTTGTACCACAAACAAGTAAAATGTATTACGAAAGCTGTTTAAATATGACGGACGATAATGACACCGATCACCCTTAATTTGTCAAAGCAAACTGAAAGTACCTACTTACCTATTTGTCAAAGCAAAGTTTTTTGTAAACTGTTGATTATTCATTACAATACAATTAATAATAAAGATTTTGGATTAAATTATGTGGTTTACCTTCACTAAATCCTTTAACACGTTATTGAGCGCTAAACATACTTCAGGAACAATAATGGATATAACTTGGCTTGAAATTTTAAACAGGTAATGCAAGCTTCTATAGCTATCACCAGTAGCTAAATATCTTAATGTTACTGCCAAACGCACTTTCACTGGAATGGCATCCCTCTAATCTGTATCTTTTTTAGCAATCGTTGGAGATATCTTTTGTAGTAAATATTCAAAATCGCTGCTAGACATTCGAACAAAATTATTAAATTCTCCAGAGGGCTCTGCATATAGTTCTGCAAACTGGTTTTCCATGCTATTCCTGCGAAGAAACAGAGTAATGTAAGAAGTCGTTACCTACGTTAAAAAAAACTTTTTAGAAAAGAGAACCGACTTCAAAAACACTAACCCGTAAGAATATCCAAGTATATCGAAGGTCATCATTAAACTAAGAAGTATTATATACTATAACCTCTACCTAAATGTAACAAATCCTTTTATGAAAACCGCAAACATACATACAAACATACAGGTCAAACTGAGAACCTTCTTTTTTTGAAGTCGATTAAAAAGCGTACAAGTTATATTATGAATAAAAAAATCCCACTTACTTTGTTCGGTTTCTATGTATAGTCAGCATCCACCACCTTCTTCTTCTCCATTTTTTTTTAATAACTCTATTGCGATAGACGCTTAAATAATACTTGTAGGTACTAAATAAATAAATAGCTGCGGCAGCAACGGTCTCTATATCCATTCTGCGTGCGTACGTGTTGCATCTGACGAGAACCAACATAGACTGAACGACCTGGCGACGTGTGGACGGCTCGTAGAGATTCATCTGCGGATGCGTCTGCGGACGTCTGCAGACAAATCTGTCTACGTGTAGAGGAGGCATATAGTCATAGATACCTATTACTATAACTCTGCTGTCGTCCATACGTCATATTTGTACCAAGATTCAAACATAGTTCTATTCTCCTTTTAAACAATCTTTGATTTCGTTTTAATTTTAACAATAATCATGAATACTAATGGGTTCTAATAGGAATTGATGACATTATTTTCATGTTGGATCCGTTATTAAAGCTGATAGCGTTAATAGATATGTATTTTTAACATTAATAATAATTAAATAAAACTACAGCACTTGTAATGTATGATAAATTCACACTACTTATGGCCATCGTCCATACCACGTTGAATACACCGGTTCTCGTCCGATCACCGAAGTTAAGCAACGTCGGGCGCGGTCAGTACTTGGATGGGTGACCGCCTGGGAACACCGCGTGATGTTGGCTTTTTTGTTATAAATAATTTCTAATTGCTAGTACATAATATGTACAATAATAAGTTTTTTTAAATAAAATAAACAAAATTGTTTCAATATTAGCAGAAAAAAACAATCATTTTCGTGAACAACTCAGTGGTAATTACTAACTAATATAAGATTGTTTTAAAAGTTTCTCGGTTGTAATTTGTAAACATACATTAATAGTACACTTTAACAAGGTTTATCTACGAAAAAGCTCCGTATATAGGGTAATAATGTTAAGGTGTCACAATATCTATTACCGAAAAAACAATATTTATATAAGCAAAATGCCTTTATATATATTCAATTTTATCATGATTACAAATAATGTAAATTAAATTCAAATTACGAGCGAAGTGAACGACAAGAAATAGTTTTTGTTGCTGAACAGATCTTATTTGATACATATTTAATATTTTATAAAGAAAAGCTGTGAATAGGTAGAGAAATAAAACATTTGATTTAATATAGAGTTTAATAAAAAAAAAGGAATCATAAAATATAAATTATTTGGTAACATGGAACGTACAATACAATTCCTATAAAAATATAATACTCAATCATAATTATAATTTTAGTTACTTAAATTTTCTATTAATAAATACACTAAAATATTCCTCATATAAGTATTAGGAATATTATCACACACCTACTTTTAATAAGGTAGCTTCCACTTTTAATCTAGATATAATTTTCAGCTCATCACTGTACATTTACTCAACTTGGCCCTGTTTGAGGAATGCGTTGTTCTTTGATATACATGGCTGTAAAACATTTTAAGTACATGATTGAAGGTCAACTAGTGATCGTATTTACGGATCATAAGCCGCTTGTACGCCTTACACAAAAAAGCTACAAGACGCACCGATACACCTAGACGCCTACGACAATAGAGTACATTCAAGGCTCGTAAAATATTGTGGCGGATACCTTATCAAGAATCGAACAGATAGACATGCCTTCCCCAATCGACTATACAGAAATATCCAAGGCTCAACAAAATGACGAAGAATTAAAGTACTTGCTGAAATCAAAAATTTTAAAGAAATCGTATATCCAAATTGTAATGAATCGATATATTACAGCCTTTAAAGCGATTCACGGAATTAGTCACAGTGGCACGCGCGCCACTAGAAAGATGATAACAAATAGATATTTTTGGAAATCTATGAATTCAGACATTAACAAATGGACAAGATCCTGCGTTAATTGCCAAAAATCGAAAATTCAACGCCATACATTATCTCCACTCAGCTCTTTTATTTATTTATTTTATTTATTTAACTCTTTATTGTACACCATAATTACAAAACAAACAATTACAAAAAACAAAATACAAACTAAAAAACTAACGGTGACACAAAAGGAGGCCTTATGGCTTATTAGCCATTTCTTCCAGACTACCTAGGGTTAGAAAAATTGCGTTTGGAAGACAGTGTAGGGTGGTGCAATATCAAGTATTCTTAAAATAAATATAACACATACAAAAATAAATAACAGTAATAAATATTCAATAATATACATACGTACATTTTTAATATTCAATAATATACATTCTTTTCCATCTTGTAGCCGTTTTGAACATCTACACATGGACATTATCGGTCCATTAAGGTATTGTCAAGGATATAGATGCATACTGACTATGATAACAGAGCGACTGGGTGGTCTGAGGTAAAATGTTTAAAGGACATCACCGCAGGAAGTGTTGCACGTGCATTATATACTCAATGGATTACGAGATTCGGTTGTGCCTCCAAAATTACCACAGACCAAGGCCGTAAAATTGAATCAAATATTTTCTGTAAATTGGCAAAATATATGGCTATAGCTTACCATCCACAAGCCAACGGTATGATGGAAAGGTGGCATAGAACGCTAAAGACAGCACTGATGTCACGTGGAAATACCGAAAATTGGGTTAACGAGCTACCAACCGTTTTATTAGGCCTCAGAGCAAGCTTACGAGACGATACAGGCATTTCTGCCGCTGAAATGGTTTACGGCACTACTTTAAAATTACCAGGAGGTTTTTTTGATCCGTCAAAGCAAGCATCTCCGGATGACGAAACATTATTGCAAGATCTACGTATGCATATACGTAACCTCGCCGCCGTACCGAAGCGACCGCACAGACAAGGAAATATATTTATACACCCAGCCTTACCATCATGTACGCATGTATTTGTACGCTGCGACCATGTCACGAAACCCCTAACAACCCCATATTTTGGGCCTCATAAAGTCATTGAGAGAGGAGATAAATATTTTAAAATTATGATCTCCGATAATATAAAAACAATCTCAATCGACCGATTAAAACCTGCATTTCTAATGCACAATAACTCAGATACAATACGCTCCATCAAATAAGGCCGAATTCATAACAAATTCCAAAGTGCATAGCGACAGCAGAGAGGGCCATAATAACAACCAGATGCGAACCCGATACGGCCGACTCATCAAAACCTACAGTGTGATTTATATCTGCGTAAAAAAACATCTTATAATTCATACTTTCATCTGACTACAACTAATTCGCTACGATTTCAAGCAAAGCAAGAAATTATCATTGCCAAAAACGGGCAGGCGAATCAGGCGAACACAAGCTTACTGCATGATTACGCATGATAAATTAAACCTTATAGTCATGCTAATCATCACTGTCACCTATTTAATATGTCGGAGATACTGCAAACAAAAGTACACTAAGTACCTGAGAAGAGATATCCAGGGGTTGCGCGCTAGCTTTAGAGATCGCGACCCGCCTCATCCACCTCACTCAGTGCCGACATACTCCGTGGCGTAAAAAGTGAACCCGTGTTGTGCAATTAATAAATATGAATAAATAAATGTGCTAAAAATAGTGAAGTTACAATATAACTGTTGTAATCGTAGGTATATTGTGTCGTGTATTGTATCTTTAAATTTAATGATATATAAAATATATTTTTTAATATTTCTAAGGGTTTATTATATTTATAATATATGACATTATATTTTTTGTTTACACGATATACATTAAAATATACAAATTTTATTTTAGACGATGGAAAAATATTTTTGTTTTATATAAGTGTAGTAAGTAATTAAATTTTGCATTATATTTTGTTAATTTGTTTAGTTTTACAATAATATGTTATTATTATTTTAAAGGAAGGGAAGTGTTGTGCCTACGTATTATCTTTTATTAATGTAAGTAAAAATCACTGTCCATAGTGGCACCTAGAAACAAGTCGATATTCGATATGCTACATTGTCAATTTAATACATTATAATATGTTCTGTCGCGGAGTCGCCATTCTACCATCGAACTGTAATGTCGTCTTAACAATTAATTATTGTAAATTATACATATAATACAAATATCTATACTCAATTGCCTTTCATTACATGATCCACAAGATATAAAAGACAAATGTTAAACATACGCTCAGATAACACGTAGGTACAATCGCTATGAAAGTACAATACAAAAAAATTGATTTCGTATTGTAATTGCTGCTATAAATGTTAATTTAAATACGAACGATGTTAAAGACATATTATCGAGTCCACAATAAAAAAAAACCTCTACTACATCCATCACAGTTGAAAATAATTCGACGATTTTAAAAATTGAAATGTTAAGAATGGGAAAACAATACAATATTACAATAAAAGCAAGTTCTGTGCAAAGCATCTCGGCTTTCGTATTGCGGAAGATACGCCTATCTTCCTAACGGAGCACTTAACCCCCCGTGCGTACGAGATCTATCGAAATCAAAGGGTTATAAGTTTTGCTGGACTGCACATGGTAAGGTATTTGTGAGAAAACTAGATAACTCGCCCATAGTCAATATCACTAATGAAGCCAATACAACAATTAATAGCAACAAACAAATAACTAGATTTTGTTGTCTTATATTTTTATTAAGAGTTACTTGTCTTCTCATATTTTTATTTGAATTTATAGTTTAACCCGTATCATCCCAGTGATCCATTATTGGATCGGTTAGTTTAATATTTTTTTTACTAAAATTTCGTGAACGCAGCCATTTTTTTTGTCTATGGTGGCAGCACTGACAGTTCTTGCCGCCATATTCACTTGTCAGATCCTCGGTGGGCCGCGAAATTTGTGTTTTGTTACGCACTGAATTTTTTGGAAATTGTGAAAAAATGTCTCATCGCCGAATGTAAGTATTTCTTGTTTTTTTTTTAGATAATTTATAATTATTGTATCGTATTTATATCGGCTAGGAGTTGAGTTATCATATTGCAAGACAGTGAAATGCACATTTAGCTTATTTACATTTATTTTTTACTTTTATACGTACCGATCCAATAATGGATCAGTAGGATAATATGGATATGGAACATTTTATGTAGTGACATAATTGTTATTTTTGAATTTTGCGTTTATTTTGTTTTAGATTGTCGGTAAATGACATAATATCGCATCTTGAAGACAACGATGACGTATTGTCAGCAGATATTTACATAACACCCCCAGATAATTACGACAAAAGTGATGAAGACAGTGGAGATGAGGAGTCTTCGAACATAAATCACCTGTCCAGGCAGCAGCTCTTAGCACAGGCTGAGTTTAGGGCTACTGTATCTTCACAGTCTAATTTAGATATTATAGAAAGCGTATCAAATGAAGTTTCTATAGATAATAATACACACGGCGACTTATCAGTACAACCACCGGCAAAGAAAAAAAAATGTCCAGCTACCCGAAAGTGGAGGAAAGTAGATATTCCAGTGAAGACAGAGAAAACATCAGAGACACCACATTTCTTAGAACACCTAGATACTCCTGTTCACTTTTTTGAACTTTTTTTTGACGAAGACGTTTTTGAATTGATTCGCTCTGAAACCGAAAAAAATGCTATTCAAAAAGGTTACCACAATTTCAAAGTTACAACTGAGGAAATAAAACGATTTATAGGGATTCTCTTGCTGTCTGGTTACAACAGTGTTGCTAGATATCGTATGTACTGGGAGCAAAGTGTTGATTGTAATTTTCAAGGTGTGGCAGCTGCTATGCCTAGGAACAGATTTGAAGAACTATTACGATTCTTTCACGTCGCCGATAATAATAACTTAGCTCCACAGGACAAGTTCGCGAAGGTTCGTCCTCTCTGGAATCTACTCAATAAGAGATGGGTAAAATATTATCCCGGTGACAGGAATCTAAGCATTGATGAATCCATGATTCCATATTTCGGGAAACATGGGACGAAGCAACATATTCATGGTAAACCCATTCGGTTCGGTTATAAGAATTGGTCTATATGTACTCGTCTTGGATATTTGATATATGGAGAGCTTTATCAAGGGGCAAGCACAGGAAATACCCACCCAGAACTTGGTGTAGGTGCTTCTGTTGTTTTAGACCTCATATCCAAATTGCCGCCCGGTACTTACAGCTTTTATATGGACAACTATTTTACATCTTTACCCTTGTTGGATGAAATAAAAACATTAGGACACGATGCGACGGGAACGGTTAGGGCAAATAGGGTAGAAAAGGCACCCTTGAAAGAAGCGAAAGATGAAGAAAATGAGCAGAGGGTCTTTTGACCAGTGTACAGATACTCTGACGAACATCACCCTCGTACGTTACAATGACAACAATATTGTTACCGTTGCCTCAACCGAATGTGGTGTGGAGCCTTTAGCTAAGGTAAAACGTTACTGTGACAAGCAGAAGAAAGACGTCGACCAACCTCGCTGCATCGTCAACTATAACAAATATATGGGCGGTGTCGACCGTTTGGATCAAAATGTGGGATGCTATCGTATTTCTATACGCCTGAAGAGGTGGTACTGGCAGCTACTTATGTTTCCTATAAATGTATGTATGAATAATGCTTTTCAGTTATATAAATTATCGCCAGCTTCACAAAACAATCAGCATGACTATTTGTCATTTACAAGACATGTTGTAACAACATATCTTCAGACTTGTCCTGAAAATTCTTCTTCAGTAAAGAAGCCTATTCCAAGATCATCTCTAGCAGTCATAAAACGAGTTCCAGTTGATATTAGGTTAGATGGAAAGGCACACCATATTATCAAAAGTGATAAACAAAACCGTTGTGGTTTATGTCATAAAAACACGACAATGAAATGTGGCAAATGCAACGTCGCCCTACACCAAAAGTGTTCTCCTGCGTTTCATACGAAATAAAATTGTAATACTAAATGTTATACTAAATGTTATATAAAATACTAAAAATACTAAAATTATATACTAAAAATAAATAAGATTATTCATAAATATCTTTCATTATTTACAGCAATCTTCCTAAAAAGCACACAATACCAACAATAAAATACAGTGGCATATTCTCCTACTGTTCCATTTTTGGATCGGTACTGTAACTGAAATACCGGAAATCGAAATTTTTTTTTTTGTTGCATATTATCGATAATTAGGCTACTAACAAATGATTCTGAAAGTTTCGCTTCAATCAGATGAGTTTTGAGGACTTGGGAAGATACGGGTTAAGTTTGATTTGTTTTTTAAATTTTATATGTTAGGATTTTTAGTTGTTCCTTGTTTATACATATGTCAAATATATTGTTCTAAAAGATTGTTTACGACAAAAATACCATCTTACACATAAACAAATTATATTCAAAATTTAATTAATATTATATATTTACACACCATAACACTACAAACTTCAACACGTCACTCACCTACATATCATAAACCACTAGCCCACACTTATTACCTACTGCACTCTAAAAAATTATTACCTACAATGCATTTAGTTCATATTAAAAAATTATCAATATTAAAAATAAAGTAACACTTTACATATATAATTATAATTTTAGTTTACTAAGATATACAACTTCGTTTAAATTTGCGACCAGTTCTTCTACTACAACAAAATGAATGATTTAATACAAAATATAAATGAAATTGACAAATTAAGTAATAAGTATCTCCCGTACTTCTGTAATCAGACAGAACTTAATAATCATTATATAATAAATAATAACGACTGTACTATAATTTTACAAAATATTAGAAGCATATATGTATTGTAATTTCGAAAGCTTTGTACTTACGTTATCCAGTCTTACTTTTACACCGGATGTTATAGTTTTGACAGAATGACGAATAAATCAAGACAAAGCTATAACTACACATCGCATGCTATTACATACAACTTAAATCAGAATGACGGTGTTGTTGTCTTCGTAAAAAATACTCTTCAATATAATGTCAAAGAAATTAAATTAAAGCAAGCCTCAAGTTTACAATTAGACATTTTGAATTATCTTATTTATTTATTTATTTCAGAAATACCATCGGCATATTCAAAAATCATACGTGGAAAAAATATAAAAAGAAAACTTGTACAGTGTGATACACCATTACAGGTATTTACATTTTACAACTTACATGTTAACAAAGTTAACTAAACACTATACACTACTTATGTATTGTATATATCGCTCTCCGTCCAATAGTAATGCAGAATGTTTTATTGATTCTCTACACTTTAAATTCACAAAAATACATAATCATAACTGGAGATATTAGTATAATTCTGATACCGAAAGTCCGAAACCTACTGAACAGTCGTACGAAGGTCACAATAGGATATATTATCTAGATGCGCGATCAGCCCGTAGTATTTCACCAGGTCACGTCATGCTTACAAGAAATGAAAGTTGCTTTGACCATTTCATGTTAAAAATAAGAAGTGCTAAAAGCTCTTCTTTAGCTGTGTTACAGACGTCTGTTACGGATCATTACACTGTCTTCCCAGTCAACGCATGACATAAATATGACGTCATTAAAGGTCATAATATATGGAATTGAAATAATATTTATAATTTCTATGTTTCAGCATATTTTCTAATATAAAAAGGAGTAAGTACAAAAGCAAAAGAAGCTTGAAGATGATAGAATCAAAGAGGCAACGGCATAAACTGTGGGAGTATGAGTATTTAATTACTAGAAATTCTCTTTTCTACAAAACATTTTAAAATATTAAAATTAATGTTGATTTAAATTTCTAATTGAAGCTACTTTTATTTTGACTTCTATTTTCTAAAAAAACAAATTAAAAAGTTAAAATAAGTGTTGATTGAAACATCTGTTTAAAGCTAATTTAATAATAATGATAATGATAACCATAACGATAATAATAATAATACCCCCCCGGGGATGGACCTTACCGTGGTGAGGGGGGGCTTAAGGAGAGGAGATACTATAATGAAGTCAGCACACTTTGACGATGCACTCCAATTTAGGGAGATACTAAAACAAAACCAATAACACCTAGGTTACCCTCTCTGAACTAATCATACCAACAACTACCCATAATGGGGGAAACTAAAAGAAAATATGACAAGGAGAAGAGCTTCGTCAACCTTATCAAATACTACTTCGCTTGGGAGTGTTGTGCAGGAAATTCACTCTGCTGAACCTGCACCCACTTCGAGCCTACCATGCACGCGCAAGCGATGGAATAATGAGATGAACCAATTCATATTTCACACCTATTTGCAACTGACTGCTCTTGATACAGATACCAGAACTTATTTAGAATCGCTACACTTAAAATTCAGTGAAAAGTACCCTGAAATGAACGCTAGCCGCCAAAGAATAGGAGAGCAGCGCCGTGCAATAATAAGAAACAAATTATTACCGCAAATTATTACAACATATTTCAAATTAAAAATTAAAAAGATAGCCACACACCAAACGGATACCACATAATTTATGTTAGGAGTTACAATCAATTACATATACTATCTTCTAACAAGTACATATTTTTATATAATGTTGAAGTATTGGAGGTGGTATTTAGTTTTTATTTTAAATTATCTTTCACTTTTTAACTTTTTAAATTGTAGTAATTTTAATAAAAAACAATATAAATGTTTCCGAAATGTATGCCTTATAAAAACTATAAGTCTGCAAATCAATAAAAATTTTCGTTATGTTTTGTACATACAAATTTTATTTACTGGAATCACATTCAAAAAGTGAATACTATAATTAAAAAACTTGAGCGCATTCAAAATCTTTGCATCAGGTTCATATTTGGGCTTCGCAAGTATGACCACATTTCCGATTTCCGATTTTGCAAATACAAGTTGCAAGCAAAGGATATATGGAACGTTGACGAATCGGGCATCACGACTGTTCAGAAACCGGACCGCGTCATTGCTCGACGAGGACACAAACAAGTGAGTGCCATGACTTCCGCAGAGAGGGGAACATTAGTTACTATAGCACTAGCAGGAAATGCCCTTGGGAACCACATACCTCCAATGTTTATCTTTCCGCGAAAAAGATTTAATGATCACTTTATACGTGATGGATCTATTGGATCAATTGGTACTGCGAATGGGTCAGGGTGGATGCAAGAAGAAGACTTCTATATATTTCTTACATTTTTCAAAGACCAAGTTAGGCCATCTAAAGAAAATAAGGTCCTATTGTTATTAGATAACCACGCATCACACACTGCTGTTAAAAATATCGAGTTCTGCAAGGAAAATGGCATTATTCTATTAACTTTTCCACCTCACTGCACCCAAAAGTTGCAGCCAATGGACAGAGCCGTTTTTGGATCGGTGAAAAAAGCAGTTAACACAGCTTGCGATGATTGGATGCGGTCTAATTTTTTACCTACTCTACCAGCTGACCCTCCTTCAAAGGATCTCATAGATCTATTAGTACCACCTCCTAATTTTAATCCCGATGACTTAATCGTAAACTCTCAAGATCAAGGTGAACCTGCTAGAATTGAAACTCAAAATACACCTAACCTCGTCGTAGAGCCCGGTCCCCTTTCAGACGATTCTCTAAATCTGAACTTACCTGAAAATAACTATCCCGCATTCTTAAAAATAATGGCAAGTAATAATACAACTTTTAAAACAAAAATCATAGAAACATAGTAATGAAGATACACGTAAATCAAAAAGTAAAATAATTATCTTACTCACTTCCATCGACCTCGATGAATCCAACCCTTTTGTTCAATACGTTCTTGACAACATACCTGACAACTCCGAAATCATGAATAAAGAAAGGACATTAAACTCGTTTATATCATTTGAAAACGCCGGCAAGAAATATTACTTCCTCTTCACGAAAGTTTACCATTTCAATAAATGTTCTTATGCTGACATTTATAACAGCTTGAGGGACCTCGGAAACGAATTAGTCATAGATCAAAATTCAAAACGGCGACTCAAATATTGAATTCGCAATAACAGAATTCAAAAATCCTTTCGACAAGCATCAATTCATCAAAATATACAATATGATTCACTTACTTTTTGATAAGTCTGGTATTACCATTCATATTTATAAGGATGAAATAATTTACGCCACTCCTTCAGAAATTCCCAAAATATTAAAAGAAAATCACGATATTCCGTACTTGTTGTAACTTAAACAAAGTAAATGCTGAAATCGGTAATGTGTCTACACAATGTAGACTTAGACGAATTCCACTCGGGAAATAAATTAAAATCTATCTTAAGTAATTCACATCAAATTGATACGAGAAAACTGCCTCATATTGTGGAATATGGAACACAGTACTCAATTTTTATTAATGTAATACTTTAGTTTATTATTATAGTCATATTATGTTTAGCCATTAAGATGTGTTGTAATAAACTAAACAATCGCCCATTCCAATATTTTAATAAAAGACAATCAGTAACTTTGACTACCCCTGAGATTAAAGAAACAATAGACAGAGCAGATATTGATAGTGAAATGACCAGTCAAGTAGTCCCACTTAGAACTAGAATATAAAACGAGACTTTGAAATGTAACCCCCAAGCCTCTTCTTAAAGGGGGAGGTGTTATACCCATGAATGTAAGTGTAATTGCGTAAATGCGGTTCTTGAATAGACAGGTTAGCATTTTATCATTAGAGCATTAGTTATTACCCCTTTGTATACTCAGTCTTCATTTAGATCTTGTAATGTGCGGTTGTCCTTAAATAAATAAACAATTTCTCTTTTTTTTAAAGTGATTTTAATTCTCCGGGCTAACAGTACGCTGCGATAAGGTTTCAAAATTGTTGACACATCCATATTCAGGTCCGTTTAAAGTATTAAGTAAAAAGGAAAAATGTTTTAAAATATTAAATAAAATTTCAGGACCCGCTGTACAAAAAGCACCGGAAAAATCCACAAAGAAGACCTCAAAGAAAAGGAAACACGAGGAAGAAGACGACAAAATGTTGACAGAGGCTTTTAAAATTCTAACTGAAACATCTCAAGCTACGGATACTTATTTCAGTTATGGGCAGCACATTGCAAACGAATTAAGGAAATACGATAACCACACTCTAATATATGTGAAACAGGCTATAAACAATATAATTTTTGAGGCTGACTTAGGTAGATACAGTCCAATGTATGGGTATACATCACAAGAGCCTCAAAATCTTTCCAATAACAATTCTCTGGCCAGTACGTCAACTCAAGATGATAATCTTAATCTCGAGAAATAATTTATGTTGATATAATTAAGAAATAATTTATGTTATAATATATAATGCAGAAAAAATGAACAAAGCATTTGAAGCAGTACAAAGTAAGAATATGGGGTATAAGAAGGCTGCCAAAACGTTTACTGTACCTAGATCAACGTTAAGGAGACTGGCCAAATGTACAGGAGAATCATTGGATTCAGTTGGGTACAAACCATTACGTGGTAGAGGACGAGGGAGAGGACGCGGTAAAAATCCAACAGTCGCAACCGTAACCCAACGTTCCAGTCTACGTAGGGAGGTGACTGACCGTTCTGAAGCTGAGTAACCAGACACGGGTAATGACGACGAGACGACAGACGAGTCTGAAGACGAAAATTCTGTTCGTACATGTCCTGAAAATAGTGATACAACATGCATTTGTTTCTATAGCAAATTCTCTGATGATACTAGTGGTGAAATTTGGATGATGTGCCAAAGCTGTGAACTGTGGGCTCATAATGAATGTGCTGGAGCAGAGGGCGATTACTATATTTGTGACTTTTGCCGCTAAATTTATGTAAGATTTAGTTCATACATTTAATATGGCCCCCGGGGGGCCATAATTACCGCACATTTTGTTTGTCTCCGTTTTTTACATTTTTCCGAAAGTATAAAAAATTATGATCAATGCTATCTTTTTTTTTATTTGTAACATAAATCCTATTAACCCCTTAGACGACGTATGTTTTGACATAAACAGATTGTAATAATACCAATTAATAATTATTTTATACTTGAAAAACAAATTAGGGGGCCATATTCCCACCTTCTCCTCTACATATTTGTTCCCAATTTTACAAGGCTTAAAAATAGGGTAAGGCATATAGTACAGGATCCGTGGCCTATTTTTTCACTTGATTACTATCAAGCTAATTTTCCGTGAGTAGCTTCATTTTGATAAGACGCCCAACAATTTCCTGTGCGAAAATTTTTGATTGTGGTAGCTAACAGAGGTAGCAATGATAAAATATGTCGATTTGATGATTCTTCAATATTTATTACTAACTGAATTGTTTTTATTAAATCTTAAGATAATTATCTAAATTATTTGAAAAAATATTTGTCCTACAAAATCTATGGTTTCATCAAAGAGTCCTCCCCCTCCAACATGTATTGATAACGAGATCACCAAAAATGATTACTAACCAGCTGATTTTTTTTTTTATTACTTAGTTAATATATATATAATTTAACAGCCATATTGTCCTACAAATTTCGTGGTATGTTATCCCGGTTCCTACGCTTAAAAGTAGTAGTACAGATCATTGATGTAAAAATAATTACTATCAAGCTGAATCTTCGTGAATAGCATCGTTTTAATGAGACGCCCAACAATTTCCTGTGCGAAAATTCTCGATAGTGGTAGCTAACGGAGGTAGCAATAATAAAATATGTCGATTTGATGATTCTCAAATATTAATTACTAACTGGATTGTTTTTCATTAAATCTTAAGATAATTATCTAAATTATTTGAAAAAATATTTGTCCTACAAAATCTATGGTTTGATCAAAAAGTCCTCCCCCTCCAACATGTATCGATAAGGAGATCACCAAAAATGATTACTAACCAGCTGATTTTTTTTCTATTACTTAGTTAATATATATATAATTTAACAGCCATATTGTCCTACAAATTTCGTGGTATGTTATCCCGGTCCTACGGTCAAAAGTAGTAGTACAGATCCTTGATGTAAAAATAGCGTGGTACGCTATTGCGGTGCTCCAATTGAATATATATTGGAAAGTCATGAAATTAAAAATCAATTTATATTTCTTATTATATTAATATATTTATTATTTCTCAAGCGTGCGAAAAAAAATGTTGACTTTTTGGTAGATTTCACTCAACAATAATATTATTTTATAAGTTAAAAAATTACTGAACGTCTAATTTTAAACTAATTTTTAAACTAATTTTATAAGTTAAAAAATTACTGAACGTCAACTGAAATTAAACAAAACAATAACAAAGAAACCTTTGTGCCGCTTGTGTTTCTGTATTTTTCTACAACAGCTGAGTCACACCGTGACGCGTGCGCAGAGCATTTTTACTCCGTCGTAGTAGGTATCCCACGTTTGTGTCGAGTATAAGCGTGTTAGTAAGCATTTTTCAGTTAATTTTTCATAATTATGGAGTGTTTCTTGTGTAATTTGCTTTGTGAAAATCCTACTTTCCGAGAGAAAAGAGAAGAAGTGAAGAAATTTAATGCAGACATTTGGCTTTCCTGTAAAACTTTTTTATCTGCTCGAAAACATCATCAACATAAATATGGAGATGTTATATTACCTGAAAATTGGAATGACGAAATCATAGGTTATCATTCCTCTTGTTACAAAGAATTTCGAGTGAAATCTAAATATTTGTCTTATGAAAGGTAAGTCGGTCGAATATTTTTTTACTTTATTTTTAAAATTATTGAAAAATAATTTATTAACTTAAAATTTTCATGTAATTATATTATGTAAAATCGAACATTAGCCTTGAAACATTATTGTTACATTCTTTAAATAATAATTTTAGAAAGTATATTTTATTTTACACTTTTGATTACTAAATTTGGAGTATAATATAAATATATTCAATGCAATAATAAACTTAGCCACGTGTTTATCGTTTACTCATTCAAGCCTCGGAGAATTCGAGTACGTTCGGAAATGCTCGACTCTTCTCGGGAAGTTTTTTATCATTTACATTTGTTCTTGTATAACTATTTTACCAAATATTAATTTAATATGGGATCATTTTTTCAATATCGATAATGTTAAGTGATATTTTATGTAGACTGTGTGTACTGGCATGTTTCTCAAATAAATTATTTTTTTTTTTTTTAAATAATTTCTCATATACACAGCACTGAGCCAGCTTCAACATCATCTGCGTCTCAATCTACTGCAATCATTGATTCCTCGATTTCTTTAACGTCTGCTCCAAATGCAGAACCGGACCCATTGCCATGCACATCACGGTTAGTTAATTTAAAAAAAAAAAACATTATTTGTTAGTAATTGTTCATTTTTTAAAACAAGTAAATCTGAATCGACTGTTTTTTGAAACGATTCCATTACAATTATTTTTCAATTATTGTTTCTGTAAAAATACAAATCTCAAAAAATCTTCTTGACATTATTTATTTATTTTCAATTATAATTTTTTACAGAAATATTGACCAAAATTCGACATTAGTAAATGATGAAACCAGTAATATCGAAGACTCGGAAAATACTGTTGAGGAGGACAATACAGATTGTGAAGTAGATGTACAAAGTTTTCGAGATGATGAGTCAGGAAAAAAATGCTTTTTTTGTGAAAAAGTCAATATAAAACGTAAAGGGCGACAAATGTACTGTCGTAAAATTAAAAACAAAATGCCCTTTCTGGAAAAAATTAAAAATTATTCTACAGAACTGGGTGATATAGAGATGTTACTAAAAATTCAAGAAGAAACTAACTCTGTTAACGATGCTTTTTTGGCGTATCACAATATATGTAGTGTGAATTATTTTGCAAAATACCAAAGGAAAACGAATCCACCTCCAAGTAATGATTGGGCTACGAAACGAGAAGGCCATAAAATTGCCAGAGAACGATTGATTAATTATATTCAGCAAGAAGTTATTACAAATCGACGAGTGATGTCATTAGCTCACTTGAAATATTGTTATGCTGAATTTGTGAAAGAAATGTATGAACACGCAAATTTAGAAGCTACCACATTCAGCAATAAAGCTCTTAAGGATTATATACAAACTCAATTAAGACACAAAATATCATTGGTTAACATTTCTAATCAACAATTTGTTATATCATCTGAAGTAGATATTGAAGCAACCGATGATGAAGAAATCAGTAATATATTATTTGAACAAGAAGCACAGGATTTCGCCTTGAAATATCGAAAAAATATATTGAAAATAAAAAAAAAAAACCTTTAACAGATTTCATTGATAGTGAAGTATTAAATGAAGGAGAGTGCGATGTTCCAAAATGGTTGGATTTATTTTGGACTACTGCTTTGAACGGTATTGGCAAAGAAAGCTGCGATCGGGTTCAGAGATTGTCTTCATGTTATTCGCAGGACTCCATCTACAGTATTACTAGAGGTTATATTAAACCGCGAAAGCATATTTTACTGGGTATAACAATGAAAAGCCTCACGGGAAGCAAAAAAGTTGTGGATATATTAAGCAGACAAGGTTACTGCATCACTTATCCGAGCGTACTGGAATTGGAGACGTCTGCTGCATATTCTTGTGCCACTAATAATCGATCATGTCCTTCCGGCATACAACCAACTTCTTTATTATCATCTGGAGTAGCGTGGGATAATTTCGACAGATATGTAGAGACAAGCTCTGGTAAAAATACCTTGCATGACACAGTGGGTATCATTTATCAAAATATCCCTACAGAAGAAGAATTGAACATTATCAAAAGGAACGATGCATCTACAGAAGCTCAACAGAATTTATCAGTTAATGTTCGTGATTTGACTGGCCGTAGAAAACGTTCGTTTGAGGAACAGACATTTGAAAATGTACTGTACGCGAAGCAACGTCGTCCAGAATTTTGGCGTAGTAGTGTAGCGTCACCTGAAGAACCGCAAAATTTAATTAATTTTCAGCACAGATATTTTACATGGATACTTTCCCATAACTTTCAAATTTCAAACACGCCAATGTGGGTAGGATATAATGCCAAAATTTTAAAAGATGACAGTAGAATTCAAAAGATTGAGTATTTAACGCAAATTAATAATTCACCCACGGATCCGGCTGTTGTAAAGGAGACCATGCGAAGAAGTTTGCAAATCGCTTCGGAATGTCAAAAAAAATTTCTTCAGCGTTACTTACGATTTAGCTATGGCCAAAATTGCTTTACGGATACAGAGTGCGGAGGATGAATTTCAAAAACTTTTTATTAATTTTGGACCTTTCCACATAATGTTATCATTCATGAAAGCTATCGGAAAATTTATAAGTGGATCTGGGTTAACAAATATTCTTATAGATAGCGAAATTTTGGCCAGTGGTTCTATCAGTTCCTTTATAAGTGGAAAACACTTTAATCGGTGCAGGAAAATTCATCCTCTACTTTCTCTTGCTTTGCAGATTTTGCATTTGGAAAGGTTTTTACAACATTTTCAGAACCTGGAAAATATTAAAGAATACTTAGAAATATTTAATGAGCAACAAAATGATGACCCACAAATAACCAATGAGAATTTAAAGATCTTATTTAACAAATATAAAGAGTATAAAAATGAAACTTTAAATGGAAGTCATGGTAAAACACCTCAAATTTATTTAATGTACACAAGATTAGTTGAATATTATCTCCAATTAGAATATAGTATTCGTATAGGTGACTTCAGTTTATTTGTACACACTTTACCGAAAATAACAAATGTTTTTTTTTCAATGAATCACCATAATTATGCAAGGTATATGTCTATTTATTGGGATAAGTTGATAAATATTGAAACTACACATCCCGGATTGCTTGATGATTGTCAAAAGAGTTTCATAGGCATTCGAAGAACAATGAAACCTTTTTCAAGAATCCCAGTTGATTTAACACTTGAACAAACAATCAACGCTGACGCTGCTTCTAAAGCTTCTGGAATTATTAATATTACAAACTCGTTCTCTGCAAGACAAAAATGGTCAATAATTCATTCACTACGTACAAGTATTATATCTAAAGTAATGGAGTTTTGTAATATGAAATCAACAGATGATATTACGAAAGATTTAAAGAAGTCAACTATTAATAAATCTATCAAAAACTTAGAAGTACTGATGCAACTGATAAAGCAGTATACCAATCCTTTTGCATTAGAGCTGTCAGAAGATCATCTTTACAATATATCGAAAGGTCAGTCAGTGAACGATGAAATATATAAATTTTTATCATCAGTTGAGATCGAAGGCGAAAAAACAACAAAAGAATTTCATTGCTGAGACTCGAGTTACACCAGATAGGTTTGATAAAGCCATTACTAAAAATAAAATAATTAATTTTGAGTACAAAAATACGAAAAAACGTCAAAATTAATGGAAAAGTGAGAGAAGTTAGGATACAAAGAGATGTTTTTGGTCGTCTACTTTATGCATCACTACAAAATAAAATTGATATAGAAAAAGCATTAAGTTATCCTCTAGCTCCTATTCCATTTTCACTCTGTCACAATAATGGAACCATTTGCAAGACCCCCAAATCTGTAGTTATTAATGAATTACTAGAATATCAAACTGAAATACTAAATCCTCCAGAAGCAGACATTCACTTAGTAGATGGATTTTATTTATTACATACGTTGAAGAACCTTCCAAACAAATATGGTAAAATCTCGATGCATATATTAAAAATACTTATATATAATAGAAAAGAAGTACATATTATATTTGACAAATACAAAAAAACCCAGTATTAAAGATTTTGAACATGATTTGAGAGGTGAAGAGGACACACAGTATGACGTAATACGTAAAGACTCTAATCGTCCTGCAGATTTCTGCAAATTATTGAGGAGCAACAACTTTAAAGAAAAATTTGTAGAATTTTTAATTGAAGATTGGACAAGGGACGAATTTATTACATTGATCACAGGAAAAACTGTTAAACTTAACTATGATCAATGTTACACTTATGAGGTGTCTAGTGAAAATAAAATCAAAAGAGTCATTGACTATAACCTCTCGTGTTATCATGAAGAAGCTGATACCAAAATTGTATACCACATTTGTCAATTTAATACTAATTATCGTGTCCAGATACATTGTACGGATTCTGATATACCAATAATAATGCTGGCAAATTTTAAGTATTTAAAAGATGAAATTCAAATAATAATTAATTTAAGCACGAGTAAAAAAAAAATGTACTTAAACATAAATGAAATTTATGAAAAACTTGGGGATCAATTATCTTGTTCACTCGCTATATGCCATATTTTTACAGGAAATGATTATAATCCCGCTTTCTTTCGTAAAGGAAAAAAGAGACCTTTTAGTATTTTAAAGAAAAATAAAAAATTTCAAGAGGCTTTTATTCAACTCCTACGGATTGAAAATACAGCATTAACAACATCGAATGAAGTATTTCAAATTATTGAAGAGTATGTATGCAGAGTGTATACATTAAAAACAAAAAATGATATCAACAAAGGACGGTACGAGTTATTTGAAAAAGGATATAAATCAAAAAATGAAAATGAAGAAATTTTAAAACAAAAAATCGTAGGATATGATCCTTCCAGTTTGCCACCAACAAAAGAAGAATTGTTACAACAAATTAAAAGAACTGCATTTATCTGCAATGTATGGTGTAACGCACATATGCGGTGCCCCACGGAAAAATTGCCGGAAAATTTTGGATGGACAATAATTGATGGCAAATATGAATATTATTGGTTTGATGGTCCCCAAAGTCCATCTTTTGAAGAATTATCTTCTGAAGAACAAGGTACCCTATTTATACTATTGTTATTTATTGATTGATTATTCATTATTATATAATTTACTAAATTTTTTCATGTTATTACAGAGTCAGATATCACGAGTGAGGAAAGTGAAATAAATGAAGATGATAGCGATGTTAGTAGCGAAGATTATGAAGATTCATCAGATGAATATGATGAAGATTAATTTTTTTTTATCTATAAATACACCAATACACCAATTTTTGTACCTAATTTTCCTAAAAAATAAACTTATTTAAATTTTAAAAAAGATTTTTTCACTGTATCTTATGTTAGAAATAGGAAAACGAAAAAATTACAATTCTTGTCGGACTAGTGATACATACCTGTTTTTTTGTAGGACATTGTTTTATTTGGGCACTGAACACACTAACCTATTATGTAATATTTTTGTCCTACAGTTAGTAATGAGAAAAATGGTTTTATGGTATTAACAATTTCTGAGCGTAGGACCGGGATAACATACCACGAAATTTGTAGGACAATATGGCTGTTAAATTATATATATATTAACTAAGTAATAAAAAAAAAAATCAGCTGGTTAGTAATCATTTTTGGTGATCTCGTTATCAATACATGTTGGAGGGGGAGGACTCTTTGATGAAACCATAGATTTTGTAGGACAAATATTTTTTCAAATAATTTAGATAATTATCTTAAGATTTAATAAAAACAATTCAGTTAGTAATAAATATTGAAGAATCATCAAATCGACATATTTTATCATTGCTACCTCTGTTAGCTACCACAATCAAAAATTTTCGCACAGGAAATTGTTGGGCGTCTTATCAAAATGAAGCTACTCACGGAAAATTAGCTTGATAGTAATCAAGTGAAAAAATAGGCCACGGATCCTGTACTAATATTATATCTCAATCATAAATTACTCTCCAATGACTTTTTGACAATTTATTTATTATTTTGATTTAATTAAATTTTTTAATTTAGGTTTTTAATATAATTATTTTTTTTAATTTATTTTAATTTTTTAATTTGATTTAATTTTTCAATTATAATTGAATGTAACTAATGTACATATCTTTTGCTACTATTTTTTGTAATGATTATGCCGTGTACACATAATTAGGAATTTAACCATGCTAAAAATAATTTTTAGACTGTAACTCATATGTAATCCTGATTATATTCTGTTTGTGTGCCTAAATAAAATAAAAAAAAATAACAATTTCGTACCGTTTAGTATGCCCTTCAGGCACCAGAACATGCCTGGTCCTTCAAGGCCATTCGTTTCACCAAATAACAAAGGATGGCGGCCGAGTCAGCCACCACAGATGCAACCACACCATGGTTCCTTTAGGACTCAACAAATCATGCGCAAAATCCGTCATGTGTGTGCGATCCCGAGGTGGCCGAAACGATGCAACACCTCTTGTTTGAGTGCTAGGTGCGACCTGGAATTAAGTACTGGAATAACAATAAACGAAACGACTGTAGCGAAATTAATCGCCGATAAGCACTCCAGGCCGTACCTAGAGCGGTTTTGTATGAAAATTGTAAAAGTTGCAAATGAGAGAAATAAAACAAGAGGTTGATTGCACCACTAGATTTAGAGAATTTTATTGTAAATTTAATTTTAATTATTTATTGTATTATTTACTGAATCAATGTTTTATTTAATTAATGTCAATTTTATTATTCCAATTATTCCAATTTTTTTTAATTGTATATAAAAATTTTAATTTTTTTTATGGGGGCGGTACCGGTTCCTCCTCGTTGGTGCCCCTGGGCAACGTCTGGGTGCGCCACCCCGCCCTTTACACGGGGTGAGGTGCTCAGACGGCTGAACACCAGTCTTTCTCTGTCTTTTCTTTCTTTATATAGTTTACTCTTCTCTTTGTTTTTTTTTTATATCGTATATATTCTGTCTTTCAAAGTCTTTTCTTCTCTGTCTTTCTGGTATATATTTCTTGTGCGTGATGTATTTGTGCGGATGGAAGGGCTTATACGGCCCCTAATCCCCGTTTGTGGTGTCCGGCCTTGGGATGGATGGCGAGCGGGTGGCTCGTCCCGAGGACACTAGGGCGGCCCTGCCTCTATAGGGCCGCAAAATTTCATGGCGTCGGTAAAAAATAGTTATG